CGCCGATCCGAACTTTCGAACGGCGTTCAAAGTTGAGCCATAGCTCGACAGTCGAGACAAATAAAGGGAAGTCATGGTAACGACACTGAATCAGGCTGAAAGATAAAACTGCAGCGCGTAGAAACTGGAGCTGTTTCGGCTGAGGACATGGGCTGGTGAACCATCACGTGAACTGGCTGCCCCCTTTCTGCCATGGGGGCGAAATCAAGGCTGCAGAATTGGAGCAGGGATTGACCAAGTTGACTAAAGCCTTTATCTCAAACAAGTGTCTGCAGAGAGGTACTCGTAGGTACCTAGATATTGAAGCTGGGACGCAAGGCTGAGCAGGACCGAGTACAGGCAGAAGACACATCTTGTGGGGACCAGGAAAGAAGATCTCTCAATGCTTGCGTAAACCTATCTGGATTCTGCAGAGCAACCGCTCTCAGCTATCAGAAGGCGCGAAGGTGCAAAAGCATTAACCTGTCCTGAGGGAGAGGCGCCACACATCTGGAGTTGAGAAAAAAGCTTGTTGTATATAGTGCTATACGTATTTTCTGGAAGGTGTGCGTTCTGTGAGAAACACCCTCTCAAGATTCTTTCTTACCTTTTCAGTTCGTCAACCCTTTCTGCCACCACGCACATCTCGGATTGCTGGTCGTGTCTGGAACCGTACTCCACCCCTTGGCGGTCAAGAGGTTCGAACTCGCATTCCCACTTTCATCAGGCCAGCTCGGCACGCCCGGCCCATTCGGATCCCCGCGAGTGATGAAGTTGACCTGGTACTCCTGCAGCTGCTGGGCGTAGGGCGCAAACATGCCCGTGGAGGCGTTGGTGGGCTGCCCGACGTAGAAATTGTACGCGGCGTCGCAGCCGTGGAACGACGGGCCGATGTCGAAGGCATACGTGTAGCTCCGGCCGTAGGCTTTGTTGGTGTAGTCTATGTTGCACGTGAAAGCGGATTCGCTGATGATGAGATAGACGCGCTCCAGCAGAGACGTGTACGGTTGTGTGCCGTCGTACACCGGCGGGTAGAGGGTGTTGAGGACGTATTGCCGCACACTGTCGACCGCTTCGGGGTAGCTGGTCCGAAACCAGGCCTCGACGTCTTGCTCAGTCCTGAGGTACGGAGGGGTGAAGAGCGCTCCTTCGTTCGCGCAGTGGGAATTGAAAACGCTGATGTTTGGCGCGGAATGTCCGGCGTTCAGGAGAAGGCCTGGCAGGGCGGGCGCAAAGCTGCCGTCCACGACGGGTCCGAACGTGAATGTCCCCCAATTCGACGACGCAACCAGCATGGCGTTGGCTCTGATCAGCTCGTCGGAAGGGACTCTGCGAGCCTCGGCGATGGAGCTGGCGTTGATCATCTTCAAGAATGTTTGTGTGGTGTTCTCCTGCATGAACGTCGACGCCGATGGGATAAAGCCGGGGGACTGAGGCATTGCTTTCTGGAAAGGCGCCGGTTTCAGACCCCCGTACGCGGTGATCTGGAATTCAATCGAGCCGCCTGGCACACACATGGGTTAATATCAGGTCGTGGTGAGACATCGGGAATGTTGGGAGCTCCTTACCACCAGCAGATTCTCCCGTAATGGTGACACGGTCTGGGTCGCCTCCAAAGAGGTGAATGTATTTCTGGATCCATTCCAGCGCGAGGCGTTGATCTAGGAGACCAGCATTCGACACGCCGCCGGCAGCTTGCACAGTAGGGCCAGACAAGAACCCAAGCGCCCCGAGGCGGTAGTTCATTGCCACAAAGACTAGGCCGTCCATTTGACTCGCGATTTTCATCAGACCGTGGACGTCATTTCCCGACGCCTTGTCCCCGATTGTATAGCCGCCACCGTAGATCCTGATGCGAATTAGTCTTTCAATGTTACGGACTTGCGGATGGGAGGGTATTAGGAGCATGCATACCACGCCATGACGGGGGCTCCCCGCTGTCCTTTCTTTAGTGTGCCGTTGTTGGCCTTGTCGAAGATGGACTTGGGCACCACGACGTCCAAGAAGAGACAGTCTTCAGTGGTCCGCGGGTCTTGTGGCGGCATTTTGCCATTGCGGAAACTGTCATATGGAACTGTGCCAGGGGGGCTGGCCTGAAGCTCTTGTTCAGCAAGTGAAATGTTGTAGTCTGATGCGTTGCCAGCCACAACGTTGGGCAAATTGGCGAAACCTAACGTGAGCCAGGTCGGGTTTGCCTGTGGACAGAGGCGACCAACACTGCCGTTCTGGACGGTCGCGCTTCGACCCGTCGGGGGTTCTGGAGCTGCCCAGCGAAGATTGCCAACAGGAGGTTGGGCGAACCGGATGTTGCTGAAGTTGTAGAATTGGCCGGTTGCCTAGGTAGGAGAAGTTAGCACCATATGACTGAACTTGGACGCAGCTATAGGGTACGAACATCTAGGCTGATAGCCTGGTGTATCTCGTAGCCCAGGTCGACAGTGGGCAAGCTTTGAGAGCAGCAGAGCTGGTAAAAGGCAAAGAGAAGTGCCGCAATGATGAATTTGGGCTCCATGGCTATATTAAATCTCGCTCAGATGCTGTATAGACCCAGAGATGGCCGATGCCAGTTTGACTGTTATACCTGGAGGAGTCCATGCTATATAGCTTCACGAGGGGAGCCAAAGCCGTCCTTTTCCCACCTCCTTTGCCGCGGATACGTATAACGACGTATCCATCGCATCAGGATGCCGAGGTTCGAAGGTGACTGAGTTCCAATGGCTCTGAACGCTCATAGTGGCGGTTGTACTTGATCTGCACGGCGTCGACATTGTCAAAGACCGGATCCAAATGCCCACTTGTCAGCGAAGAGCTTTAACGCCGGGGTTTGACAAACACTTTCGCTAGCACTGGCCCTCTCCCTCTTCTCCGCAATTTGGCTGCATTAGCTTGCATGATAGGCCTACCTTTGTTTAGTATAGCACGAGGGGTGACGACGGCATATATGGAGGTTTCTACCTGTCGAAATCGCACTGCCGAGTAGATGGCGGCGAGGTGAATTATATCCAATCAACGGCTTGAGACTTTCTGGGACCGGACACGGCGAGATGGATTCGTCCACAGCCCGTGTGTTCGCTTAGATGCCTGGATCAGGTAAGGGCACTGCGAAGCGAGCCTTAGATTGCTCAATCACATTTCAAGGGCCTTGCCGTCTTCGACCACGGACCTTCACCTGCTGTTGACGCGACTCCACTGCAGGGACAAAGGAATGTACCCTGTCTCCCCATACGCCACGAAAAATGTTGAGGATTGCATTTATAATGCCTCTGTGCATATTACAATGTTATTAAGATATCCTGTTCGGACGAATATTATGCCTTTCAAGCTAAGTACAAAAGCCGGGAACGAAAGCGCCCTGGGAGGCGTCTTCGTCGATAGCATGCGCTGGTCAAACTTTCGACTCAGTCAATCCACACCGTGTCACATTTTGCAAGGTCGCTAAGTCTTTAGAATACAACCCAGGCATTACGCAGATCGAAGAGCGAACGTTCCACAACGATGCCGATCAAGCCATCGAAAACAGTGTTAATCACGGGCGGCAATGGCGCCCTAGGTTCACACATCGCCTTTGCCATTGCCAAAGCACATCCGGAGGTGTTTTTCGTCCTCACCGCACGCAGGGAAAACGACGTCCAGGCGCAAAAGATCTCGACTCAGCTCCGCGACGAGGGCGTCACAGCCTTCGAGTTCCTCAGTCTTGACCTCGCCCGTTTCGCATCGGTTAGGGCTTTCGCAGCCAAAGTCAGCGAAAAGGTGCGGTCGGGAAAGATCCCGCCCATTGCCGTCCAGGTCAACTCGGCCGCGTTTTCGTCGTACGAGATGGACGGCAAGACCGACGACGGGTTTGATCCGGTGTACCAGACGAATGTGTTGTCGCCATTCCTCTTGACGGCGCTGTTGCTCAAGGGAGCTTTCCAGAAGGATCAGGGCGCGGCCGGTGGCAAAGTCATCAACATCACAAGCGAGACCGTATCGCTGGGCAAAGTCGACTTCTTCGACACCTGGGGCCCTACCGAGAAGAACCCCCTTGGCTCGCGCCTGTCCATCATGCAAGGCTTGACAAGATACGGCAGCAGCAAGCTGATGGCCGACCTCGCGATGTACACCTTGAGAGAGAAGATGTGGAAGGTAAAGAGACGACGACCCTGCTCGGGACACCGCAAGCCATGCGCACAAAGCTGATCTTTCGTTTCTAGGCCGGAATCAAGTCGGTCAACATTTTCTCATTGGACCCTGGAGGGATGAACCACAGCAGCAACCTGTCCCGAGGGACCATGCCGGCGGCGCTGCAGCTCAGCGCCACGGTCCTGTCATACCTGGGACCTCTCGCCCGACGGTTTCACAAGAGCATCATCAACCACCCCCGCGTACCAGCCGCCGCTGTCGCCAAAGTTGCGTTCGATGCATCAACAGAGGGGGGAGACAAGGACGTCTATTTTGTGCTGGACGACGAAATCGGACTGACGCGCGTGAGCAAGGCCATGCAAGAGCACAAGGATCGGGTGCTTGAGCGGGTGTTGAGGGAGACCGGGACCACAATCGAGCAGTTCACCGTCTGGCCCTGAAATCCAGCTAATCCTAGCTATGTAAGATCCATTGGCAGCTGTGGCTATAGATAAATAGTTTATAATGGGTTTTTGCCTTGGTTAAGCCAATGTATCTGTGCACCTCCCCAGCCAGGGCACAGGATGCACCTTGCTGACAGCGAGGACGAGAGTGGTATGCAGTAATTAGCACCGGTAGACCTTCCGAAAGCCGTTATAGCTAGAATCCCCACCTGCTACTCGTTCCTCCGCAGTATTTGATTGGTAATGGCATGCAATTAATAAGGCCCACAGTACCTTACTAGCAGCTCGCTAGGTGGGTAGAAATTAGGTATCAAGCGAAGAGGCACATTCTGCGAGGCGCCTTCTTACACTCTTGTCCGAATTATTGCAGTCACAGCACAGCCCCCCCAGAAGAATCCACATTCTCGATAACTCCTTTCAGTGAAACGGGCCTCAGGGATCAGGACCCCCCCACCAATGCCGAGCTGCTGGACCTGTCGCCTGCGGAGAAAAGGATGCGACGCTCAAAGGCCCGCCTGCGACGTGTGCCGTTTCCTGTTGATCCCCTGCTACGGCTATGGGCCGAAGCCGGGCTGGATGGACGGAGGAGTCCGCGAGAGGGAAATGGCGGCAGAGATTCGGAGCGGGGTCAAGTCGACGACGGACAGCCTGCGCCGCTCCCGCGCTCTCCATGCCCTGCGTCAACGACACCCTCTGACAGCAGCAGCAGCAACAGCAACGGATGGCTCGTCCACGCTGCTCCTTGCACGCCACCCTGACGAGGGCGCGACGACGGCTTGGGCGTGGCGTCCCACGGACTCAGACGAGCGACTATTGGATGAGTATTTCGACCGCGTCTTCCCTCTACAGTTCCCCTTTTATGTTGCCTCTGTTCCCGAGAGGGGCCACGGCTGGCTCCGTTCGCTCATGACAAGATGTGAACCGCTATGCTATGCGGCACTTGCCCTGGCTATCGTGTATCGGAATCCCAGCTCACTCGACAGTGACGCCATCTCCGGGCGGCCTCGCGAGATTGAACAGCTGCAACGTCATTATGCGTTGGCCGTGACTGGCTTGCGACAACATATTGACCGCCTAAGCAAGAAAAGTCTGCAGGAAGGGTTGCGAGACGGGATTGAAGTGTTTGCCTGCGTTGTCTATCTGATCATGCTTGAAGTAAGTGTGTCCGAGGGGTGCTAGGTCGGAAGCCGCAACGGGGAGTCGACGAGGTCACTTGCTAATGGCTTTCCATTTCTTCTCTAGAACTCGAGGGGCCGATTTGACAACTGGCAGAGGCACATGGTGGCGTCTCCGGGCGTGTTTCCGTACCTGCAAACCTATTGCAATGTTTTCCCATACAGCGACACGTCTGTCTTGCAGGACGAGGACGAGCAGGTCGAAGCGGCAGCCCGGGAGGCGAGTTCCATCGACTCCTCCCTGTCACTGGTGGATCATGTGGCGATGGAGTTCTTTAGTGCCGTATTCCTCTGGTTCGACACTTTGGCCACCGTCTCGACGGGCCGCGGCCCTCAGTTTGCCGACGTCTGCGCGGCGGCCTTTGGCGACCCAGATAGCAAGGTCCGGTTGCGGAACATCATGGGTTGCGAAAACTGGGTGATGATCATCATCCGGGACGTCGCCGTGTTGGATGGACGCAGGAGGAACGGACAGGAAGGACATGACCCCAGGAGGAACGCGGACGACGGCCAGAAATATACTGAGCTGAGGGAACGTCTGGAACTAGGCCTCGCCGAACCCTGGGAGAGCTACCTGTCACTTTTGGCAAGGGGAACAACCAGTGACAGCGCAGACGCAGAAAATCGGCTGATCCAAGCGACTCCGATCGTCACCTACATCTTTGCCTGCGCAGCTATGGTCTACCTCACCGCGGCTGTTTCTGGGCCTGACCCGCACGTTCCCGAGATCCGGGACGCCGTGTCGAGATCACTCGAGATCTTCAACTCCCTGCCCGACGACGTCCAAATGCTGCATAGTATGCTCTGGCCGTTCTGCATTACCGGATGTATGGCGCTCAAGGACCAAGAGTCGTCCTTTGAAGATTTGGCATTGAGGGCCGGCGCCCTGGTCCGACAGGGCGGCCGCAGCCCGGAAACTTGGGAGAGAGCTCTCCAAGTGATCAAGACATGCTGGCGACTTCGGAGTGAGGAGGCCCGAAAGGGGAGCCCTTCTTCTGCAGATTGGTTTACTGCCATGTCAACATTGGGCTATCAAGTCCTCCTTGTATGAGGCGCTATTGTCAGCCCGTCTTGGTAGACCAGAACAAACAAGGCAGCTTGGACCTCATAATACGACAACATGTTACCCAGTGGACTCTGGTAACGCCGATATATCAGTGGGAATGGGCGAAGATCTCCACAACCATCGACCCGAGGTTTGACTGGAGTTGGGGTGGGTGGATATTTGCGAAAACTTGGATGCTTCGAGTCCAAGCGACTGAGAACATAATACTCCATCAGGTGCCGCACACATGTGTCCCCTTCACGACCTCCTCCCAACAAGCATCCAAGTTTGCCACGTTGGTCTGGACTCCAACCTTTCCAAAACCTCCTTTCCTTCGTTGGGGCGAAAAACAATGGGGCCTGGTGCAGGGAGATCACCAAAACCCCGTCGAACTGTGGATGTTAACATGTCGACCGACGGAAGCGTGGCCGACACGTCCACCGTTGCTAGAAACTCGGCGTCCTGGTCTGACCGCTCGACTAGGATGGCTGTCCGGAGGTAGCTTGAGATGCCGGATTTTCTCGAGCTGGTTCTCCGTCAAGGTCCATCTCGCCGTGTCCTTGTGGCTCTCTCCAGCGTGATAGTTGCGCGTGCGGGTCGCACCCGAGTTAGTCGCCTTGTCTGCTGAGACCGTGTCGATTTCCTTTACCCACTCAGCGGTCAGGCCGACGCCTCTCACAGCCACGTTGGCGCCAACGGCGGCGCGTCCAACGGTTCCATGATTGGCTTCCTCTCAAGAGAGACGTATCCTTCTGGCGCAACAGCGATGACCGTCGGTGGCGCTGGTAAATGTGCTTCTTCTCCGTCGTGAGAGCTTGCGCCTTTCTTGACTTGCGTGTCTTCTCTTTTCGACGACTCCGGATCAGCCTTGACATCAAAAGTGACGTTGATAGCAGTGGCCAATATCCGCTGTGAAGGTCGTGCTGTTTCAAACAAGAAGTCTATCTTGATAATGTGCCGGGACGGTTGACGGTGAATGCGAGGCGAACCGACCAATTCGAAGCGGAAAAGAGGGATTTGGTCTCGCTGGGTCAGGTATCAAAGACTCTGAGGATGAAAAGGGTATGGATCGTAAGGCTGATGAGACAATTATCGAGAATCCAGACTGTGCTCGAGGCACGACGCTGAAGTGCAGGCCAAGAAGAGGCAATTGAAAGGCAAGATGTCTTCCGTGCTGTGCTGGCGTCTACCTACCTCACGGATCTAGGTAAATTCTCGTTGAAGCTGGGAACAAGGAACAACGAAGAGCAGGGGTTAAATACCCTCAGAAATGTCACTCCCGTTGTCGCTGCCTATGTTGCCTGATTACCTGGCTTTTCACCAAGGTATTGAAACGAACTATACTTCCCTCCCTCCTCCAAAAGATTCCTCTACGCCACGAACTCCGCGTGAAGAAACATAACGCATCCAGTTTGGTTTTCAATGTATATATATTATCCCAACACAATTCCCTCCGCAATCGACCATAGGATATGGAAAACAGGGCTTCCCGTTCGCTCAGCCGTACTTAAGCCATATGCCGGTCAGTTAGTACTACCGTGGGTGACCAGGTGGGAATCCTGACTGTTGATTGTTTTTGCTTGTCATTCTTTTTTGGGGGGTGATGATTTGCCGTATGTGTATTGGGTATCAGGGTTGATAGTGCTGGTGAGTGGTTGTTGTGCTCTTTCTTGAGATCACTTTTTTGTTCGGGGGTACAATAGCCCTACCTACTCGTTTGCATAGATGTGGGTCTGTCCTGCAAAACGGAGTAGTGCTGAAATCTATTATTTGCTTCTCTTCTTTCCCATGTGACTTGTAACTAGTATACATTTACCCGTATGTAGTCATCTCTATCGCTATCGCTACCGGTCTCAAGCGCACCTCAGCAATCCGCCCTCCCCCATGTTCTCGGAAATGGAACGACCTCCCTCAAGTTGTTGACCCCTGTCATGTACGCCAGCAGGCGGTCGAATCCCATGCCGTAGCCTCCATGGGGACTGCTGCCGAATCGGCGAAGGTCGGCGTACCACCTCATGTTCCCTAAGCTCTCTCCCTTGTCCAGAAACGGGTAGCCATTGCCGTTGTCTCCATTCGACATCTCGGCTCTCTTGATTAACCCCTTTTGGCGCATAGACCGAATGAGATGCTCCAGCCGGTGTTCTCTGAGGCTTCCTCCCACAACTTCGCAGTAGCCGAAGGGGAGAAGGAGGTCGAAGCAGGCCACAGTGTCTCCGCTGGCCTCCGATTGAGCGACGTCTTGCTGTGGAGTCATTGCTGATGAAGGGAGCATGTAGAACGGTTTGACATCTTTCGGATAATGCGTCACAAAGACTGGCTTGCCTTCTGCAAGATTGTCCACGATCCACCGTTCGTGCTCCAATTGCAATCCTTGCTTCCACTGAGGACGGTACACAAAAAGCTTGCCATCGCTCGATTCGTGAGCCTTTACCAGCGCGTCCATGGCTGACGCGTAGTCCACCTCGTGCCACCTCCCAGTAAGTCTATCCCAGCGAGCTTGCAGATCCACAAAGTCTGCATCCGTGGGTCGGTGTTTCTGGTCGGAGTAGTACTCCAGCAGTTCTTTACCCGTGCGGTGCTCTTGAAGTGATTGCGCGAGATACGCCACCAGACTTTGTACGCGGGACAGCAACTCCTCAAAAGAAACATGTCGATGCTCGACCTCTAGCATGTAGAACTCGGAAAGATGCCGCGGGGTATCGCTTTCTTCGGCACGGAAAGTGGGAGAAAATGCAAAAACATCCCCTTGCTCAGCGGCATGTGCCTCCAGATGTAGCTGTGACGACACGGTGAGGTATTTCGGTTCTCGGAAGTAGAGCTTCTCTTGTCCCTTGGACGTGCTGGGTGTTGTCTCCGGAAGCTGCTCGTGGCTTTGCGGGGCTATCGTGAATGCCTCTCCGGCGCCTTCGCAGTCGGAAGAGGTGATGAGTGGCGGAAGCACTTGATAGACGGGGTCTGGTCGGTTGGAGAAATGCGACGTGATTGCGGAGATCAACTGGCTGCGAGTCCGGTTGACCAGGGAGTGGAAGGCTGTGCGCATTCGAAGGTGAGGAACGGTTCGGAGAAAATCAGTCGACATGGACTGCTTCTGAATGGGGTTCTCCTATAGCCACGGTCAGGGGACAGCAGCGCACGAAGAGGAGCAAGTGGACCTACAGAGGTGTTGCCGTCACCGAGTGTCTCAATCTTCTCGACTTGCAGTTCGTGACTTTGTCCTGCGCCTTTGGAACGAATCCACTTGCCCACCAAGGCCACGTAGGCGCCGTTCGTCACGCTGGAAGTTTGGTGTCAGAACCGGTCGATGCTCTTTGAATGCAAATCCACGTACTCTTTCGCCAGGAGCGGGTCCGGGAACACTGCTTGGACGTTGGCGAGCGTCGAGCCATCGCCGATTCGGGCAAAGGCGACGTTTTTCTGCTTTCTGATGCTGCGCACCAGGCCTGCGATCTTGATGGATTCGTCGGCGCGCTGTCCGTCGACGTAGTCGGCATCGCTCGAGAGTCTGGCATGGCGGATAAGCGCCGGTGAGGTCTCTGTAGCTCCTGCGCTTGGGCCATGCAGACACCGCACGCAACGGGTAGGAAATGCAATTCTATTTCGGGCTCGCAGAACGTCAAGGGACGAGCATCGAGGCAGGATCTCGTCTCCGAGAAGCCATGGCGCCTTCAAGACACGCCATAGCATCACGCAGAGGAGGAGGAGGAGCAGCCAGCCGCCGCCGCCGCCGCAGAGTATCCGGAGGTGCGAAATAGGTCAAAGGAGCTCCAGGTCGCGTGGAAAGATTCTGCGAGCAGAGCGAAACGCGAGCTGGCGATCCTGGCGAGTGCGGAGTGCGGAATGCGGCAAAAGTGTTTATCCGGCCGGACCCCGAGCGCAGGCCGCAAGTCGCAGCCTCGCCAACTGCAACTCGCCAACATCGACGCCGCGTTACGTGTAAACGATTAAAAGTGGCCACCACATGTTTCCCGTTTCTCTCAAATGAATGCTCCACCGTCCCAATCGCCACTCAGCCACTACGCAAAACGGGCACATCCTGCGACCCGGTGCGGGATCCGAGGCGGTACTCTCTCAAGGACAGAATTCCCAACACGGAGCCTCCCTGAGGCACGGGGGCTTCCTTTCCCAAACGCGCAAAATGTCCATTATCAGATGGTCGATTCCGCTCGAGTGCCAAGGCTCCTCTCCTCCCTGCCTGGGCTATCAACACTTGCCAGATGCAGCAAAATGGCCTCCTCGTTCGCTGACGTTGCTGCCAGCTAGTGTCGCTGACGGAACTTGAGGAACGCTCGTTGTTCAAATGTATTATTATTCTTGCACGTCAATCCCTGCCTGGGGTTCCGGATCTTCGCCGCCAGTGTCCTTTTGGCATATGCCGAAGATGCTTTCCTTATGTCATGCTTCGACCATATGTAGCGACAAATCCAGCAACTCCGGGGCCGTGGCCGTGGCCGTCAGCAAAAAAAAAAGACTGCACAGGTGCTTTATATTGAGCCATTGACCAAGCATGACGGTCCGACATCTTCGGAAGGGTTGGCCTCAGCTTCTTTCGTCGTGAGCCATCTCAGCCTCTTTTGAATCTCGTGGAGAGCAGCAAAGCCATGGCATCTAGTCACAGCGGTCACTGTGCATCATCTCACCCAGCCTTGTATCAACAAGTGCCGGACTATTCTAGAGACCAGAACGTACTCAACACCATCCAGTTGTGCGATTCCTCCTCCAGCAGCAAAAGCAAGGAAGCTACTCCCGAGCCTTCGCCGGCCCCAGATTTGAGCACCCTTGTCGTCCTGCAGGAATACCGTAATTTCCTCGTCACCCAGCTTCAGTCGATCAGAGCAGCACAGCATCACCATGCATGTTCCAGGCGGCGGCGGCGGCGGCGCGCTGGCTGTGGGCACGAGCGTCACCGTAGACAGTCACGTCGAGGTAACCGATTCACTCATCGACCCTTCCACAGAATCTATCGTATCTACATCGCATAAGCACTGACCTTGTCGGCAACCACAGTATCAAGGACCCGTCGGCGTCCGTCCCTAGGCCGGCACTTGGTCCTGCGACGGCGTTTTCTCTCACACCATCAACTCCGCAGTCTCCGACCAACCCACAGATGCCATCTCCGGCTTCACTCAACTCTTTTTCGGTGCCCTGCTTCTCACCTCTTCAGTCCCACAGACCAGCAACGTCACCTTCTTGGACGCTGAGAGGATCTAGATCGAATAGGAACAGCCGGATCCTGGTGGTACAGGGTACGCGATTTGTCGCTCGCACAACCAGGTCAAAAGAGAGCCGAGCAATCGTTGTGGATTAAAGTAAGAAGTCTGTAACTGGTAGACTTAGAACCAGAGGGATTTCCTTGGGCACTGCCACAACAAAGATGCGATTTCGTTCAAGTTGATCGTTGTACCATAGGGAAACTGTCCTCTTGTCAGAGCCAGCCTGGGCAATGAGAAGCAACTTACCAGTATACCACTGATCAGTCCAGCTGTTGGCGTCCAGCTGCTTTGACTTCTGTCAGCATGTTTGAATGCCCTGCCAGTCGTATCTATTCCTTGAAAGGGTCGATCCCTCTGTTTTCACGTCTGTTCTGCCTGTGCTCTTCGATGAATCAAACGTCAAGCATACTCCTGACCACCTGGGGTGGCGACTGAAGCGAGTGGGTGGACGAAGACGGCTGTGAGTGACCGTCTTTGCTGGATTCATACGGTGTTCCTCTCTCGTATCTTGGAGGTGGCAGCGAACTTTCCGGCTCTGGGAATCGCGGGACTCTGCCCGTGCTGCCGCCTTCTGTGAACATCGAGCTGCCGACAGACCTATCACTATGTCCACTTTGCCTTGGTTTTCTGTACCTGGCGTCTTCTTCCTCCCGCTTCCGCCGCTGCCACCAAGCATGTCCACTTTCGTCCTGTTCTTCTGCTCGGTTCGCGTGCGCCGTTTGAGAGCTGTCTTTCAATGGAGGTCTCCGGGATGACGCAGGCATCTTGAAGACACCGCTTGGCGATGCGAAGGGGTTCCGAGACCTGAACCACCAGGCCGGCGGTCTGCGACTGTGGTGCTCGCGGGATTGCATGGCTACGTCCGGCCTCTCGTCCAATTCTTCGCCTCTCGATGCGCGCTGCGCTATCAACAACTTGTCTTCATTTTCATTGACGTAACCATGGACATTGAGCAGCACGAGAATGAGGAGAGCCGGTGCGTAGCCGAGTCCGTACAACAAGCCGACGCCTACGTCTCGACGATACGGCGATAGTTCCCATACCCACGATCCCGCAACCACGTACGCAACGCGCACACCAAGAGAAATGATGGTTAGGAATAGGGATGCAGGGATCTTGGTCCTGTAAGTCTTGCTGCCATACCCCAATCGAAAGACAACAAGTCCAAGGCAGACTGTTGCGAGCACGGAGGCCGCCTTGAATCGAGCATCGAGAGCTGCTGGTCTAGCTGATTCCAGAGTCTGCGTAGGCGATCGTTGCCTTTGAGCAAAGGACCAAGATCGTGGGACGAGCATGAAGAATACCAGGCCGTCGAAGGCGTAAAACACTAAGGGAAGGTAGAAATTGGCCCTGGTGTGGAATGCATTTGCTGAAGATGGATAAATTTGCGCCTCTTGGAATTGACGGTGGCTGGACGAGTTCCTAAGAATCAAGTTAGACAGAATGTTGATTCTTCTGGCTCCTGGAAAGCACAGAGCACGGGTGTAGTGCTCTCACCAGCTTCTCACAGCCTCCCAAACACACGCCAGCAACACCGGGACCATCAGGGTCAGAAAGAAGCTTTGGAGGATGATCGGTGTGTTAACGATGTAGTCCCTGTCCACGTCGACAGCCGTGAAGGAGCTCAAGATGCCACACGCAGCGACGATCAAGGTCCAATACCACGGCCAGCGTCTATCGACCGGTTTCCACCCTCTTTCTCGAGGGAGGTATGCGCGGCCATGCTTCCTCAGGTTGATCGTGGAGAATAGAATCGTCAGGGCAAAGAGAGATCCAAAGACAAGTCCAGTGATGCCTCGAGCCCCGATGGGGTTTATCGGGGTGTAGCATGAGGTCGTATTGGTGAAGGTCCCATTCGAGAAGATGATGGGCTTGTAGGTGCCGAAAGCGAGAAAGCAGTGCGAGCCGTTCGTCAGCGTGCCATTGCCGTAGAGGGTGTAATTCCACAGCCTCAGGACCGTCTCATTAAGCGCGACGCCGTTGATGAAGGTAGTCGAGTTGGATGTAGTCTGCGTACCCAGCATATCAGCGACAAGGATTCGCCCTTTTTGCCTCACAAGCAGCTAGGAGGTGGTTTGTCCCGTGGACTCATTCGTCATCCGCGCTCACTTTGATGATTCGGATAGAAGATCAGTAACGAGTCCAAAAGCTCGAGTTCGACTTGGGGATAGACTGGTGGCAACAACGATTATTCGGTGGATCAGATGCTGACTGCGGGTTCCTTTCTTGGGGCCCAGCCTTTCTCCGATTTCTATATGGAGCCGAAATTGATCGATCAAACACATCTAATACTGGACCAACCGAAATACCACTTTCATACAGTACAATCTACTACTCGAGCTTCATGCAGCTACGTATCATGCTACCGCATAGATATCTCGAACGCAGTGTCACCAACCCCTGCTTCTTCAAAGTCAAACCTTCTCCATTGAAGCGGCCAGGACATGCCTGGCTCAAATCAGAAACCTCTCTTGAGAATGAAGAAAGAGCAACAACAAGTAATATGGAAAATTGCAGTCATCAAAATTCGTGACCTCGTGCCCATTCTTGAAAACGATCGCGAATCCGCCGCCTCTTTACCTTTAACCTGAACGATATGGTTCAAACGATGACTTTTCCCCGGACGTCCTACAATGCAATGTGATGTTTCGACCTGAATAGGGCCTCTTTCCGTGCTAGACCTTAGCAAACACGCGGTCCAGCTTGCTCAGGGCTCTCTTATCCTCTCGAAAGCCTAGTTTCTCGCTAGGAATATCTTGCGGTGGCGCCCCGTTCTTGGTTCCACCCGGGCTGGTACTTCCTTGTCGGTCCGCGTCCGTTTCGGCCTGGCCTTTGTCTGCGGGGGGAAGACTTGTGTCGATGTTGTGTACGAGTGCGGTGATGGTAGGCGCCTGACTGGCACTCACTGTTATGGTGTCAGAGGGTTGCGGTGCTGAATGATGCTCGTCATTCTTGCTGTTAATGCTATTCGTCTGGGCATCGCCCCCATTGGCAGTGGCAGTCAGGCGCGGATCGATCTGCAGGCCAGAGCCAACATGTTCGTTCGAAGTTTCAGGACCAGGTGCATTGGCTGGCGGAAGAGGGCTCGACTGGTACAGTGGTGGAGGGGGTTGGCTGGCACCGTAGGTACCCAGCGGAGCCTGCGTGGAAGTCGTCGGTGGTAAAGGCGGAGGCGCTGACGACCGCGAGCCCAAGTTTCGCAAGGGACGCTGGTCAAAAGAGGACGGCGGTGCTTGGCTGAGAGGCAGAGGGTGTGGTGAAGGATAGGGCGCCGCGGAATATGCGAGCGGGGGTAAGCCGGGCTGAAGAGCATACGGCTGAAGGTAGTGCCCAGGAGGAGGGGTGTGCATGGGACTGATCGGGTAGATGTAGGCTGGATGAGGGATGTAGCCGGGTGGAATATATGCTTGTGGCGGAGCAGGGCTTGCACGGTGATATGCTGGGACGCCTGGAGCCATGACATACCCCGGGGCGGTTAGCATGGGTGACCGAGTGACGGCAGGAATGTTTGATTGATCGATGGTCGATTCTGGGTACATGCCTTTCGCGGGCTGGATCGAGGCCAGATTGGGATCGGTGCTTGGTTGACGCAGCCCCTGAGAAGCTGGATGAGTCCGGGAGAAGTAACTGATGAGATGCAGGTGTTGGCCCGCGGAAGTGGTGATGCTGAATGACTGCTTCATGAGCCCGTCGGGTTTATACCGATATCCATCAGGTCCCTCTTCGCCCTCGCCAGGCTGCGAAGGGTCATCTTGACCATGATCTACTATTTTAGGGGGGACTCGACTCGCCGGATTGACCAGGGGGGTTCCTCCTCTTTTCCCTTCCATCTCTCGGTAAGTCAAAAAGCTGCCCGAGACACGACTTGCGCTCCAACTCTTCCCATCCGTCCAGCGCCGCATTCCCGCTTCTCGCTCATCCCAAACAAAGACCGAGCCGGATCTGATCGACTGCCTCTCTTTCTCTGATAGTCTCCGCTGAACTCGAGGTAATATGCCCATTCTGCAGGCCTCGAAGAGGATGATGGCGTCCGCTGGGGTTCGGACGATACCGTTGTATGTCTCCATGGTCTGAATAGTCTGGAAATCTTTTTCCAATTTCGCCGAAGCAACTTGATAACCCTAGGGGTCCGCGCAGGGTCGGGTGCTTGTCGTCGGCTTGAGTCCGGTTTGTTTCAATCGCGGCGGGCTGAATGCTTTCGTGCAGACACTTCAGCTCGCCGCGCCCATTTGTCAAGTTCCAGCGTGTTCCCTTCTCCAACTGCTTAACGCGATCCCTTGTTGCCCGACGGTCTTTCTTTTTCCGGGCGCAAAAATAAGCCGCGCGTGACGTCGGTCGCGATGCTGAAGGGCCAAGTAGTCTCTGTTCACTACAATGTTTGTCAAGCGATGTTGGGAGTGGAGAGAAAGCCGTACGCAATCCGCTTGATAGTCGGAGAATCGAGGAGAGCACGCGTGAGAAGCGAGGAGATGCGGGATATTTGGCTCCTAATAATGCAAATGGAAGGGCCCAAGGATAAGAAATGGCGGCAAGCCCAGATCCAGTCTTGGAGAGCAGCGTGGAACCAATTGAGGACGCGGTGGTATAGAGTTGGTCTTGTCGACGGATATTACGCGGGCTGCGGTCTTGGGAAGGACAGAGTCTGGCACAGCCGGCGGCACCGATTCGCGAGCGCGAAGATGGGAACGTGAGAGAAGCTGCCAAAAAAAAAAAGACCAGAGCAAGAGGCAAGACAAATAGAAGAAGTTCAAGCCGCAGTGTGGGAGGGACTTGTTGGCCTTTGGAGTGGACCACTTGGCTGGGCCCTGGGGCCTTGGGGGAGGGAGGGAGCCTACAGGTATGCCACTTCCGCAGCGGGTCAAGCTTGCACACTAGGCTTATGCTTAACCCAGTGCCCGCAGCACTAGCTAGAGACTGGCCAGTGGCCGCCATTCTTCGCTGGGTCAGCGCCCAGCATTCGATCGCTGGGCTCTGCAAGCGAGCAGGGCGACGCTCCGGAGGGGAAGGAGACCCGGTATCTCGATGGGCCGATAGCCGCGGACAAGCCCAGTTCTGGCCATGACCAGAGAGGGTTTGCTGGTGCATCCCTAGGTCCCTAGGTACCTTAGGTGCACACCAAGCATCTCTCCAGCTCAGATACGAGTCCAAACGATAGAGTTCTATTTTCTGTTCTTTTTAAACTTCTGTGTGCATTCCAATCGCAAGAGGATCGTCATCAGTCGGGGATCAGCGTCTGCACACCGAAAGGGAAATTTGACCCCAGCTCGTCTTGGGGGTCTCTTCCTGGCAAAGGGCCGTCGTGTCCTTTGACGGCCAATAACTACTGGTGGCCTCGCCAATTTTCGGAATGACTCCCCTAGGGTCGTGGCATGACGCCCTAGCACAAAGCCTGAGTCAAACTAACACCCCCATCCAAGGGCTTGGCACCAGGAAAGGGCCGGAAGCGAAGGGGGAGGACACCAACGCCCACACCCACGTCTACGCCATGTTCGCCCACCGCCAAACGCGCACAAACGACAAATCATTGTGTGAGAAGGATGCTGACACGAGGTGAGGTTATTGTCGGTGGCCACAGCCACACCCTTTGGCACCCCCATAGCATGATGGATTCTGTTTACGAGTACCTACAATACTTCCTCGGTGTGTGCAAGCCGACAGCCAGGCAGGGAAGAGACTTGGCAGAGCGCTAGCACAGGCGCCAACAGTCTTGGTGGCTCTTGGGCTGGTCTTGGTGTTCTTAGTTTTGACGACCCTCGTTTCCTTTGCCAATCTGACTCGTTGCTGGGCGCCTGGGCATCTGCGTAATGTTGAGTCTCGGCGGATTCCCAGGCGCCCTTTAGGCTTTGATCGAATGCTTGGTCTGTTTCTGGGCGTCTGGGCGTCTGGGTCTCAGGGTCTTGGGGCCCTGTTGCCAACACTGATTCGGAGCAAATTCCACCTTGTGCTTGGCCCCCCTTTTTCCAGCTGACCTCTCGGTCTCGCTCCGGGTGGTTGAACTTCTCAAGAGTGGTGATTACGGCAACATCCCCCGTCCCCCAAGAAATGCTGACCCGGACCAAAGGGACTTGGTGCAGAGGCAGAAAAAGTCTGCCCTGCGACTCCTTCCTTGGTGCCGGCAAAGATGCTGGGGCATCTCCGCTTAGGCTTAAGCGTCCTGTTAAGCATGATTCAAGCCACCAAAGTCAAAAAGCGAACGGGGTCTCTGATCAAGCAGTTTTGGTGCTAGCCCAGGCCGCGTTGAACTTGGCACTTCGGTCCGGTCAATGATCAACTGACCAGTGATAACGAGATTACATCCCTTCTGGTGCTCGTTGTCTCTGCTGGGCAAAACACGGCAAAAGGCCACCAAGGGGGGGCTTGCGTGTGCAGTTGGCAGTTGCGAGATTGGCTCAAAAGTGGGAACCTCTGTTCCCAGACAATTGTTCTTATTACGTCCAATTTTCCCAAGCTGACTGCGTCTGCGCATTCCTTGTTGGGATAAAAGTCACCCTCGTTACCAAGGATGAGGATATTGTGGCAACAGAAGGAGGGACGGAGAGGAGGAGGACGGCTGGGCTCCAAGCCCCTTTCGGTGGGTTGGGTGACTGACTCCCTTGGAAGAGTGCTCCGTATCATCCTCCTCTTCGAATGTTGGCTGGAGTCATGCACTTTGCCGCGCCACGCATAAAACTCGGGGGAAGACGAGAAGACGAGAAAATTGTGCAGGCCGCTAGTAATTCCGCCCTCCTTCATCTCATCCGTGTTGTCCGACGAACGGCCCACCAACCACCAGGACAACCCATTCGGCATTCTTTATCTTTGCCCGGCAAGTGGAGTTATCTTTTCCCAGTTCAGGTGCTAGTCGACAGAAACAAGTCACTTCGTCTGGGTGCCGCCCTGGTGGTAGCGCCCTTGTCGTAGGAGTGGTGATGATAGCGGTGTGGAGAGCAGATAAAAAACCCACGTGGACAAAGCCAAAAAGAAGCTGGCGAAACACTCCCTCCCTCCACTGCACTCGTACTCGTTTGGCTGCAGTTCTTAGCGCGCAGGCTGCCGTCCAGTCCACCACAGGGCGGGTTGAACGGCTGAACCGGTTGGGCTGGCTGAGCCAACTTGTACTCCGCACCAAACCCCTTCAGATGCTCTCATTCACTCGTACATGTTCCTCTCGACGATGGCAACAATATTTCAAGACGCCCGACTCAGCCCCTCGACAGCTCAGAAGATCTACTCTTCCCTCCCTTCGCCCTCCTCGACGAGACTCTTGCAGCTCGAGCCAGGGTCGTCCGATGCTCCTCTCAAGGCGTCACTCGTGGTGGTGGACATTGCCTCGCCCTCCTGCCCCGACTATGAATGTATATCCTACACATGGGGCGACCAGACGTCACCCAATTCCCTTCACGTGGACGACCACGAGGTGCCCCTCCGACTGAATCTGGATCAAGCCCTCCGGCGCTTTCGCTCCCCAACAAAGGCCCGGCTTCTCTGGGTCGACGCCATCAGCATCCGGCAGGACGACACGGACGAAAAGGCCCAACAGGTGAAGATGATCGGCGACATTTTCCAAGGCGCCTCAAGGGTTCTGGCCTGGCTGGGCGAGCACGCGGACTCGAGCGAGGATCTCTTCGACCTCCCCGAAGATGCCGCGAGGGGCCTCTTCGCCCGCGACCGCGCCGCGTTCCGCCACAAGTACGACGCGCTGGCCCGGTTCATGGGCCGTCGCTACTGGCACCGGACGTGGATCGTCGCCGAGATCGTCTGTGCCCGCGAGTTGGTCATCTGCTGCGGCCCGGACGAGATCGCGTGGAGTCATCTCCTCGAGTACAAGTTCACCGACGTGATGCGGTTCGACCAGGGCTGGACGAGGAAGCTGACCAAGCTGGACGACGCGCGACAGGCCCACAGGCTCGCGCACGACCACCACCCATCATCGTCATCCCACATGGCCGACGTGGAATGGGAGGCCCACCGCGAGTTGCAGGGGTACCTGTACGCGACGGAGAACACGGACTGCCTCGAGCGCCGGGACAAGGTCTTCTCGCTGCGCGCCATCCTGCACGGCACGAGCATGCGCACCGCCATCCGCGTCGACTACGCCATGTCCGTCCCCGAACTCTGCGCCGACACGCTCAAGGCCGCCCTGGTGGCCTACGACGGCGACCGGAACAACATTGCCGAGTTCCTGCTCCTGTCGTACCAGCTCGACAAGAGCCTGGCCATGACACTCGAGGAGAGACTCCAGCTGGTCGACCTCCTCCTGGACGACCCGGAGGGTTTCGAGGCGCCGGCATTGGACCTCGTCAGCGACATGCTGTCCGACGGCGCCGCGGAAAAGTTCTTTGGAATCGAGTACGGGACCTACGACTCGGATTGGGGCTGGGGACGGAAGAGAGACCACGTCCTTTCGTGGCGCGACAAGGCACGCCGCACGGGGAAGTGGCCTGCCACCCCCGCGACAGCGCACGCTCCAGTCTGAGTGAGCAGACCGAGACCGGCATAGGTCGGAAAACCACAGGATCTGTCGCCCTTTTTTTTGCGCTGTCAAAGGAGTCCCCCCCCTCCTTTTCCTTGTTTGCCTTTTCCCCCCCAAGCAGTTCTCCCCGATCCAGACACATCCGTCCGATGATGGACCGCAGTTGGCCCTGATTGAGTAGAGACTGATGGAGACTTCCCAGGGGGAGTGCATGCACAGGGTGCATCGGGACATGACTCCCAACGAGGAGCAGCTCGCAGTAAGTGAAGGCTACATAAGTCTCGGGGTAACGCATCGTGCAGCTTGAGGAACTACCTCCACACCTACGGTCAGACCTGCTAGGCGCCTCGGCCCAACCCGAAGATCACGATAGACTCTGGTCTATCTACCCATACTGGGTAGGCAAGTGAGTATATGATCACTGAGACAGCAATACTTCAATCGTGCTATCACACGAGGTGCAAAGGGGCATAATCGTCTGCAATCTCCAAACGACGCGACGCGGTGACAACCACAGGAATAGAACTGTCTGAATGTCTGAATATCTGATGATCAATGGCATCGCATCCCACCAGGGGAAGATCCGAAGATCGCACACTCACCATCCCATGCCAATGCTTGAGCAGCGGTGTGTCTGGTCCACAGTACACATTAAACCTATCCCTGCAGCCTAAGGTTTGTCAAATTGAAGAGGCATCGCCGGCTTTGAGACCGATGACAGTCCAGTGTAACACATCATGACGAGTTTTCCCGCCCGCTCTTCATTTCACAGCCCCGCGCTCCTACACGCTCTGCTTGCGCCGCCTCACCTTAACGGTGGCAGTCAAGGGCGGCACCAGGCTTGTTCCGATCCACTTACTCGCAGGCCTCTCTTTCAAATGCTCAAACTCGTAATTCTGCACCATATACGCCAATAGCAACTTCAACTCATTCGCTGCAAAAAATCTTCCGGGACAGGCATGCCTTCCGTGTCCGAATGGATGATATGTTGGGGAAGTACTGACAAAGGAAAGATTGGCCTTCCTGATGTATTCTTCTGTGGTACTGGTATTAGGCTTGTCATTTAGAGTTTCTGGTGATTCTGCTGTCAATGATTCTCGCTCCACGGAGAAGCGGAAGGGATTATATGTCGCGGCATCGGGGTAATGCTCTGGATCGTTGTGGACGCCATTTGTCGGGACGGCGACACAACTCCCAAAGGGACAGAATGTTCCATTGGGGGCGGTGATTCCGTCCGGTGCCACGACTTGACGCATCAGCCCGGCGCCCAAGAATGAGCCCAGTCGAGAGGATTCCCGCAACGTCGAGTCTGTTTTGTACATCCTTGCAAGGCCGGCTTTGGTCCACACACCCTTGTCGGCGGCGATAATGGAGCCGGCTTCTTCGCGGATTTGTTCCAAGTATTTCTTGGATGGGTCAGAGGCGACCAGATCAAAAATGGCGTTTGTGATGCTAAATGTTGACGTGTGGATAGCGGCAAAGTTTACGGCGAGCAGTCTTTCGGCGATGATATCTGGGTCACGCTCGGCAGGGTACGGACTCTCACGAGCTCGATGAATCGACCATTGCAGGAAGTCGTTGGGTTCTGGATCGCCGAGCTTCTTCTCGATGTCCCCATTCTGACCTTCCAGAAGTCTCTGGCGTCGCTCGATCTCGGGTCGAACAAGCCGGGCGAAGGATTTCGTGTGGTATCGGTTCGGTCGCGCGATGGGGACAGCAGCAAGAGGCCGGAGGAATGCGGGGAAAAGCTTGAGGAGGGTCGATGCAATGGGAACAGCAGTGGCAAAACCAATCCCATGCTCCAAGAGTGCCTGGTTCCGACATAAAGGCAGGCCGACGAAGACGCGATTGCTGGTTCGAGCAATGATGAGCTTGAGGGTTTCAAAAGGACAGACTTCCTTCCACTCAGTCGTATCGGTGCCCCAGATATCGTCGAATGCAGCGCCCAGTTCGTCCATGATGTCCATGGTGAGGGCGCCCAATTGTCGAGTGAGCTCGCTTCTAATGGTCTCATGGTGTAACGGCTGATCTACAACGACCGGGTGAACGAACGTGTACTCTGTCTGCAGGACGTCCTTGTGAGGTTCGTCCACGCTCAGAATGCTATCTGGCTGATTGATGAGCCACGTTATTGACGATGCCGGGAGCACGATCTCGTCGCCGCTTAATTTGGCAATAATACATGATTTGTTGTTCTTCGAATACTGTAATTTGGTCAGCGGAAAGCAGATGAGGTAGATCGAGACACCTTGCCTGCTCATAAGCCTGATGGATCGACTCCTTGTAGTTGACTGTTGAGCGAAATCTAGCGCGCAAGGTGGTGAACAGTTCGCCTTCTCTAGTGTTGAGCCACGGCAGATCGGGCAGGCTTGGATTCGGCCGACGTCGATAATATAGAAGCACAACAACCACGACGAAAACAACGGCCAAGACGTGAGGCCGCAGGAGGTGTTCAATCATGATCGTAGATTGATGCAGAAGCTTGTGCGGGGAGGAAAGGGCGCCGAAGTTGATAAAAGACACAGTCAAAGACGCAGTGCGGTGGGTTACACTTGTTTATTCCTGAGCATGCTGCTGCGGTCGAGGGTCGTATTTTGAGGTGGGGTGGAGGGATCGTTCGTAGGGATCACCCAGTTCTTGGGCTAAACAGAATATGGAGAAATGCAGATAGGCACGTCGTCGAGTTGCCAATTTGGAGTTGGGGCAGTGTTCGGGATTCGACAGAACTGTTGCCAGAGCGTGTCAGCACTGCTGACGGTTCAAGAAGGATTCAAGATCACCCACCGTCCCCATGGCTGGTGCCATTCATAGATCACCGGAATACGGTGAGGAGCGCAGGGATGGTCGAACCAGGACTCGGGGCGAACATCAGCCGCATCTGATCTGGAACTGATGGAGCACGATGATCCACGGCGAACATTCATCTTTAGGCTCGTCCTGCCATTTCTGCTGATGGCGGAGGGCTGGCCAGGCATGTTTCGACGGATGATTGGCGCTGGGCGCAGTTACAAGGGGTTGAGTGGCTGAAGTTCTGGTGAGGACGGCGAGTGATTTTCCCGTTTCAAGAAATGTGTTGACGCGGCACTGAAACGTGAAGCTCAATGAGGCGCGTCTCGGAAGCTTCGAAGAATGCTCTGGGCTCAACGCACCGAGGCCGCAGGAGGTGAAGAGACGGGAAGCGATGGCTGATCCGACGCCATGCAACTTCGCTTCCCAGGATCGTCAACTGCCAGCCGGGCAAGCAGCGAGGCGAGGCGAATTGAGGCGACTAAAGGCTGTCTTCGAAGCCGGCTCGGAAGAACTCCGTCCCTAATATGTATGTCCTCCGAAGCTACCCAGGAATCCAGGGAGGTAATGATAATGTCCTTGTAGGGCCTTGCGCAATGCCCATGAAGCCCCCGAAGAGAAGTCCCCGGGCGTCTCCCTCAAATGCCTTCGTAAACTTAGCCTCTCTAAGATGTGGGCGCTGGGGGGCCCGCTTCGGTGGCTCGGTGGGTGCCGTTACCTAAATATTTGGGGACCCTAAATTTGCAGCCACAGGACTGACAGCGTGACAAGCGACAGCCACACTGGCAGCCACAGACGCGTCCAGTAACGAAAGGACACACGCAAATCCACCACCCAAAAACCCACCCCGCGCTACTCCGTACAACAAACATTGGTTCCTGAGTACAATTCGAGGAAACACTGTCTAGACACATCCCGATTTCTTTCTAGACGAGTGCCGCCTTGACGCATGCTCATTGTCATGCGCCCGAGATTCTCATTCCGCTCGCGCTGCCAATGGCAGACCCACGATTGAACCGCGTCGAAGGCACCTTGACCTCCCTCCTTGAAAGCCTCGTTCCAGCCCTTTCCCCCGACCAAGACGACACTGATACCGAGTTTCGCGTTGAGCGCGCTATTCAGAATGCAAAAGAGACTGTTTTCGATGCCGATGGCAGACTGCCCCCGGATACCAACCAGGCACAAGATTTGATCAAGCGGAAGTTGCTGCGAGAGAATGCCTCTCCAGAGAAAGCCGCGAGGTTCAGCAATCTTTATTCCAGACTTCTCGCTATTCCAGTACTCAACCAGAAATGGGCTATCTTGTACCTTCTCTACAAACTGTCGGATAAGTCCATCCCTGATGTGCGTCCTCGAAACCCACTCGCAGACTCGGAGCAACTCGCAAACATTCCGCGGCGACACACCTTGTCCCCAGAGACTACATTTACGGCGGAGGAAGAGCTAGAAGATGACGAGGAAGAACCGCAGCCACCGAAGGTGTCGATTCGCACACGCCGTGCTTTTTCAGCCAGATCCAGAAAGCCCAGTGAGCAAGTCGAAATTTCTGCGGAGGAGAATCAGCCACAGACTCAAGAACCAAAGGAAGAAAAACCCGTTGCGCAGAAGCAGGAGCCGCGAGTCTTTTATCCTTCGGAATTGGATCTTCTGCGTGATTTGCCTTTCAATCTGCAAGGCGTGTCTTCTGCGCACCTACAATTCACAGACAATGGCTCGCTCAAATTGCCGCCCAGCCTGCCGGTTCCGATCCTTTCACTCCTCCATGCCCTTGCAGAGCCTTGTCTGCTCTACCGGGGATTGGCGGAATATGCTGCAGGTCAGGATGGAGGCCTCATTGACCAGAGCCTTCGTTCCGCCATCAACATCGAACTCCGCTCATATTTGAGCCTTGTCGCTTCGCTCGAGACGGAGGTTCGACAAGCTTTGGCCACTGTCCAGAACGCGCATGACCCCAAAGCGGTTCGCCTGACTGGCGTCACGCTGAAGCGATGTTTGATCTGGACAAGAGAAGCCACGCTGGCCCTTCGACTTATGAAATTGATTGTCGAGGACTCGAAGCAAAAGCGAGGTGGACAACTGTTATCTCTGATACACAGCTTGTCCTCGTCCCACGGCGACCCCTTCGTGGCATCATTTGCGGAAAAGCTTCTGACCCATGTTGCACGCCCATTCTACGAGATGCTGAGGCATTGGATCTATGACGGCGAATTGATTGATCCATATCACGAGTTCTTCATAACAGAGCCGGATCCTACTGCGCAGCCTCCGGTCGATCATCGACACGTAGCAACTTCTGTGTGGGAAGAGAAGTACAAGCTCGACTCGGGAATGGTCCCCTCAATCATATCCTACGAGTTTTCCAGAAAAGTGTTCCTGATCGGAAAATCTCTTAACTTCATCCGTAACAATTGCGGAGACTCTGACTGGGTCATCAAATATTCCAAATCAAATTCGAGGTCGCTGGACTATGCAAATACTGCCAATCTCGCGCAGTCAATCGATGTGGCTTACCGAACGACAATGTCCCGGTTGACTCATCTGATGTCGACGAAATTTGGCTTATTTACTCACTTGACGGCGATCAAGAAGTATATGTTGCTGGCCCAAGGCGACTTTTTCGATCTTCTCATCGAGTCATTAGCTCAGCATCTTGATCGTCCGGTGAATTCAATGTACCGGCACAATCTAACATCACAACTCGAACATGCCATACGACATTCTAACGCCCAATATGACGACGCTGAAGTGCTGCGACGACTGGATGCACGAATGCTGGAATTGTCGAGCGGGGAGATCGGTTGGGATTGTTTCACCCTTGAATACAAAATCAGTGCTCCCTGTGATGTTGTCATCACTCAATGGGCTAATACGCAGTATCTCAAGATATTTAACCTGCTCTGGAGGATTAAAAGAGTCGAGTATTCTCTCAGCTCGACCTGCAAACGATGCATGACGGGCGGCCGAGGAGTCCTTGCTGCGGTTAGTGACAAGTTGGGCAACGATTGGAAGCGGTTAAGATGTGTGGTTGCAGAGATGGTTCATTTTGTCAATCAGCTGCAATATTATCTTCTGTTTGAAGTCATCGAGGCCAGTTGGAAAAAGCTCGAAGAGGCTCTGCACAAGCCCGAAGCTACCCTGGACGACTTGATCGAAGCTCACACAAATTACCTGAACAACATTACGAAAAAGGGTCTCATTGGGCAGCAGAGGCACCCGGTAACAGGCCAGCAAGAGGATAGCCTTATTGTCCAAGTCCACCACATCCTAAAATGCATGCTGGCCTATCGAGAAGTCATCGACTCGCTCTACTCGTACAGTGTTGCGGAGTACACTCGGCGTCAACAATTTAGTGCGAAGATTGAGCGACGAACTGCTCAAGGGAAATGGGGTATCACCGAGAAGGATCTCCTCGGCGATTCGAGGGCAAGCACACCCACTTCTGTGGCAGCCGCAGGAGCTTTTAGGAGGAATCAATTGCTTCTGGAAGAAAATGATTCTTCGCTTGCTCCGCCAAATGAGAATATACACATTACGGACGATGAGACCCATCTGAATTCCCTGAGGACACGACAATTGAATCTATCGGCCGACTTCCGATCGCGGCTCTGCATGTTGTTGTATGACTTGGCCCACCAACCCGATGTGGATCTGAGGTTTTTGGGCGTTGTCATGAATTTCAACGAGGTTTACCAGCCCGTCAACATCCGACGGCAACAGGCTAGACGCGCTCGAGAGAAGCGAGAACTAGAGCGGAAGGCTCGTGAAGCCACTGTCTCTTCCGAAGGCAACATCTCTCTAGAAAAGGACTTGAACAGCTCGGCGTCGAAATCGTGAAGCATGGCAGTGAACAAATATGACGGCCCTTTTTTTTTCCTGGTGGGGTGAGGCATTCTCGGCGCAGAAAAGAGCCTTGCATAGCTGCCTTCTCAAAAGGCGGACCGCACATAGAAGACCAACCGTGAGGATTTGGGGTGGAATGACGGCAAGATCGAACAGAGGACGCTCATCGTTCAACGGGCTGTGTCTCGTGCACCAAACCAACAAGTGGTGAGCAGTTGGGCTTGATTTTCAACCTCTACCATGGAAAACGTCTTCCTATACCGATCCGTAACAGTCGAAGTATTGAGCAGCCGTCCCTTCTACTGCATGCACAAACATGTGGTGGTCTATAAGTTGCCTCATGTTCGTTTCACGCAATTGGGTTTATTCTTCTACAACAGTCTCCAACAAATGTGACCTCGGCGTATCATGCAAGGATGGGGAAATGGACGTTTCTCGTGGTCGGCAGGCCCCGCTTGCGGCTCTAAGATTCTGCCTTGGAGTTTGCCTTACGATAATGGGATCGCCCCATGATCCCTCGCTAGAGAGGCTGCTGCATGCACAGCACCGGTTAACTATACGATCCAAATGCATTGAAGATCTCTGCCTTCCGTCCATCTGCCTCCAACGCTGGGCATCAGTTTCATCATGGATGGGTTGAGTACAATTGGAAGCATCATCGCCATAGCGCAAGCCATTGGAGCAATTCCCAGCATCATCAAAACTCTCGATAGATTTGTCCACACCAAACGCGAACTTGCCGGTTTACTCAATGAAGTGAGAATGTGTCTTCAGAGTCAGCGTTGACTGTTGACGCTAACTCAAAGCCCAGCTTTACACGTTACAACTCCTACGGCTCGCAGTCGAGGATACTGGGAAGCTGTTTTCGGCTGCGGACAACCCTGGAGAACTTGCCATTCCAGAGCCACCGTTGTTAAGCCGTGCGAGGACAAGTCTAGACAAGATCATTACCGAGCTCAGATTGCTGGCTGATCGTTTGGAGAGACAGTCGACTCTGCACCGATTGAAGTTTATTCTTTGTTCCAGGAAAATTGCCCAGTTGCAAGCAGACGCCAGAGCCATTCGAGAAAATTTACATCTGGCATTGAGTCAAATGGCATTACTCTCACAACAGTCAGTAACCCTTGATGTACAATTTGTTGTTTGAAGGCTGATACAAAATTCAGTGCACACGGGAAGATGTTATTAGAGGTTCACTCGATAATATCTAACAAAGACGTCCAGTCCCATCAAGCTCTTCCTCCCCAGAGTTCATTGATTCCCTCAATCGTGGAGTCTGAAACCGGTCACACTGCAGGGATGATATCAGACCAACCTCCAGCCCTCTTTCAGTCAGATTCTGTACCAAACGAAAGGTCAGAAGCCCCTGCTCATCACACAGAAGCGAGACCGAGTCGCGATTTTGTGCGCATTGAGACGTCCTTGAGACTTGAGCGGAAATGCAATGTTTCCTGCCACTGTCAGTGCCACTTCAATCGCATGCAGCTTCGCAGTCCTCGCTGGTTAAGCTGCGCGCTTGGGAATTTCTTCCTGAGCTACGACTGTCTTCCGGTTCCAGGACGCTGGAAATGCGACCAGGCGCAGTGCAGCCGTTCGAGTTCAAGCCTTCATGTCAGCTATCACCTCCCTCGTTGGCTGATAGATCGCGCTCTTAGTCTCACGGCCTCTTTTGATGGCCTCACCGGTGGAGGCGCCACCATTCACTTCACCGTCCCTCGCATTCTCGGTATGCGAAACATATTATGGAAATATATCAGCATGGACGATGTAGTATGTGTGGAGAAGCTTCTGCGGGAAACCCGTCATCGCCCAACAGATATGAATGAGTATGGCCATTCACTATTACAAGTGGGTACCTGCTTGACATGATCCAGATGGGACAGGGGTCAGTTGACTGTTCTTAGTACGCCATTCTTCAACGCGCTTCTCGGGTATTTGAGCTCATGAACCAAACCTGGCAGCTTCACAGGTTCCCCAACAGACGAGACAGGTATGGTCTAAGCAGAACACATCGACCATTCCATCCTAACCAAGCCATTGTCATAGAAATTCGATGCTACTCATACGAGAATTGGTTATGACCTCACCTAAAAGGCAGACTGACCCCTTCATCCTTGCCATTAACAGGTTGATTGATTGCGACGAAGATGAGGTAGCGATGCAGAGCCCAGTCCATAAGGCAGTGAGGGCTGATGCCGATGTTCTTGAAATCATCAATGAAGAGCGGAATTTCCTCGCCACTACCGATGATTTCCATTGGACGCCATTGCATCTGGCATGCGCATTCGGTCACAGTCGAGCTGTACAGACACTAATAGATGCTGGATCGCCGCTTGACCTACAAGATTACAGAGAGAGGACGCCACTGGTTGTCTCGGTGCATTATGGTCAATACGGCTCTGCTCTATGCCTCGTCAAAAATGGCTGCAACATTCTCGCCGTCGATGAGAATGGCGACAATGCTTGCGCACATATATTGCGACAGGATTTATCCGAAGCCTCAATCTCTGTTCTTGCCGAATGCCTCAGACGAGAACCCGGCCTCGCGAAGGTTAGAGGGTGGCACCAACGACAGCTACTGCACTTCCTGGCACAGCATCAGACAGTAGCGGGACCATTCACAGAGCAGTGCTTGAGAATGCTGCTTATTGCCGGCGCTGATCCTGACAGCCTCGATGCTTTTGGCGCGACTCCTCTCATACTTGCCGTTGAGAAAAACAACGTCACGGTTGTACGCCTCTTGTTAGAAGCCGGTGCCAGGCTCGAGACCAGCGATCATGGCTACGGCCGCCGCATTCTGCACTTTGTGGCGCTCTATGGCAACTTGAAGCTGATCAACTTCTTCCGAACCGTGACGGCCGCAGGCCAGAGTATGACGCATGACACCGAGGATCTTGATGGCAACACACCGATCAACAGCTGGAAGTGGAGGACACAGTCAAATGGACGGCTTTGGCCCGGAATGCGCCGTCCTACCTTGGAGGAAACGGACGCGTTCGAGGGTCTCATCCAAGACATCAGGAACCGTGCCGTACCTCGTTGAAATCAGAAGCCCTCAGGTCCACGATTTTGCGATGGGTACGCGCCACAATTTCAAAGCTCTTCCCAGAAACTACAAGAAAAGTTTTTTTTTTTGGCGCTCCGCCCAACTCTTATCGCACGGAAAGAAGCAGATCTAACCCTCCCCCGAAGGCAGTCAGTGGTCAAATGAGGGAAAGAAATGACAGCGCGAGCAAGGGATCAGTCTCGGGGACTCAATTGATTGCGTTGCGACGCCAGCGAATGCTTATGTATTCCTACATTCAGAGACGATCTAATTGTGCTTTGCACAAGGAACATGAGATTCTAGAAGCTTTCCGCCCTTCGCTTCTCGGCTGGCTCTCCAGCGCCCAAGAATTTCCGAATTGCCCGATCAAACCCCATAGCAAGCAGCCCATAAGAGCTCATGACAGAAGAACGAGAGGCGGGGTCAAGGTTCGAAAGGTGCTCGATCGCGCGGCCGGCGAGGCAGAAAAAGGCGAAGAGGAATAGAGTCAAAAGGTAGGCTCTGCGAGGGTACTGGACCCGTGCGCCCACGGCCTGCGTTGAGGCTGTGCATGCAATCCGACCTATTGCGGGTTACCAGCGAGGTACTGCCTCCCTAGCCTCAAGCATACGGGGCCGGGCCGTCGTATTTCACTTTTACGAGCAGCAGCCATTACCTACCTAGGGACGTATGAAAAGTCTCATTAGCAGCTTGTCCCCTCCACCATCATCCGACAGATCCATGTTTCTCCTTCTAGAGTTGTTATACTGTGGTATCGCAACTTCGGCCAAGAAAATCCACGCGCCAGTCCCATACTTTGATACAGTGCCAGTGGGAAGCGAAATCGGGGATATTTTTGTATCGGGAGACAAAAAGGGCAATTTCAACCCTGCCGCCACGTATTGCTGATACGACACAACGGGCCAGAATAACATGTGCTGCCCGTTTCTGGGACTTATCCTCTCATGCGCCAAGTCGCGCAATCGGCCCATCTCTTCCATTGAGGCGTTAGTATCTCCCCTTCTCTCTCAGAGTCCAGCAACCACGCCCCTCGCTGCCTAACTCTTGTCCCAACACAGAAGCGCCATAGCCGCCCGAGAACACAACAAGAAACCGGCGCTGCGAAACAACGACAACAACCGAGACGTCATTTACCATACCGATGGCAGGGGTGCTCCCCAGGTAGAGGAGCCCGGGTCGAGATGGAGGTTTGAACCATTTAAGATTGGGACGGATGGGTGATCAAGGGCACCACGTCTGCCAGGCCGCCTTACGGCTCGGGGGTGTCGCCCAGGATAGGTAGCCAGATGGACACTCCCAGTGTGCAACGAAAGAAGATAAGGCGATGAACAGTGAGGAGTGAAAGACGGCAATAGAGCCTGCTTGCCCCATGTGCCGAGTACCTTTTTTCTTTTTCCTTAGCGCCACTGTCCACAAAGACCTTCCTCTGCCTTGCCCAGCACGGGATCATTCTCGGGCTTCGCGACCGCCCATACCTTCTCGAAATTGCCCACGTCCTCACCCCCCTGGGCGAAATCCCACCTCCCTCCACCCTTGGGGTACGCGCCGATCATGGTGAACCCGGCGAGCTCGACGCCGGCCAACGTGTCCCTGACACTACTCCCGCCGCCTTCTCCTCCGGCGGGAGGGACCGCATGCCCGTCGCCGGGGGTGAGCAGCCTGAACTCCGCGACCGGGGCCGCGTTGAAGGTCTTGTGCGCCGTGCCCGCGGGCAGGACGAAGACGTCGCCCGCGCGCGCCGTGACCTCGACCCCGCCCTCCTCCCGACCGGCCCCGTGCGTGCTCTCGTCCAGGTCGGCGACCGTGTCGGCGACGCCGAACCGGATCGTCGCCGTGCCCGTCAGCACGGCCATGCACTCGTGCACGCCCGAGTGGTAGTGCGAGCGCTGCGACGGCCCGTAGCGGAAGATCCACTGCGTCTCCCACCCGTGGCGTGCGAACAGGTCGTGCGCCCTGGTCGCGATGCTCGCGTCGTCATCCGGTTTGTCTGTGGGTGATAGGAGGCCCGGGTAGTGGAGGAGCGGGTGTGGTGAGTTGGGCACGAGGGCGGTGGGGGGAAGATGGTATTTCTTTACCTCGACCATTGCTGGATTGTGCGCTCAGGCGCGCTTGGTGGAGGTTGTTGTCAGCTTTTGTCTGTTTGTTGGACAAGGGTAGAGATGAGTTTGGGGCACTCTGATAGAAGGCCTTGTGTATCTCGTACCCAATGACGCATGGCCCCGGTGACTGTTCAGCAAAATCCCCGCTTCGAGACAAAAGTGAGGGGATCGATCACCGTGGTCGGCTCGGGAACGTCCCAGGCTGCACTGGACGACGGGCGACATTCGACATCATTGTAGAACTACGTGAAAGAGAGTGGGATAGAGAATCGTAGTCTGATAATATGGTAGCAAGTCTCTTGTTACATAATCACGTCTCCAGAGTCTGTAGGCGCTCTCACAAGAACTCCAACTTGGGCTGTTGAACCTATATTCCCCATCTCGGCCGGTGCCTTTCTTATGGTCGCTGCTGTCTCACTCACTGACGCGCAGGCTTCTCTGGCCGTGCCCGCACTTCCTCCCTGCTTTCGATGGCTTTCCTGAGCGTCTGAGAGCGTTCCTGCTGGTTCTGGGCACAGATCCAGCTCCCACGCCAACATCACCTGAGAGAACAACACTCCCAGCACATCCGCGAACATGACACGTTCGCAAGTCTTCAACATATCCCGTAGCCACCAGGACGGCAAGCAGAGCTGGCTCCGGTCCTGCGAGAGATATACACCGTCATCGAAAAAGAACCTCTTTCCAAGACATTGTTCCCTTGAATGCAAACCCAATTTATCCACAAGTCGGCGATACACCGACTTTCAGACACGCAAAAGGCAGCACACCTCCTCAACAGAACACCACTCCTCACGTCGTTTGCTTGAGGATGTACGTCTCCTCCTCCGCCTGCGACTTGTCGTATCTGTAAAGCACCCACCAGGCATGGATGATCCCCGGCAGCCACCACAGCAGGCACAGCAGGATGTTGATGATGAAATCCCCTCCGAAGCCCTCCTTGAGGAATACCGCTAGCGGAGGGAGGAAGAGGGCGAGGACATAGAGCAGGACGTCGGATGCTGATAATGATAGTCGACTCATGACGGTCTGGTGCAAGGTTGTATGTTGGTTGTATGTTTGATGTATTTTGGTGGAAATATGGTTTTGTTCTTCTTGACTGGTTGTCTCAGTACTCCGGTTCAAAATCGTGGACAAGTAGCCTTTTTTAAGTCCTGGCGCGAAGTGGACCTAAGTATCAATCCTCTGCTGCCTGAAGTGAGGACAGACGAGAAAAATAATAATAATAACCCGATGTTCGAGAATTTTCATTTGCCTGGGGTTTAGTCACGCCGACAAGTACGAGAGACAACGAGATCATTCGATCCTCAGGAGACTCCACTTACCCCAGATGTGCTGCGCGAGATTGAGATCGCGGGATACAGCCACTTAGCTTCCCACTGTATCTCTTGCGGCGAGTCGGTAGTCTCGTTTTGAGGGAGATACTCGAGAAGAGACCTACAAGTAGGCGGATGGCGCGTGATGTCCCAATGCCTCTGCCAAGCCTGTCATCAGGTGATGCTCGGGTCGAGGTCGCTGACGCGTGATATTTCCCGTATGAGCAGGACGAGGAAGTGGCTTTCGACGTGGTGTGGACTCATTCTCCAAACGAGGAGCAGCACTGATCCTAGGGAGAAGCGACTACTTGTCAGGTTGATCATGCTCTGAGAAGTAATTAATACAGTTGTGTACCAGGCTGAAAGGGGGTCTCGCAAATCGCAGGGTGGCGGAATACTGCTAGTTCCTTGGCAAGGCTACTTCCCAGCCTTGTCCGGGTCGAAACGTGATCGCATCCACTTGTTGCATGTGAACACTTTACAGGCACACACGACGGGCACTATCAACTCTAAGAAACTGTGTTGGCTGGTCGTCGTATCTCCCTTCTTAACTGTCGATCTAGCAGTCGAAAGCACCGCGTGCAACGTCCAACGGCCCAGATCCTCGAGAGATGCCCATCAAGCCCCTCACGTTCAAGGGCGACAAGAAGCCCAAAAAGCGCAAGCACCGTCACGAGGAAGACGTTGACGACTCCCACAATGCCGGCCAGCCCACGGCCGACCCCTCGGACGACGACTCCTGGACCACCCCCGACGCCCCCAGCGATCTCTCCGGCCCGGTCCTGCTGGTCCTCCCCACGGTGCCCCCCACGGCTCTCGCTGCCGATGCGCACGGCAACGTCTTTGCCTCGCCGCTAGAAAACATCGTCGAGGGTGTCGCAGAGACGGCAGAGCCCCATGACGTGAGACAAGTCTGGGTCGCGAGTTCCGTGGCGGGTATGGGAAAGGGAGAGATGAGCTTCAAGGGGAGCCACGGCGGGTTTTTGAGCTGTGACTCGGTGGGCGTGCTGGGCGCGAAGAGGGAGGCCAGAGGCGTCGAGGAGGGATTCATAGTGGATTCTGTCGACGATGCTGAAGACGGGAGAACGAGGTGGCGGCTCCGAACTGCGGCGTCGAAGCCGGAAGACGGCGACAAGGGAAGACGATATCTTTGCGCCGTCACGGAGACGAAGCCGTCAACCGCAAAATCAATCAACATTTCCCTGCGTGGGGATGGGGAGGCTTCGTCGGATTCCACCCATCTCGTCTTCAAAATGCAGGCCCGCTTTAAGCCACGGATACAACAGAATAAAGAGACAAAAGCACGCGAAAAGGTCAGTCGGAGAGAGCTCGAACAAGCGGTTGGTCGAAGGTTAGAAGATGAAGAAGTGAAGCGCTTGAAGAGGGCCAAGAAGGAAGGGAACTTCTACGAGGAGGTCCTGGACGTCAGGGTGAAGGGGAAGCATGACAAGTTCGCCAGTTAAGATACAGCTTTGGTCCTATCATGAATCCGACCGGCCACGCCATGACAGACGTCGCGTATTCGAACCCAAACCCACGTATCCCACACCTTCATCCACATGGAGACTCATTATCCGTCATGTTTTTCCCAACCGTCCCATCATGTATCGACGCGTGTAACGCGTGTACCTCCCTGGTGCCAACTTAAAAACATCGCGGAAACGCCAGACGCTATGCATCAAAACTACTCAAGGGTATATCGCCCGAACATCATCACCTCGTCAAAGGCTGGGGAACAGGCGACCTGCGATCCGACGCCCTGGATGATGTGTTAGCAAGCAGGGGTTTTGACATTTGGGATCCGTTCGAATACTTACAGAGGGGTCTCGACTCCTCAGCCGCGCGACCTTCATCAGCCCGCTGTTCATAACTGCGAGCTTCTCTGCGCGCCAGTCGTTCACGCAGCCATGCTCTCCTCGCGGATATCCCCTGAGCTCGAACATCGGCCGGGATCTCGTCTTCCATCGTATTTCGTCTGCGAGCGAATGGTCCATTCTCCATGCTTGCAGTGGCAGTCCTCGCCTGATCCATGGGAATCTGAGGAGACACCATCGGTATCGAAATGGTCCGGACCGAGCGACCGGTTAATGCAAGTATCGGCGCAGGGAGTCGATTCATATGGGTGCCCGCTGATGATTCCTCTGGAGCGCTCGATCGCTGCCGCATCCTCCGCATTAGTCTTTCTCGCCTCACCATGAGGTTTGTCACTTGCACGGGACAGTATCCCGCGGGAAGCGACGATTTCTTGCACAGTGGACATAATGAGCTGTTGTCGCGGAGAAAGGGATCGATGCACTCCGGATGGAAGACATGGTTACAGGGCAGTTCGCGAACGGTGGTCTCTCCGCTTATGAAGTCGTCCAGACAAATTGGACACGTCGACTGAGAAAAGGCAACCGGCCGGACCACGATGGCTGGGGCAATTGCACTCTCGACGTCCTTCCCGTCATTCCCGTCATTGTGCGCCGGCTTTTCTGCTTCAGGTTTGACTGCATCAATCGTTTCGGGCTCGACGGTCTCATTTAGCCCGTCGCCATTGATGCTATTCGGCTCCGACTTCGCATGGTATGTGTACTTTGGCATCTTGTCAAGTAGCTCTTGTGGCACTTGCAGCCTCTTGATCCCCAATGCCTCAAGGTCAACCTCTCCGTTCGCCACTCGCCGCTGGAGGATGCGTCGTTGCCTTCGTTGTATCATGTGCATGACGATCGAGGTCATCAAGACCACGGCCAGAAGGATGGCCAAGACGATGATCAAAAACACCCATAGCGAAGGGATGCCGGTGGTTGTGTTGACATCCATTCTTGCATACAGCCTGATAGTATCGTGAGGGTTGTATATCTCGACAAGGTCGCTGCCAAATGGTACTTCTGACATGTTCCCTGAATAAAGCGCTAGTTCATTGAGAAGGAAAGATCCTAGCATCCCAGGTATTGCATATACTGGATATTCGTTTGTGGACTTCCATTGTCCACCGTCATGGAGAGTCCAGGAGCGATCGCTGACGGGAGGAGGTTGTGTATTCGAGTTGCCAGGTTGAAAGAATATTGCTCCTCGGACCTGGTCGGACCGCATGGCGGAGAGGTAGGAGAAGACGCATTCTGGCTCCGTCCACGGTGCCAACGCAATCAATGGGTAATCGCCCGGAGGTATCTGGGCCCGTGTCGTGGCATTGGCCGGAATCAGGGATCTAGTGGAGTTGTCACAAGGACTGGAGGGCGGAAGGGCGGGAGAATATAGAAGGCCTTGTATGACATCGTAATGGTGAGGATTGCTGGGAGACAGCGTGCGAATGAGGCCCGACGCTCTCAATGCAAAGCCAAAAGATTCCTTCCATGTATTAGCAGATTCATATTTTAAGAGTCTTGTACGCCGTCCTGATGTTTCATACATTGACAATGCGGGCTCCATTGGAGGGGTCATATTGTGGGTTGGGCAAGACAATCGCGACAACGCCAAAGTCCTGTGCGGCTGTGCAGCGGGTAAGCACCTATTCTTGTGTAAGACAGGAACATAAAAGGTCGCACTTACACATGGCTATCTAGGTTGCTCGAAGCAGTTGATTGCCACAGGCTGCGAGGGGAACAATTGCGCAGGCTCAGTCGGTCGGGTACATGGCTTGGGATGTGCGACAGGAATAACCGGACACTGTGCACCGGGAAACACGGATGGGATTAGAGAGGCTTGCGACTTCCGGATGACGCACGCTTCGAGGTCATCAAGTTCGATAAAGGAAGTCCTTGCGACCTCGTCGGCGTAGAAGGAGACAGATACAGGGAAGACGCGAAAGTGACGGGAGGGTGGAATCGAAGCCGGACTTCGACCTCAATGATCCTCGACCGTCGACGATCTGCGGCCTTGGACAATTGCAATGATGCAGGCCGCCTGCCCAGTTGGGGTTGCTCGTCCAAGCTGCGCCCAGCCTCTTGAGATTTGTCTCAGCATCCTGCAGCTTTTCCCGGGGCTGGGGCTGCTGTGAGTGGGCGCTTGGGCGGCCGAGAGGGGTGCCTTCAGATCCGGTAAGTGATTGTTTGGGAGGAGGAGGGGCCCCCAAGGCCAATAGTAGCGCCTGGGCAGGCTTGGGCAGGCTTGGGCAGGCTGCAGCTGGGCTGGTCGGCTATGCCGCTTCAGCAGAATCCGATCTGTTCTCCGGCAAACTTACAGGCACCAAGACACCAAGCGGGCTCTAGCCTAGGAAACGGCATGTTAGCCGACAGGGCGCTTGGCATCCACCTGCGGCCGAGTTCCAACGTCAGTCGGATGATGAGTGTTGAAAGTTGGCTTCGAGATCGTGCCGTATTGAACAGCCCACAATCATTGGCCCACAGCGACGACTCTGGTCAGTGTCGCGTCGGCAAGAGTTTGATATTGCCCCATCGAGAATCTCCAGAGACGGACCTCTGATGGAGAGACCGAGCGCGCAAACGCCACTCTGATCAACGTCCACGTCCCGCGCCCACCACCACCGACAAGCCCAGGCACGATCCCACCATGCCTCCCTTACCTGGCGCCAGCAAGAAGAAGAACCGAGACGGGCGACGGTCTCGAAGCAGGAATACCACTCCAAGCTCGGTGATCAGTGCCGGTACTGCCCCGCCTGGACCGACGACCACTCCTCTCCTCGAGTTGGAAGCGTCCAAACTTCTGGTGTCTTCGAAGCCGAATTATGCAGAGATCATAGACCATCTGGATACCCATGGCGCGAAACTGGAACCCAAGTCACTGCACGATATCATCGATCAGTTGAAGCATCTCAGCGAATCGGCCGAAAAGCGCGCCGAATCATGCGAGAAAGCCATTCGGCTCATTCATGAGCAGAAGAAGAATGTGGAAACAGACCAGCAAGATCGCGACCGCCAGGCAGAGCAGCTTCGCCGGGCAAAGGCGCGCAAAGAAGAAGCCCATTCACAGAAGAACCCCAAGGCAAAGAAACGCAAGGACAGACCCGAGACTGTTGACAATGTCGAGATCAAGAAGGAAGGTATGTTGGCCATCCATCCACTGCCGCCTATAATTCTATATTCATTCCTATCTTGGCGCTGCTCCGGCAAACTTCCTCTGTTGAGTTATCAAACGTCCTCTGAGGACGTGGACTGCGGCTAGAATTCACTAACGACATATGCGCAGATGAACCTTCAAAGACGAAAATGACCCGTGCCACACCTGGGCCTTTGGACACTCCTTCTCCTTCAAAGAAGACAAAACTCAGCCCTGGTACTTCGTCATTGTCCGAAGTCGCCGATTCTCCAGACGCTGCAGCGGCAAGCGCGCACGCCTCGCCAACCAAGTCGGACGTGTCCATGTCTGACGCTGAAGACACCCAGGTTGTTCAGCCGCCCATCCCCCAGCAAGGTTTCTTTCCTGACCCCCTGGCGCCTGACCCTGTCATCTACCACATTCGGGAGGTGACGCCTGGCATGTCAGACGAGGAGAAGAAGGAGATTTACAGCGTCACTGCGTATCCGACAAAGGACCTGAGTGATCAAGTCGCCGGCACGCCACCCGACAAAGACTTCAGCAATGCTAAGCCTACAAATCAGGTCGCCGCCAACACATTCCTCACCTACGTAGAGCCATACGTCCGGCCACTCACGGAAGAGGACATTGCATGGTTGCGTGAAAGAGTGAGTATGCGAGAGCAGTAATGGGACGAAGTTTTCACTGACGTGTGATAGGGCGATCGAACAACTCCATTCCTTGCAGTACCTCGAGGCAAGCGTTCCTATCAGGATATCTGGGCAGAAGAAGATTCGGGAACGATTATCGTCGAGAACGGCAACGAGAAATCATCCTTGAATCATCCAAGAGGAAATGTGGAACAAATCAATGATGAAAATGTTGTGACAGATCAGATTTCGACCGGTCCGCTTGCTAGCCGACTGCTTTCCCTCCTCAAGTTCGAGCACCGATCACCGCCCAGTGAGACCAATACCACAGGCGACCTGAATTCTTTCATGGCTGACGGCAATGATACTATGGACTTGGATGGGCTCACCAACGGTCACGACACCTCTGAAAAGCCACTGCCTCCTGCAGCAGCCGTCGCGGACCAGGCGCCTGCGAAAACCTCCAACTCTCAGCGCCTCGACTACATACAGGGTGAGGAACGAATCAAAGGCGAACTCCGACATCTTGGTCTCCTGGGACAGGAAGAGAATCCAGATTATGACGCCCACCATGACGATGATATCAGCGAGAGACTGCGCCTGCTACAGGGAGAGCTGCGTCGAGTCATGGTCGTGAACGGAGCCCGCAAATCTCGTCTGCTGGATCTGGCAAAGGAACGGCTCGCGTTTCAAGAATACAGTACTATCCATGAAGATCTCGACAGCCAAGTCCAACAAGCATACCTCAAGCGAACTCGTACATTGGGAAAGACCAAGAAGGGTGGCCCAGGAGCCAACAAACCACGACCGGGCGGCCACGGTGCGGGCGGACCCGGCACAGCCATGAGCGTGAACAGAGCCAGAGACATTGGTGACTCAGCTCGGATGCTCATGGATCGCAGAAAGAGATGGGAGAACTGCATCGGACCGGTCTTCAAAGATATGAACCACGGCATTCCACCGAAGGGAACTACATTGTGGGATCCAAAGATCATGGAGGCCTATGAGAAAGCCGAGTTGGAAGCTCTTGAAGAAGAAGCAGAAGAGTGAAACAAAGGGACTCGACTCTGTTTCTATTCCTGCCGGAGCGACACATGGAACAAAGCGCTATCAACGATGGTGGAAAGAGGTCACGTGCCAGATCACGTGGTTGATGTCTGCGGCGGTCGCAAGACGACTTCGAAACAATGCAACAAGGGAACTGGCTGATTTGAATTCACCGTGCGCTCACCAGCAATACTTCGGCTTCTCGAGCGTTCAGAAAGGAAAGAAAACAAAGGAAACTGACTTTGTCTATCGTCAAATTGACTTGGCTGAGAACAAAGGTGCTCCGGATCCGGCAGGAGAGCATAATGTACACCAGAACAGCACTTGCGAGCCGAAAGACATTCAATGGCCTTATGCCCATTCTTTCTCAAACTCGCTTGGCTCACATCCCAGCTTAATACGACTCGATTATTGACCGCTTGAGTTTTTCCACGGATCCTCGCACTTACAGCAGAGACCCAATATCGTTTCAGGCAAAACAATTTGCGACAACATGACGTTGGATCGCTTTCGCGTAGACTGGGACCCAAATGCCCTCCAAACATTCTTCAGTGATTCCGATGAGCGCGACGCCGTGGCCCCGTCACCCATTAAGCACTTTTTCAGCTGGCAGGAGCTCCGTTCATCGGGTCGCTTGACGTCCGTTGGCTCAAGGTTCCAACATCTCTTCTCCTCCAAACTCGATATTCCCGACGAAGACGAATGGTGCTTCGAAAGACCGTTGGGCAAGGTATGTTCTTTGAGAGATTGACCCCGGCAATAGAATGATCGCTTTGCCTTTCCTCATTCGAAGATCAGTGATTGACGTGAACCTTGGGGAGAGCATTAGGGATCCTTTGGTGCGGCAGCCCTCTATACCAAATGGAATGACAGGCAAGAAAAAACCGATGTAAGTAGTGAATATCTGGACGACTCCTTCGGACAACGGACCTGACGAAAGCATTGGTTAGGCATTCGTACTAAAAGTCACCGACTTCGAACCGGGCCAATTCCTCCCAGCTACATCGAGGAAGATATTCTTGACCGATGAAGCTGCCATCATGGCGCAAACCAACAACCTTGGATCAGACAACCTCGTGCGCCTTCGTCAGTATAAGGTGGACCGGCAATTCTGCCGGTATTACCTCGAGTTTTGTGAATTCGACACATTGGAGACACTTAGGCTGAGATACAAAGCATGGAAGTAAGTCCTATCCCGTCTCGCTGTTACCATCGTGGGTTCTAACAGCGAAATCTGCAGTAAATATCTTCCTGAAGCCTTCCTGTGGCATACCTTCCACTTCCTGGCACAAGCTTATCTTGACTTTTGCACGGGTCCGTACAGGAGTCTTAAGTTTTGGAATTTTGGAGAGATCCTGTCCGGCCAATATCTTCTGCACAACGACATCAAGACGGACAACATTTTCCTGGGCATGAATGCCACCAAAGACGAGGGGACTATCTGGTATCCTGTACCAAAGATAGGTGATTTTGGGTTGGCCATAACCACCAATGCTGACGAACTCACAACCAATACTGCCCAGGCCCTACAACGAGGCACCGTAGTGTGGTCACCACCAGTAAGTCCTGACTTTGCTATCCCCGCATATACCTGTGATTGACCAAATATAGGAGCAACGTATTCGACATATGCAGGATTGGCGTATGTACCATTTCGACGGCGACGTCAACCCTCGATTTCCTTCCAACAGGGACACCAGCCTGCATCGAATCCGTCCCGAAGCAAACATCTGGGCCATTGGTGCCGTCATGTGGAGTTTGATGACGATGGGCGAGATAGACGAACTCAGCGAGAAAGTCGACGACATCTTGTTGGGCGAGGGACCAGCCTGGAGGACTTTTGATGGGACAAACGTTCTCCACACCGTTGACCCCGAAATCATGAGCCGCTATAGTCTTGAACTCATTGAGCTCATCCAGGAATGCACGAGCTTGAGACCCGCCGATCGGCCGCCGCCGAACCGGCTGGTCCAGGACATCTTGGAGAACTTGCAAAAGTGCTTTGCACGGGAGGAAGAGGTGTTCAGGCAAACACAGGACCCGACGCCACTGATTGTGGCCTTTGACCAAAACCAAATCAACGACTTCCCCGACGGCGGCGCCAATTTCACCAAGCGAAGTTACTTCTGGGACGACTTCGCCGATCATCTCCTCTGGGGGCCGAAGGAATTGGACTTGCTCTGTCCGCCGGCAGCGCCGCAGTTTCTGAACTTTGACGACCGCTGGCCGCTCCCGCTGCGCAGGAAGATCAATGAGAGATGGAGACAAGCGGTGTTGAAGAGAGATAGAAGAGCTGCTCAAAGCCGCCACGGCAGGACAACACCGTCGAACGTATTGCAAAACCCAGAGACCAGACAATTCGACCAACATTCGGCAGACCAGCCGGATGCGCAGCCTCGAAAGCGAGCAAGGCTGTGACGGAATGTGGATAGGAGTTGGCTCGGCGGCCACTGCTCTCCTCTTACCAGGCACCTGCCGCCACTCGCCTCGCCATCTACTCATCCAGCAGAGCATGCTGGCTGCTAGGAGACTCGAAACCAGCTAAACTCATCGTTACATTCTATACGGTGACTAGCCCCCGAGATTTCCTCATTGAGTGAGCTCGAAGGCCGGAACAAAAAGCGCAAGGGCGGGGCTACCGTTGAAGACTGGAACGGATGATGTCTGAGCGGAGACCAAGCTCCTGAATATAACCTCGTTTAGTAATATCTATTGTGCGCTGGAATTCTTGACACCTGCTGTTATTGAACCCAAGCGAAACGCTGTGTCTCCAATATCGATACTACCGCCGCCGCAAGCAACCCAAGTAAGCGGTGCAGGGCGGCGCGACCATTGTCACGGCTTGGGCGACAAACAGCCACACCGCGATCCAGTCCGTGTCGGAGACGATGTGGTTGCGGGCCACGATCATCTCGGTCCACAGCACATCGGGCCAGACCAGGATCAAACACAGCGCTGCCCCCAGGGGGATGTAGAGCAAGGTGACGAACCACCTCCCCCAGGCGCTTTCGTCGTCGCGGTCATCGTCCTTTGTAGAAATCGCAATCGCGCCCACGATGGCGCCCACAGCGAAGCCAACGGCCAGGATCGAGTCGAAGATCTGCCAGTAGAGCATGAACCGGTGCCAACCGGCTGTCAGGGTGCGCGGGCCAAAAAAGAAGAAGCGATAAACCCCGAAGCCCTGGGGCTGGTTGGTCGTCCAGCTGATCCAGGCGGACGCGGTGTTGAGCAGCAGCGCGCCCCCGGTTCCCAGCCCGAGGAAGACGCCCATGACGACGTTCCCGGACGTGATGCCGCCCAGGAAGCTGAAGGCGTAGATGAGGTTGAAGTTGGGCAGGATCATGCACAGCGCGTGCAGCCGGCGCGCCCGCACCGCCCGGAACCACAGGATCTGGTTGTACAGGTTGTACGCCAGGAAGCCCAGGTTGCTGGGGCAGTTGTTGTGCATCCCCGCCGCGAACTGGGCGGGCGCGAGGAGGACGCTGGCGTAGAGGAGCATTCGGTTCGTCAGGCTGAAGCCTGGCATGATGTGGTTCGCCGTCACCGACATTGACGCTGACGTTGACGTTGACGTTGACGTTTTGTACGCCAGAAACGGACTGAAGAAGAATGTCCTGGTACTTTGTTCTCGTTGGTAATTGGAATCCTCGCTGTTACGGCTGTAATACTCTTGAGATTTTGTATCCCAACGGCTGGCATCTTGAAGGGAGTGCCGTCTGAAACCCTTAAATAATAAATATGTATGCCATATTGGCCTCTGCTGTTTCAACACCTTCCTACCTACCTACCGATGAGCCTCGCGCCACTGTCTCGGGGGCCAATTCCAAGCTGTTCAAGGCAGATTCGCCTTGGTTTAGTATGTCACTACTATCGGCCACCACCGCCGTCATCGGTTGGCGGTAGGAGAGAGACAACAGAACTTACCCTATGGCCAAGGGGCTTAGAAAGCCACCGACGACCTCGAGCAGCCTTTTGGGGAAACCACTTTGCCAGACTCTCCAGCTACGAGGGACATTTAAGGTTATGGGAGAAGAAGCCACAAGCCACAAGGTACAAATCCGTCATGGCTCTGGGCGAAAAGGGTGTCGAAGAGTGGCTGCGCCCGACCTTTACGGAGCAGCGAGGCATTTAGCGAAGGCCTATATCCAATCGTCTATTTCGTACACTTCCACGCCAGGGTCCAAGCTCCAAAAGAGGCGTCGGAACAGCCACCACAGGCCTGGAGCTTAAGTCTCGGGACGGCGCCTCGTCTCGCACCTTGAATTACCGCGTTAGTAGGCAGCACCAACCGTCGATTTAGGGAAAGAGGCTGCAGGTGAAAGGGGCCAAGGTAAGTCCGCACAGAGGGTGAAGGCGTCCCGTGTTCGCTGTCTGGCAAGAAGTGGAATGTAGAATGCATGCATTCCTTTCAGACTGTAAGAGCAGAGAGTGCGGCTCTAGTTAATAGCTATGGCTTAGCCATGTACTCGACTGAGTTGGACGTCTTGGTGTTCTATGTCTTGCACACACACCTGCAGTCTATGGAGTCCAGGCGGACAACAGGCGTTGCTCTGACGCTGGTGATACATCTTCCAGAGCGTAGTAGACTAAGGTGGCTATCGTAGATGGGGAACAGCGTCGACATACTATTTGCTAGGGAGCGGGGTGTGCGTTAGCTATATACCTAGGTAGGTAGGTATATATAGCCTTATGTGCGTCTCCACCCCCATAAAGTCAGCTACTTAGTGAAGCACAACAAGCTCTACCATTTTTCTTACGAACAAGTCCAAGTCAAGCATATCTTCTCAATTGTGCTCCATGTTGATTCACTCTACTGTCAAAGCGGCATTGGCTTTATTCATTCTTTGCTGCGGGGATGTTCAACTCGCGATGCCCACCACTCGGCGTCGTTGCCCAGTCTATCACTTCCTGTGGCTGGCTGCGATGCAGGATGCCCCGCGCCTAGTTCAATGGCGAAGCACCACGTGTCCAGGCGTTGACGGTCGTGTCTAGACTGTGCCTGGCAAGGTCTCCTCCAAAAGTCCCGGACTCTGGTCCCCCGCTCGATAAGATAAATCAGGCCGTGACCTGCGATTTCTTGCTTGTCTTCTTCTCAGCCGCGTGGCAACAATGGACTCCAAGCAGCGCCTGGACGTGCTGTATGCAAACTGTTTCCAGGACCAGGCTGAAGGTCATTTTCTGTACCGGCCACCCTCCAGTACCTGGCTCAGGCCGGGTGTCTGTGGTTTCTTCGACAACCAGGGAGATTGGCAGGCTCTGGCCGACCTCACCAACCCAGAAGACCTGGCAAAGAAGGGGTATTCATTCGTACCTGGTATCGAAGTGGAAGTGAGCGTAACAAGAGGAGAAGAATGGAGACCTCGCATGTCACAGAACGTCCGACGCATCGATCTTAAGGAGGACGAGTAAGTCAAGATGCTGAGCTCTCCACGCCCATTCTCTGACGGGAGCTTCACTTGATGGAATGGTTAGACTGACTCCTCCAGGATCCCCGGTCGCCCCGCCGGCGGCGGTTCTATGGCCCGGTTCACGAGCTCCTCGGGACCGGGCGCCATCCTTATCACTGACGGTGATGTGAAGCAGGCCTGGGCGCGGCCAATCCAAGGATTGGCCCAGTGGCTGCGCGAGAATTCTAGAGCTGTAGTAAAGAAAAATCCTGGTGCAAGACGCCAGCGCCTTGAGTTGGTTGTGTACAGTTATAGCGTCAAACGCCTTGCACTGGCGGTGATCAACTCCAAGGACGAAGCGAAAACGGTGGACGTGGTGCTCGGTACAAAATCGTTCCAGCCAACAGCTGCGTGGTGGCAAACCAACACGGCCACGGAAAGTACTTGGAAGATACACCACGATGTAAGTTCGACCTCCTTCTTTCCCTCCCAATCGTCGGGCTCTACGAGTTAAGCGTCTATAGAACTCGATGTTCCATTCTCAGCCTTCCTGTGCTCAATGCTGACTTAGGCTCAATATACTAGGAAAATGGTCTTGTCTACGCGATGGGCGGAATCGACTGGGTACCGGCCCGCGACCACAGCAATGAAGAAGAATCCGAAGGTGATGGCGACAACGAGGAAGGTATTGTTGAAGAGTCCGAAGATGATGGCGACGACGAGGAAGATATTGAATTAAGCGACAGTGGCAGCTCCAATGCCTTGGACGAAGAAGACAGGAGCGAGTCAGCTTCGCGGCCTCGAACCAAGATCGCGCAGTCCCAGAACAAGTCCATCCGCTACTCGAGGTCCAAACGTCGCGAATTACGGGGACCGGGGAGAGTTGCTACCATGTTTGCACAGCGTCGCAACTTGGGCCGAAAATTGGACGAATGCCGCGAATCAGTCCAGGGCAATTCGCCAGCTGCTGATCTGCACCGCTGGCCCGCAGGCCGCACTTGGCCTCCAGGTTCGGCACCATGGATGCCACTACGCCTACCCTTGGACAGCGGCCGTGCGGCGACAGATGTGGACCGATCTCTCGAGCACCTAATGGAATATAGTGATTGGCTGCTGCGAAATTGGTCAAAGTTTCATGCCATCTCAGGCGAGGATGTTTCAGCCACCGCTCTGGTATATCAGTTCTACAGAAACGTCGTCTCAGTGGTTAAGGTGAGTGAGAAGCAGTCTCTTTCACTAAGTGATCTGATAAGCCGGGCGCGCGCTACACTCGCCAAAAACGAGGACTTGGCCGATTGCTGGCGAATATATAAGGATTCTCCGCTATTAAATCCTGAAAAGGAGGTCCAATCAGGATCTGAGTTGGTCTCGATCATCGAGCCATGGAATGGCAAGTCTGAAGACCTCATCAGATATCTGCAGATGATGTTACAGACAATTGATCTAGCCATGGTGTCACATTTGAACGCTCACAGGTCGGCAGCTTTCCGCGAAAGCTCCGGGAATCTCATCCGTATTCCTACTGCCTTCGATGACACTATGAATTCGGAGCATATCCTCCTTTTCAAGCCTTACCGGCTTGCCTGCCTGGATGGTTTGGCACGCGGCCGTAAGGTCTGGGTTTTTCACCGTCAGTCCGACATGCCTAGAGAGCCTCTCTACCTTTCTGCGAGGGCGGATCACTTTGCTATGATATGGGGTCCGCTTTGGACAGTCCCTGCTGATGGGATGGACGGTCTGATCGATCACTACAATGTAGGTGGTGGCCACCTTTACCCCATTGAAAGCCGCCACGGTCCCCAGTTACTCCCAAACGAACGAAGGTGTCACTGGAGAAAACGAGAAGCGCCACATGACGAGCAGGAAGACGCCAGCAGTCTATCAGGCGAGGATTCCGAGCCGGACAGAAGTACTCCGGTACATTTACAACAAATGCGACAGGCAGAACCGCTGAAGGACAACTCGACCATGTTGATAGGGGCCACCGACAGCCCGAAGATGAAATGGTATGCTTGTCACTGCTCGATGTCTGATCTGAAGTCCAGAATGCGAGGCTCCCAAAAATTGCACCCACTGTCCTCTCGCGGGTGGTTCAACTATGTGTCCAGCACCTCGGTGGGTGTGAGTCTATCCCATTCGGGCGTCGGCGTGTCAGGCACGGCAAGCATACAAACAGACGAAGGGCAGACTCTGAAACAAGGATTGCTCGAAGAATGGGAGAACCACCCGCGAAGCTGGGACCCACGAGACTTGATGGATTTTCGAGGTGTGCTCGTCTCTGCGTGCACTTTCAATGCTCGACGTGTCCGCCTGGTGGAGTTGTTAAGCACCGATACCATGCTGGCAGTGATCGATCGATGCAAGTTCGACGATGAAAACACTCGTGAGAGGCTCATCCGTGCTCTAGAAGACGGTGATCCTTTTGCAACTGTGTACCTGTGGGAGAACAATTCCCACATGCGAGACGACCTGGGAAACGCATTCCTGGCTTGCCTCCGGGCTCTCTGCAAAAGTGGATATGACAGCCGCCACAATGTGTTCAATGTGTTGTGGAAGCCACCCCACGAACGGAAGGTCCATCGCCTCGAGCTCCAACCCAACGACCATCGATGGCTCAGCCTGCTGAAGGATACAGAAGATTCGATGACCGTGGCAGTGCTCGTGGAAGATCGACTTGCCACCCAGTCCAAACGGCTATGTGGGCGAGGTAACAACACACTTACCACTCTGGAGACCGCAATTACGATCAACAGATCGCTTTCGCCGGCTACATGTCTGAAAAAGGTCAAGGAACGGAAGTACAGAGACCACTCACCGTGGCGTACCGCCGACCGATGCTGGAAGTATGTGTGGAAGGTCCGTAATGTCCCGGCCGGGGCGTCCTTCAGGCTCGCGGAAGCGAACAGCCTCAAAACCCATTCGGTCTTGACGGACACACATCTCTTGGTCGCGCAGACGTCGGTATTGTCGCAGCTTCTCAAAGACCGGTTGAAAATCAAATCTTCCCGCAAGCAACGCCACTGGGAGTATGCCTCGGACAATAGCGACGATGATAGTGCGGGAGATGATATCAGGCCAGTGCCTGTGCAAGTGTATTGAGAGCAGGGAATGCATCGGTAGGTCGAAGATCAATGTTGGAAACGATAAGACTACCGAGATTGTCAATACATCATCCTTTTCCCCATCGAATGACATCGCTATACGACGTGTCGCCTAGACACCAGGTCTCTCCCTTCGCATATTCATCGAGAGACACCTTTGGTCGATCTTCGATCGATGTTATCTATCATCTTTTCCACTTTCAATCCTGAAAGTTCTCCAGCTTGCGAGAAAAACAACGACTCGAGTTGGACCTTACCATTCCGCCCCATTAGAGCAAGTTGGCACCCACTGGACTCGGAACTGCCCGATCCGATCGTCACATCTCGATAACCCGGGATCGTTTTTCTTGAGCTCGAAAACGCCGGTCAAAAAGGTGACGAGGATGACTGGCTTACGTCAGCGGTCAGCCTCGTTCGACGACAGCACCATTGAAATACGAGGTCAAGGGGTATGTCTACGCAAGCAGCGGCCTGATTTGTACGTTGCAGACGCGTCTGGATTGTACAGCAAACACCGATTGGGAGGAGGAATGTTGGCAGGTCATCTATGTTTAGGTGCTCCTTATTTTTAGGGCGCGGTGTGATACTCCCCAGCACGCGGGTGGTGAGGTCAACCATTGCACAGCTATTAATGACCGTGTTTGCGACCTGAGGACCTTTGCGACCGTCGCTGATTCAGGGATCTACGAACTTTTCGTTACTGTCACTTGAGATTTGAGCAACACTTTGGCAGATTCAATCGAATGCAGAGAGAGGTCGCGAAACGTGGATGCATATACTCCAAAGACCAACATGATCCTTGCGCTGCTCGCTGGCGGCATTGCAGCCTCGATTATATGGACGGTTCACGGCCTGGTCTGTAATTATATGATTGCCGCCAGGATCGGCCTGCCTATTATTCTGACCCCAGTCGACGCATTCAACCCGCTCTGGATACTTGCCAGACCGCTGCTTGCTCCGTTGATCCAGCAGCTTCCCTTTGGGCTGGGAGATTTTGCCGGGTACAGCTTTCTCGGCTGGCCATGGGAGCACAGATATCAAATGCACGGCCGCTATGGGGACGGCTTCGTTGTCGTAACCCCCGCAGAATGTCAGCTTGTCGTCGGCGATGTCGACGCGTCAGTCGACCTCTTGCAAAGGTGGAAAGATTTCACAAAGAGTTCCGCCATTTCTGCGCCGTTTGCTCTCTTTGGGCCATCCGTGCTGAGTGTCGAAGGGGAGACCTGGCAGCGCCATCGACGGATCACAACGCCGCCGTTCAACGAGCGCAATAGTGCGTTGGTGTGGAGTGAGGCGGCGAGACAGGCGAGGGATATGCTGACGGTTTGGATCTCAGCGGGCCCCGGAAAGGCAGGCACCATTCGAGACGATACCAACACCCTCGCCCTCAACGTCCTCAGCGGTGCAGGCTTCGGCAGACCGCAGCCGTTTGACAGCCGGTATCGAAAACCCGAAGCTGGCTATGAGTTTTCTTTTCTCGAGGCCATCCACATCCTCATGGACAGCTTATTCACCACCGTTGTCATGAAGTCGGCGGCGAACGCCCCGGCTTGGCTCCTACCTCGCACGTTCAAGCGAGTCAGAAAATCACTCGTGGAGTGCAGGAGACACCTGGGTGAAATGGTCAAGGCCGAACAAGAGGCGTACGCTAGAGGCCAAGGTGGAAACACGCACAATCTGATGAGCACGCTCGTCAGGGTCTCGGAGCAGGCCAAGCTCCATGTGGACACGGACCGAACCCGTCGACTTTGGCTCTCGGATGACGAGATCTATGGCAACTTGTTCCTGTATAACCTCGCCGGACACGAGACGACGGCAAACGCGCTGACCTATGGGCTTGCTCTTCTGGCCGCGCACCCGGAGCTGCAGGACTGGATCGGCGAAGAGATTCAGCATGTGATGGGAAATGGAGAGGAGGAGGAGGATGGCGCTCCTCTGTATGAAGAGGTGTTCCCGCGCCTGAAGCGGTGCTTGGCCATCCTGTACGAGACTCTGAGGCTCTATTCGCCGCTCAACGGTATCCCTCGCTGGACGGGGGATTCGTCGCAGAGACTCCGGATCGGCCACAAGACCGTGGTGTTGCCGCCCAAGACGTCGGTGCTTGTCAACAACGCCGCGACGCAGACGAACCCCGCGCTCTGGGGCCACGACGCCCACGTCTGGCGCCCTTCTCGCTGGATCTCCCGTGCCGCCGAGGATACCTCCCCCTCAGCCCCGGACCGGGAAGAATTGCTCCCCGGTCCGCTCGAGGGCCTCTCTTTCCTCACCTGGTCGCACGGGCCGCGAATCTGCCCCGGGAAAAAGTTCTCGCAGGTCGAGTTTGTGGCGGTGGTCGCCCAACTGTTCCGCAACCATCGTGCGGCGCCGGTTCAAGAAGAGGGCGAAACCATGCAAGACGCAAGACGGAGGGTTGAGCGTGTCGTCCAAGACTCACGGGTGGGTCTGACGGTGACGATCCGCCATCCAGAACGTATCAGATTAAAGTGGCAGCCCAAAGGGAGAGAGTAGCGTATGTACCGGGTCCCTCGTAGTGCTGTCTAGTAGGCACCCCTTATCTACACACAGCCTTGTTTGCACGCAGCCTTATCCACGCGCAGCCTTATCTAAGCACAGCCTTGTTCGGACACAGCCTTATGTTTATCATCTCCTCCGTAGTCCACCTCCCTAAGGAAGAGGCACTCTGTTTTCCCAGAGGATAAATCCAGGGTAAGCCCATCTTCATAGTGACGCTCCATAAAGCACAGATGGAGCTCTTGTTGATCCCCCAAGCTGCCCCAGCGACAACGTTAGACGCCGGCCAATTGGCGGACGCACGTGGGTGTGGTTGCCGCAGGCCAGACCGATGCTACGATACGCACAACGCCGATCCGACATCAGGCTTAATGTCGTCCTTTGCTCCCCTGCGCCGTGAGACACGCTGCTGACAAGATTCGGAGTCTCGGATTCTACGAAACCTGTGCAATGGACCAGAGCAATGTGGTGGCCGTCGCCGCCGGGGTGCTGCTCGCCACGGCCCTGCTCGGTTTGTGCGTCAATCGCGTATATTTCTCCCCTCTGGCACACATCCCTGGCCCTCTGCTGGCAAAGGTCAGCTACTGGTGAGTGCGAAATCCCGAGGGAGATCCCCCCCAGAAAAGGGGTCAAACCCCTGCTTTACGAGTGACGACGATGACTTGAGTGCGAGCGACTGACTGGCTAACCGCGCTGTGTAGGTACGAGTTCTACTACGACGTCGTCCTGCGAGGGCAGTACACGTTCAAGATCCAGAAACTGCACGAGCGCTACGGCCCCATTGTCCGCATCAACCCGGCCGAAGTCCACTTCGCCGACCCGGACTTCTACGATGTCATCTACGCCGGCCCTGCGGCGCCGGCGGCGCAGAAGCAGAAGCGGGACAAGTGGTCGTGGTTCTATCGCCAGTTTGGCCTGCCGGACTCGACCTTGGCGACCGTCGGGCACGATCACCACCTCCTGCGTCGCAGCGCCTTGAACCCCTTTTTCTCAAAGGCCAGAGTGCAGAGTCTGCAGCCGCTCATCGAGGACGCGGTGCGCAAGCTGCTCGCCCGGTTCGAGGAGTTCCAGATGCTGGGTGACCCTCTCCCGATCTCGCTGGCCTTTGCGGCCCTGACCAATGGTATGTACTACACCCACTGCACCGGCCTTTGGCTGGCTGGTTTGTTTGCTACCCTCAAGACACTGATATCACGCAGATATCGCCGAGCAGTATGTCCTGGGCCACAACGACAACCGCGTCCTGGCCAGAGACTTTGACCCGAGCTTCCACGACGCCTCGCTCGCGCGGAGCACAAGGGGCCATCTGACCAAGCAGTTTCCCTTCCTTCTCTCGCTGACGCAGCTCCTCCCGGACGACCTGACGATCATGTTTAATCGGAGCATGGCGTCTTACGTGAAGCTTCGGCGAGTGAGTCAGGCCTTCTCCATGTCCTCCCCCCTCCCAAAAAGTGGTGTGCACTTTGCTGAACGATAGTGAGCCAGGATATCAAAGCCCAAATCGAGCTCATCCAACGCCAACGCGACACCGCCGTGTCCAAATCCCCCACGCCGGCGGCGGCGGCGGCCCAGACCACCATCTTCCACGAGATCCTGAACAGTGACCTTCCCGAGGCCGAAAAGTCCACCTCCCGCCTCTGGCAGGAAGGGCAGGCCGCGGTCGTCGCGGGCACGCTCACGACCGCGGCCGCGCTGTCGTGCACGCTTTTCAGCCTGCTCTCCCAGCCCGAGCTGCTGCGACGGCTGAAGACGGAACTGCTGGTGGCGATGCCGAGCCCGACCCGGCCGCCCCGGCTCGCGGTGCTGGAGCAGCTGCCCTACGTGGCCGCCTGCGTCAAGGAAGGGCTCCGGCTGAGCAACGGGGTGAGCACGCGCCTGCCGCGGCTCACCCCGGACCACGCGCTCGTCTTCGTCGACCGGCACCGGCACAAGGGCAGACGCTACGTCCTGCCCCCGGCGACCCCGCTGTCCATGACGGGCATGCTCTTGCACCTCGACGAGACCGTCTTCCCGGCCCCGCTGTCCTTCAACCCGGACCGCTGGCTCGACGGGCCCGCTAGCGCCGCGCGCGAAAAGTCCCTGGTGCCCTTCTCGCGCGGCGCAAGGCAGTGCGTCGGCGTGGACCTGGCGCGCGCCGAGATCTTCCTCACCCTCGCCATGGTGTTCCGCGTCTACGGCAGCCCTGAGGTCAAGATGAAGGGCGACCGCGGGGCCCTGGAGCTCTTCGAGACCGACTGGGCGAGCGACGTCGAGATCGTGGGCGACGGCGTCGCGCCGCTGAACCGCAAGGGGAGTCGAGGGATCCGCATCAAGGTCAAGTAGATGGATTTTGGTAGCGAAGCCGTTCCTTTTCTGGAGCGAATGGCCCGCGGAAATTGCAGATATGCGAGTAGATTGAGGGTTCCAGGGGTGGACTTGGTCTGCTCGCACTTGGATAACTATGACGGACTGCTTCATCTCTCGCTGCTCCCTTTCGGCAACTTCTCTCTGGGCAGAGAGAAAAGACAAGTTGTACAGAGACAGTGGAGACAAAGGCATTCCGGCGAGCAGCGTACAAGAAGTCAACGGATTCCCCAGAACATGATGCAGTCTCGAGCCCAATTGCTGGCCATATGCCTGTGGCTTGTGCTATCTGAATGTTCACCGGACAATGCCTCACCAAGAATACCAAACCGCCCTTGTTTGCTGAGATAGAATTCGTACTCCCGGACCAAGAATCATGTCAGACAGCTGAGCATCTCAGCCCTGCGTCTCGTTCTTTGCGTTCTTATCAACCAAATCATCCATCATCGCTGTCGCCTTCCTCCACGCACTGTGTCTCATTCGATTCAATTCTTGCTCCCTGTCCGCGATTTCCTTGTGCATCTTCCTCAACTCGGAGTCTTCACTCATCTTCCGCTCCACCTCTGCAATCTCCGTCTGTGCCAGCTTCTGCATCTCCTTTGACTTTGTTGCTGCCAGTCGGAGAACCGCGGTACACCATTTACAGGGCTTTCCTAGAGGTCGTGCTTCGCCGGCAGCCATGGGCGCGATTGGGTTGACTAGGACGGGTCCGTGACCTTCGGGGAACTCTTGTTTGTGCTTTTCGCATTGCTCGGAGTTGCATGAGTCGGTGGTCGTGGGGTTTGGAGAGGACAGAGGTGCACCGGACCGAGTCAGTTGTTTGGGATGTTCGACCTCAAGCTTGCCACAGGAGAGGCGACCCCAAGGCCGTGGGTTGTTGCAGAGTTCCCATAGAGGACCGTTCTTCGGGTTGAAGATAAGGGAGGAGACTGGATCGTGGTCAGGATAGGGGCAGATGTGTAGCTTGATGCGGCACATGGTCACGGAAAAGCGCTTGGTATGATACCACCGGCAGTGGTGCGATCGAGGTTCTGAATCTGCGAGACTTGTGGAAGGAAGGGTGAAATGGTAGATTGCTGATGCTCTTCCGCCAGGAGAGAGATGAGTTATTATACCCCCAGTGAGTCAGAAATGTGAAGGTCTGATTGCTGATGTGAATGATTGCTGTGGTCATGCGGCAAAGAGGTGATTGTGATGTCGTGAATGGATGTTTGCTGACACTAAGCTGCGTGAATGGATGTCGGGAGTGGTTTTGAGAGAAGGAGGGAGAAGCATGAATCAACCGCTGCAGAGCGTAGTGTCTATGCCGCGATTCTGCTTCTCGACTCCAGGAAAGCGCAACCTCTCCAGCCGCGATTGTCTTGAACAGAAGAGCAAGGACGAGGGCACACGATTCCTTTGTTGCTTTTCTCTCGAACGAAATTCGTCCACCTGCAATTGATCAGAGTGACGCTTCCCTTGTCACAGACTGTCGGTAACCACCAGACAAACACTCTCTTTCTCTACCAAGGGCACATCCAAACCACCCTTGTCCCAGATCTCCGACTCTTTTGAATACTACCGAACCTCTTGGATGACCTCTTCAGCTCGAAAGCGTCCCACATCCACATCAGCAGCAAAGAAAGCACCAGAGAGCACAGCAAACATCAAGTTCCACAGTCTCACATCAAGCAAACCACAGATTCATCAACAAATCATTGCATACAGGCCATTCAAGAGGACGGACGGCTACTTGCAGCAGTCATCTCCGCTCTGAACAGCTCAACCAGCAGCCAAAGAACCGTTCTGACCTATTGCCTGCCGACCGAATCCCTGCCCTCAGCCTACAAGCTTTTCTTCTTCTTAATCAAAAATCGTACGACAACAACCCCTCTGTACGACACGAAGACTGCAAAATGTGCTATGCAATCAAGATTGTTTATTTCGGGTGTGTTGATGGGGAAGAACACGTGGAATATGCGGTGGTTCGGTGCAAGGGCGGCTTGGAATATATCATGATGATGCCAGTCAAGGAGATGTGTAAAGGGGTGAAGCAAGTGGAGGACTGGAAGATGTCTCCTTGCCGCTTTTGCAAGGAGTACATGGAGTCAAGGCGGTCGTTGGAGACAGCCGGTGGTCGAGCTCGGGCGGTGTCTCTGGACGCAGATAGGCCCAAGCGGGCAGCAATCGATGCCTTGTTGTAAGGCGCCTAGGAGCGTCATCAAGATATGACGATAACAATCTCCAACAACAAGCTTTGACCCAATCAAGTGTGAATAGCGTCCGTCTTCCGTTCATGTTCCTCTAACGACTTGAATCATAGGGTCTCCTCACGTATCCAAAGGATATGAGATCCCGTCACGGACCCTTCCGCCAACAAATTGATACTGCGATGAGCCTTGCGTCGTCTCAATAACCACTAGCGATCGCAGTGCGTCAAACTCGGCGTTTGCTCGAAATCCATCGTTCAGGCTGTGCACAGCGATCTTTGGCAAGGATCCGTACTGGAGGAGTTCAGGGCCTCCAAACATGGTGGGTGACTGGTCCAGCGGCTGTCGGAAGGACATCGTCCTGACACTGATAGCCTGCTCCTCAGCAACCTGTCAGTCTGAAACAGCGGCCACGGGAATCTCATCACGACAGTGATCCCAGCGGTCACCTCTCAGCTGACGCAGTGTCGAGACTGTGCTCAATTTGTCCAGTTCTCACAATATCAAATTGGGAATCCTGGACGGTCATGCTTGACGTCTGCTGTTTTCATATTCTCTCGCTGATCCAGATGGCTCCCCTGCATCCATATCGAATGACATCCGTCAGCGGCTGGTATGGCTGTGCCTCTTTCGCATCATTCTCGACGGCATAATCCAGATGCTCAAGCTCCTCATCACGTATTCGTTTGATTTCCTCAATCAAGACCTTCAATTCGGGATCAAGCTCCTCTCCTTTCTCTTTCAATTCAGTCATCCACTTGAAAAGCTCCCGCACTTGGCCGTTGTAATGGTTCCCAATCTCTGTCTCCACTGCCTCTGTACACGCCATCGCAGCCTCTCTTCCCATCATTCCTGTAGTCCATCCCAGGACAGTTGCTGCCACTTGCCAGACTGGATACATTGCTGTCGGTCGGATGCGGTGTTTCGCGAGAAGTTCATTGAAGATTTTGAAATGTCCGGCTTCCTGATCATACATGTGTTTCATGAGTGGACGGAGATGTGGGTAGGCTTTGACAACAGGTGGTGCCTGAGCGGTGTAGATGAGGGTAGCAGCAAGCTCGCCAGCCTGGTTTACACGTAGCGCACTGTCAAGGAATCTTCTCTGCTCATTGGAAAGCACTGTTTTAGGGTGGGTGGAGTCTTGAATTGGTTCAGAGGTGTCCTGGGTCGACATCTGTCGGACTGCGATTTGTCTTGAAGAGGACAAGCATGACTTTGAGCATCTGGGAGCACCAGACAGGGCTCTCCCGCAGCTCTTGAGCATCATCACGGCAACAAATTGACCATCACTTGTGAATTGATTGTGACTGGAGGCAAAGACCAACAGCTCTCCATGAGCATGGTCTGCAGGTGATCAATCAGCATTGATGCAGCGAGTCATTATATTGGAAACTTTGCCGAGAACGTAGTCATGTAAATTCCCAGAATGGCGTGTCAACTCCATACGAGGTGCCACCATAGAATCCAACGAAGAAGCCTCACCATCTGTCCTCCTTTGCGCTCTCTTCTCTCACTACGAAAGATTTATTCTGGTTTTACTGTGCCTGTGTACCATTTGACACATTTAGTTGTCCTCATTTGGTTTTTGCACTAGACTTGACTTTCTTTAGATCGGTGGTTGCCATCTAACATTTTCTGCCGGACCTCAGCGCAACCCTCCACAAACGACCAAGGCTTCAAAGAACAACACTGCCTTTGCAATCTCTAACATTTTTCCTCCTCCGACCGTTCGCCTCACCTTCTCCCTTTGACCATCAATACTGAGAACGTGCCTAGTCTCACTAGCACCGTAGTGAACAGTCGTCTTACTGCCTCACCATGGCCGACTTGGATGCGGAACTTCTTGCCCTCGCCGGAGGCGACTCCTCCGGCGAAGAGAGCATGCCATCATCCCCCAAACAAAAGTCTCCCTCGCCGCCACGCTCCAAGAAACCAACAAGAGAATCACCATCTCCAGACATGGCGCGCAAGGGTGTTGCAAAGGCCGTCAAGCGTACCAAACGTCGCAAGACGTACTCGGATGATGAAGATGAAGTGTAAGACTCGTGGTTCACCCTGACACTGCGATCACTGACGGGTTCGTTTTGCAGCTCTCTGCTTTCACAACATTCGGAGTCTGCATCCATGTCCCAGTCTGATTCCGAGGCCGACTTCAGCGCTGGTGCAGATGAGAAACCCATCTTCCCCTACGAAAAGCTCTACTATGACGCCGAAGACAAGGCCAGGATCGAAGCGAAGCCCGAGATCGAACGAGAAGAGATTCTAGCACAGCGAAGTGAACAGGTCGAGCGTCATGAACAAGATCTTACCCTTCGCCGCCTCGTCGCCTCGCGAGCTCGAGAGGAGGCCAAGAACGCGGCCAAGAACAAGCGCAAGGCCAGCGCCGCAGACCTGGAGGACACGCAGCGAAAGAGCACTCGACAGCGCACAAAAGTTGGTGGCGGTCGTGTCGGAGAGGCAAGCAGTGCCATCGAAGCCTACAAGCGTCAGCGGGAAGAGAAGAGTCTCCGTGAAGAGCAGCGAAAGAAAGACGGATTTGCGAGAAGAGCAGCGTCACCCCGGGGCGACTACAGTGATGCGGATGCTGAGGGCGAGAGTGACAATGACTACGACGACCGTCGGTATAAGCGACGATCCCCTACGCCACCAAAAGACGACCCCATCGCCGAACTTGCCGACATCCAGAGAGCTCGTGTTGGTCGTGACAATTTTGCCCAAGTTTGCTACACACCTGGTTTCGAGGATGCTATTACCGACTGCTATGCCCGTGTCTGCCTTGGACCTGGTCGTACCCAAGGAGTCAACGAATATCGTCTGTGCTTGATCAAGGGATTCACCAAGGGCAAGCCATATGCCATGATTGGATCCAACGGAAGGCCATTTCCCGTCGAGATGTACGTCAAGGCAGCGCACGGCAAAGCAGAAAGATCATGGTCATTCCTTGAATGCTCTATGTCCAAGTTTACGGACGACGAATGGCGACGATACCGCTCTGTCATGGCCAATGAGGATTGCAAGCTACCTACTAAGTCATTCATCAATTCCAAGCTCAACCAGATCAATCGGCTAATCAGCCACCGCTTCACCGAAGCAGAGATTTCGCAAAAGATCAAAGCTCAAAACGATCTTGTTGAGAAGATAACCCGAAACCAAGAGAAGGAGGATCTCAAGGCGAAGATTGCTGAAGCTCGCGCTGATGGGAAAGAGGATCTTGCCGAAGAATTGGAGAATCAACTTGCATCCATCGTGCCCATCAAACTGGCTTTTGGTACGACCTTGACCAAGCAGGATAGCGCCTACGTCAACCCCGAACAAGAGCGCCTTGCTGAGCTCAATCGCCGCAACCAGAGATTGAATGCAGAAAATGTTCGGAAAGCGCAACTTGCGGAGATGAGAGCACGCAAAGCAAAGAAGACCCTAGCTCCAGGCGTCGACGAACTGTTCGAGGGCGGAAGTGATATCAGTCGGTCGGGCACACCGGTCAATGGCGTGGGAACTCCGAGACTTGCGGCATCAGCAAGCATTTCACGAACTGCATCACCCAATCCGCTTTCGCTGGCTAATGGAACTCCACGAAGTGCAACGCCCCTCGCTTCCAGCACCCTGAAGCCTGTGGTTCTACAACAGCAGAAGAAGAAGGGTTTGCCTACCATTCGCAAGTCGGCAATGGACGATGAGATTATTGCGAGCATGGACTTGGGCATTGACATTGATGACATTGACATCTAGGACCGATGCGATTCAGTCAAATGGACGGGCGCCGAGCCTGCTGAAATGGCTGGACCACTCCCCCGTGTTGGACCCGCTAGTTGTTCACTTGGTTACCCAAACGGCCAGGATACGGTGTTCATTGAACTGGGACTGGCTTGGTCTCGAACTTGTGCCAAGTATTAGGACGAAAGTCGAAAACAGGAAAAATTATTCATGAGATGAGCCGGGGCTCTTCTACCAATCGTACGAAACAATAGGCATGAGCCTGGAAATATGCGGATTCAAGTTGTCAACAGGAGGCACACCATACCTCGCGCTTCGAAGCGCCAGAGTCAGAATCTGCCAAATGAAATGGTCACAAATCTTCACCGACTGCGCTAGCTGCTCTGCTGCATCTTCACCATCGTCACCTATTCCAGTGCTTCAAGAGCGATTCATTCTTCGTTTTTGCCTGTTCGTCCCAGTCACTCTCTAGGTTGCCACTTTTGGTCTGGCCTTCAGCTTCACTTTGCGTTTGCTGTGTACTGCTGCTCGTATAAGTCTGCCCTCATTGGCCTCCAGCCTTCTTTACCTCTTCCTCGAATTTATGCCCACTTGTCCTACCTGACTAATTGTCACAGAAACTTATGGGCAAGGCACATACTATGCCATCGAGGAGGAATACATCTCCTCTACCATCGTCAATTTGGTAAGTCATGACTCTTGCTGCTCTTTTTCTCTACCTGTGACTTTCTAAGCGCCCGCGTCAAAGACCTGCATAGTCACGTTTCAGATCGAAACCCGCCCCCGAACTACGCTCTATATGCAGCGATCCGCCTCGGTCGCTCCATTCGTTTTGTACTTCCGTCTTCTTGGAATCTTGTCGAAGCCTCCGCAGCCTGATGCTCAGAGCCAATTTAGCTGAGCGACACCCTCTGCACCATTTTTCATCCTGGATGTAATTCGTCCCGCTGCCGTCTGAAGAGCTACTTTTCTCTCGGGGAACATCTCCAGAATCTGGCTTCTCATGATTCAGAACAAGGGCACCGCTTCAAGACTCTCTAACTGGCTCACAATTTCTCGGACCAATTGCTCCTGCGCCAGTGGCCTTTTTGACTTTGATCAGGACTTTTCCTAGCTTCTGAGCGCTGGTCTTGTCCAAGGCACTTAAGCCAGCAACTCACAAAGGAAAGAAAACAACTGACATTCCCAGTCTGATTTAGTGCTCCTCGCCTGTACTCGCTCGAGTGTTCGAGCTGCCAGCTAGGCTCCTCTCAAGAAGAACGTCTTGCAACAACCCTTCCAGATATGTGCCTCTTCCACATTCTCAACTGCTCCGCGCGCAATGCATCTGAACTGCGCCGCACCCTTACGAGGCCTTCTCGGGAGGTCATCGCCGCCGGCTTGATCCGGTGCAAGTGGCACGAAGCCGTCACGAGAAGCGACTGGGATGCCCAAGACCCCTCAAAGTTTCAGGATCCCGATGCCGTCTGTCCCTATGTGGTAGTGCGTCACGACGAAACCCCCCTTCCCGAAGATGTCGTCAAGACTATTGTGGAAGCCGTATACCTGGAATGTGTTCCCGACCGCGGCTGCCCAAAATGTGAGGAGACCATATCCGCCGAGGAGATGTTGGGTCCCCTCCCGACAAGGGCAGAGAAGCTAGAATGTCTTCGCGCATCGGACCGTTCTGCCATTGCTAAAGGTGGAGATGCCTCTCAGCGTGGAGTTGTGGCTGTCCCAAGTACTGGGCAGAGACCTAGTGAAGGGACAACCGGGCCGAGCAGTGTGAAGAGGAAACATCACAACGGGAAGAACGACAAAGGAAAGAGACGAGATGATGACGACGATGTTGATGATGCTAGCAGTGATGATATCCGTATCGTTGAAGAAAGACAGGTGAAGAGACCCCGCTTAGGGAGTCCGCTGCAGAAAAGCATTCAGGACGGATCCCGAACCGTCAGTCCGGCTTCCGCCGCAAGTATACAACCTGCAAATTCTTCAATGGCGAAAAGCGTCCCCCCAGTCTCGGAGGAAGGGGAAACGTCTTCATCGCCGGCTTCGGCCAGCGCGACCATCGGCAAGGGGAGCAGCTTGAATTTAAGCGACGCAGCCTCGCGCGGACTTACTCACACACTGCGCTCGCCTGGACCGCCGCCTCAGGGTAGTGAGAATGAGGATGCACTACAGAGACGGAAAAGGGAGCTGAGCCTCGCAATGGCTGTGCACTTGAGCGCGGGAGCACGGCATTCGCGCGAGGCAGCACCTCTCGCAGAGAAAGTTCGTGGTCCCACCAGATCCTCGAAAGAAAGCAAGGAGAACGAAGCTCTTTCCATGCCTCCTCCGGCGCTGAATTCGAAACGTTGTAATGTCATAGATCTGACGAGGAGTTCCACCGTTGAATCGTCGAGATCCGAAACCGAACCACCAAAGTCACCAACGCCATCGGTAGAAAAAAGGGAAAGAGCTATCAGAGACCATGTCAGCGACGCCTTTAGACGTCTGGATTCAGCTGCCGCCCAACAAAAAGACCTTCCTCTGCGCGGGGCCGAGACTCAAGAAGACGGTGAGTTCGGACCAGAAGTCCTTCGCGCCGTCCGCGATGGCTACTTCCAGACTGCTGTGGAGGAGGTCTCCCGCCGACATTGGGACCTAGATGCGCCTGTAAGCTCCTCGAAAGCGGCTGGCGGGCCAAAAGGTAAAGACGACACCCTCCTAGACAGCATCCGGATCTTGCGCGCCGAGAAAGCTGCCTTCGTCGACCGCATCGCCGGGCTTCTTGAGGAGAAGGCGGCGTCGATGGAGAGGGAGGCGGCGCTGCTGAGAAGAGTCGCCGAGCTGGAGCGGATGGTACAGGCCAACGGGAGCGTGAAAGCAAAGGGAACGATTTCCCCATCGCCGTCGCCTGGGACACGATAGGCGGGAGAAGCAGGTCAAGAAGCGATGTTTCGACGGGAAGATATGTGCTCAACCGCAGGACATTAGAGGGTGAAGAGTCCTAGGGCTGCTACTGAATAGACACTGTATTGCGCTCGGCATTACAAACGAGGATCACGCGAAACAAGCAAACGTCACAACAGGATCTTCGCCATGTCGAGTACTACAGGTAAACCCACATCCCACTTGAGCTCCTCTGAAACGCTCTCGCTGTGGAAACAAGGTGGTGCAGCCCACATCTCTATCCACCTAGATGCTATGGGAAGGGGACGATGATCCTCCAATCATCGATGCAGCAGGGCTGGCGACAGATCCGAGCTACCATAGGGGCTTTCGGAGGCAATATCAGGACGAAATGCAAGGTGAAAGTATGAACCGAGAAGGAAAATCCCAGGAGGCGGGTTGGGAAAAGGAGATGGACGAGACCGAGTCTCCCTGCATTTCTCCAAGGAAAGAGCTGGAAAGTAATTAGGTACGGCACAAGGGCCAATCCGAAGAGACGCGGACGGCGCTGATATCTTTTTGTGACTCGGGTTCGGGTTTTGAAGGAACTGAGCAGCATCAATAGCTACTGATCGGGTTGTGCTTCATTCCTCCTTCATCCAGGGTTTGTAGCCCGCTAGGACATCTGCTCCGGTAAACACCAGCTTTCCTCCCTTGGAGAAAGATCAAGAGGGAAGAAGGACATAGTGCAGCGCAGATGCTTGGTCGAGGATTTCTTTCTGTGGCACTCTGCGGTGGAGACTATGCCTGAAGACGGGAGTGACTCTGAGACTCATTCCTTACCTTAGGGCTTGACACGTTCCTCCTGTCGTTCAGCACATACCATACCAGATCAGACACATGCGGGATTCTCAGAGAGCTGCCCTCATGCGACCGTTGAACCTCGACATGTACCAGCCTTGGCTAATGGAAGGGGCCCGAAGGAGAAGTCAGCCTAGGAGTCGGCACCGAGTCGATGTCCCAGCAGAAGGCCCCGTCGCCAGCAGCTGTGGAAAAGGAACGAGCTGTCCGGCAGCTTTTCATTGCATGCGCCACCTGGACGCCAACGTCTGGCAAACCGGGCTCAAAGAGACTCGCTTGCCGACCTTCACCTTCTCTGGCTGACCACCACAGACGATGCATCATCAAATTCGACTTTTTCTTCCAGCTTGTCTCACCCGGACATTGAAACTACGAGAGAGCAGTAGTTTTGGGGGGGGGGGGGGGGGGCCATCGAGGGCCGAAAGCCGGAAAAGCTCGTATAGCTGTATCGCCGTGTCCGTAGCTCGTCGTAGGCGACAACATGCACGCAGCACAAGGTGGAAAAGCGCCTTACCGGTCGATTCTTCGTGGCCCTTTCTCACCTGTTCACAGGGACGGTCGTGTCTCAGGCCGCCCGACCTCTCCAGCCTCCCCGATACTGATCGAGCCAGCCCATCCACGCGCTATACGGGCGTCCTGCATGAGTCATGGAGCAAGAGGGGCTTAAGCTGGCGAAGTTAGCGAAGCATTCATCCTTCTCGCTCCCCTGAATAATAATGTCTCCTGATCCTTTCGAACCAACGAGTGTGAAACTGGTTCTGGTTCTGGTTCTGCCTTGTCCGATCCGGATAGTCCATCGATGTCAGTCTATCGGCGGCGGAAGCGAAGGACATGACCGAGCGAGCGAGCCAGGTCAGCCAGGTCCATTATTCCTAGTGCACAGAAACCCACACACTAAAGAAGAAAAAAACGTGGCGTTGATGGCACCTGGCGCCTGGCCAGACCTCCTGGGGGCCGGAGAGAGGAGTTTGGAAAAGAAAGCTCCGAATGTGTACACTCCCCCTTGGAGGAATCAGACTGGCAGGCGTCCTCCGTAATTTACTGGAAAAGTCCTCTGCGCTCCTGTTGGACAGCCTTTGAGGATCCTGCGAGGCGGCGGGGGAAGGAAGGACATGGCTACGAGGACCGCGCGTAGGGTCATGCTAATTCCTGAGGCCAGTTGGTGGCTCTATTGCGTGATCCCGCCCTCGGAACGGAGAGGAAACCTACCCCGAATGTTGATAAGTCGGCCGAAAAGGCAGGATAGAGTACTCCGTACCTCGTAGGGTTAACACGTCCTAGGCAGTCCGATGGCGTTCTCCTGGTCTGAGAGAGCAAGGGGGGGTTGATCACCCCTCGTCACCCGTATATAGCGACAAATCGACCACGTTTTTTTTGCTAAATTCAACAATCAGCAGTAGCAGTAGCTGGAGAAGGGGCCCCGAATGTCACGACCTGGAGGTCCAAAACACTGCCTAATTGCACGCGATGGGAGCCGGGGAGGCATGCAATAGGGGGCGCAGAGGAATAGGGATGCAGCTACATATGCGCGCGCACATATACATGGTTTGTAGCGAGTAGCGGGTAGCGGGTAGCGAGTACCCTCGTAGTCACAGCACAGCACGTCGGATGCCGAAGCGCCGTGGGCCGGTTTTTGGTTTATGTAAGGGAGGGAAGGAAGGCTAGTTAGGTACATATATGGCAACTAATAATTGCTCCCTGTAATAGTAGTAGCAAGCAGGTAAGAAGGAGTTCCCAGGAAATTGAATTGGAGGGGGGGCTGTTTTCTTGATTTCGGTCGTGTAGGAATGAATGGCTTTGAGACCCTTTGGTATTACTGATCCTCTTTCCAACCCTGCGAGAATATCCAGGGGAGTAACGAGGTAAGTCCTGGTTAAGGATCAGTAGGGGATGGAGGGGCTAGGCCGAGACCAGAGTGCTCAAGGAGTAAAAGAAACCCCTACGCTGATTAGGCAGAAGAAAACCAAGGGCGCCGATAAGAAGAGCACGTGAAAAGGCGACGGACGATAGGCGATGCGAGCGCATGCTACACTATCTCCCACGTTGCAACTCAGCTGTCAAGGCCAAACGGCGATGCTCCTGGCGCCAGGGCGTGCATGTTGGTGGATCAGAGATTCTCGTCCACCGCGTCACCTGTTGGTTGTTGTAGCGCATATGTAGACAGATACGAGTAGAACGCGCGGGTGCTGGCCAGAGAAGGGCGGGTGCAAAGAAGTTGGGAGACATGGAATCCCCCTGCTGCTATTTCTCAGCCCCTGGTGATGGGTTGTTGTACTTGTATACAGTCTAGGGCGGGAGCAGGCAGGCGTAGCCGAATCGATACCTCCATCATCCGAGGGATTCCATCCTCGATCGACAAAGGATCCAGAGGGACAGCGTCGGCGACATGGCCATAGATAACTCCATCGACCGATTGAAGAAGGTGGCATCTGGTCCCGACGGGCACAAACGAATGGAACTCCTTGTAAACGTGCTCGCTGCAACTGTCCTCTGCGGCAACGTTGGAAAGGCAGGGCGACATGTGTATGCGACTTGTAAGCACTTGAAACACACAGCCAGGCTGCGGCAGCGCAGGGATGTAATTGCAGCTAGCATTGAGGCTTCATACCGCTCTAGGTAGCACATTAACGATGCTCCCCGAATGCTGGGCCTCTTAAGAGGAAAACTGCAAGAGAAGGGGGCCGAAATGGCACACAAGTCCGGTTGCTCCCATGAGCTGTGGCTTGCTGCATATCGCCGACATATGGGCCTGGAGGCGTGGTACGGTAGTCGTGAAGAAAAAAGCTGCATATAGAGTGAACAGGTCACGGGCCCTCTACATCTGACCTGTGTTGTGAACGAGGTAGCTTTGGATGCCAAAAAAGCTTTCCACACGTGTACACAGTAGTTGCACGTTTGTTCCAACGCCCACGCAGCCTATGGGATGTGTCAGGAGAGCATGCTCGGACGCACTGTACCTTCAACGGTGTTCCTTCTGAGGAAAGCCCTGTGCAAGAGGCAAGCACGTGTAGGAAGCACTGGTGGGTGCGTTGACGTCGCCGTCCCCTGTCCCGAGTTGCAGCTCGTAATTGTTCGCAGAAGAAAGTTGTTGCTGATGTCAACTTGCACATTCTTTCCTGTGCTGCGCTAGACTGTGGAAATGGAATCCGCGGGATCTCAATCGAAGGCCGCACATCATGAGGGGGCGCATGGGATCTCCTCTGAGCCCCTGTGAAGATCAAGCAACCCGGTCCAGGTGAACGGCGACTGGGCGTGTACTATGGTCGTTCGTGTGACACGACGGATCACCAGCGCAATGAGAACAGCAAACGCACGTCATGAAATGCTGAAAGACGTCTAGCGGACCTGATCTGGGATGGATCGATCAACGCCTGCCTACCTAGAGTTGGCACCCGGACCGCCCGAGCGTTAAAGATGCGCCATTTGGCGGTGCTCGAGTGCTGCTCTGGCATCGGGAAGGTTCCAACGCCCAAGCAAACCAAGGCTTGGGAGAATACTTGTCGAGGAAATGATGCGCTCGCTGTTTTGCCGGCATGCAACTTTGGATTCCAATGGACAAGCAGTGGGATGGGGAGAATGGATCGGCTTCTGCAGCAGACCTACAGTAGCATGTAGTATCGACGCCCACCTACCCTCTGCAGAAAAGACGCCCCCACAGATAATAGTGGATGGACGACATGCTCCTGACCAAAGAATGAAGAGGCCTGGATGCGCGGAACGGCGCTCGTTCGGCAGACGTAGCATTGCTGTTGCTTCATTGTTGGTCGGCGACTCCTCTTCGCGATTTCCTACAGCTGATCGGACCAGGCATGTCGTAGGCCGGGCCCGAGTAACCACAAGATATCCGGTTCGGGTTGCTGCAGGACGATTTCTGCTCGCCGTCCGGCTTGCTCCTCTTGTGCGTGCAGGGGCGTATCTCTGGTATTGTACTTTTCCCATATCGTTTCGGTGTTGGATTGCTGTTGCAGCAACGCCATTCCTCATCTCGACAAACCGGAGACTGATGCTGTACCGGTGCCCACCGAACGCGTGGGTTTGTTACTGGCCATAACAGGTCACTACGACTATTACGTCTTCAGGAGCGGCCGGGTTTGGGATTGTCATGTAGCTAGCCAGTCTGCAGAGCTAGCACAAGGTAGACGCACAGCTTCCTCAGATGTCTCAACTGGCTCTGGAGATCCTTTCAAGAATGAAGGCTGTCAGCGCCCGTGACCGTTACGCCGATCTGCTGCACTGCTTGCTTCCAAAGTTCTCCCTTGGCTTCTATTGCGCAGCAGGACCGATGGCAGATCACAGCAAAATCCAGGCCTAGTGGCCACTGCATTGAATTTGGTGCATATGCTTCCTGTTGTCCGTCGAATCTCCGGACGCAAGATCAAGATAGAAACAACAAGCACTTCGTGTTGGACGCGCAATGCTCCGGGCTGGAGAGCCAGACTCCTCGGTCGAACATGTTTTGTCTCGCCGACTCTGGCTCTCTTGCATGGCATTGGCTTTCAGCTTTCCAATATATTCAGCCATCAAATTTCTGAAAGCAGATGAGCTGGGACAGCAGATCACTTTTGTAAGTGATGCAGGCCAGGATACTTCGGCGAAAATAAGGATTAACAGGAGCTGGCAATTTACCTGAGCTCCCCTGTACCACGGCGGCACCCTGGCGTGCCCCTCCAGGCCGAAATTGTGCTTGGTCTGGGCGAGCAGGCTTCCCCAGAATTTCTGGACGCCACGGATGGAACCAGTGGCTGCGCTAAGGCCAAAAGGCGTGTTTGTCTCCATTGGGCTTTGTTTCGACACGGCGCCTTTTCGCCGTTTCGCCGACGCCAATCTGTTGTTTATCAACTACCGCCACAGGCGAGCCCCAATATTGCGCCAAAGGAAGGCGGGGGATGTCGCTGGAAGAGAGAGCCGAATGCAGACTACTCGTCTAGGCTTGTTGTGAGTCTTGGGAGGAGTCGTCATCGCAGCACCGCCCGGGGATGACAACAGATGAGCGTTTCGGGCGAGAGTGAGCAGTGGTAACCACGCATGACCACCGTGGCAGCATGACCCGAGAGAAATTTGTGGTCATGGATGAGAAATAGGTAGACGCGAAGCTACGAGGTACGGTGGACGCGAGTGAAGACACATCCGCCTCTGCCCGGTGACGTGGGTACTGGTGTTCCTTCCATCTTCTCCAGAATTGGATGACCCATCATCCCAGGCATATTTGTCTTCCTGTTGGACGCGTGGGTGCACCTAGCCACTTACTGGGAGGCGCTACCAGGACCAAGGGACTGAGCAGATGCAATCAGAGCGAGTCATCAGGTCGACTGACTTATGCGCCACAGACGTGCGGGAGGTCACCGTCAAGCAAGCAAAGGGTGCAACTAAGCAGTCTCCAGCCATAGTGAATTGCGCAAATACTGGTAACTCCGGTGGGGTCGTACACCTCGGCACGAGGCATTGCAAATTCCAGCCAAAGCCAAGAAGGGGAAGCCACAGGACACATCATCAAGGACGTGTGGTGGTCGTGGTGGTGGTGGCTTGATGCTGTAAACAACCAAAGAGAGTACCGTGTAGCTCCATCCGGAGTGACTCGGTGTATGTTTGTTGCCAGAGACAAGAGGGGGTTGGGGCTCTAGGTCAAGAGAAATAGGCCACAACAGAGAAGAAGTGAGTTGGCTGGTTACTGGCTGGCTGGTGGTGGTGGTGGCAGCGACGCAGTCTGCGCTGGAGAGAGAAAAAACTTGACGTCGGCAGGTCGGAGGTCGGTGGAAGAGACCGCCGACATACCGACGCTAAGAACTTTAATCTGGGGACTAGTCGAATCTGAAGCGGCCAATCACAGACGCCAGACACAGCACTATTCTGTCTGCCCTGCTACTCCCACCGTGTACCTTGTTTTCCAGCATATTGGAGGACTCGGCGATCAACAGATCTAACTGGGTTCTCGTTTCACTTCCTCGAAAACCACTCGATGACATTCTCGAGACCATGGGAGTCGCTCTCTTCCCTGTTCTGGAACAGAGGACGGACAATTCGGTACCTGTAGCGAGTACCTACGGAAGTCCTGCGAGCCTCCTCCTCCCCGTCCTGGTCGAGGTCCGTAAAGCGCATCGTTTATGTTGCTACTTTTATGGCTGTAAACCAAAAGAGGGAGGACCTGGGAGAAAGTCACGCTCCGTGACCTCTAGAGCAAGGCCCGTGGCAGATTGGTGAAGCCCGTCAACGAAAGTCCCCCAGATTACAAGAATGAACGGAGGACTGTTACCCGAACTGCCCAATCGCGGCTAACAGCCGCTAATCTCTCCACCCTCACTGACGCCATTAACATGGTCTTTACAATCATCAATGTAGAGGGAGAATGAGTACAGACGCCTGTTGTGGCCTTAGGATGCTGGATGTTGAATTGTTCAACAGCCAAAGCTGCCGCAATGGACAGTGAGTTGCAATACGAGCCTCGGATGGACTGCCTCTGTTTAGAGACCACCTGCAGCACGCATCGCTCGGGAGTATGCGCATCTCTGTTGCTGATCGAGGTGCCGATCGGTGACCCCTAAAGCCTTTTTCAGCGCTCTGGAGGCCACGAGGAGGGCCAAGAGCAGCGCCTCCACCAGCTGGGTGTCATTTGAACGCCTGGGGACAGGTATGACGCGCTGGGCTCAGGTCTGGCGCAAACAAGCCCCCATGGGCGGGGACTGGGCAGCTACAGAATGGTTTGGCAATTGAGGGGAGACGAGTCACCACTCGCCAGCCAGCCCAGCCAGGTTGCTGAGTTCGCTGACCGAATCGGCATGGACGAGCGAAAAAAGGCAGCGGCTGACTGGGCTGAGGGCCCTCGCTCCATGACTTGCCAAAGCATGAGACGTGGAAGAGCCGTGACTCGGCGAAAGGGTGTTCTTTGGCGCTGGGCGAGAAGGAAGGGACTAGACCACGACCAGCCCTAGTTGAAGCTGCGGCACGACGGGGTGGGCGTACGAGCATGGGCGTCGACGCATCAACAAGGGGGCTTTTCACTTTGAGCCGAGCATTTGGAAAGTTTGTCCTCTTCCCTCTGGGCCAGGGGGCAGGGATGGAACAACAGCTGACCAGGGTCACGACGCACACCAGGTGGAACCACGGCGACTGTGGGTTCCGTGTCACCTGGATGCGAGTGGGTGGAAGACGCCAGGACCGTTGGCTGGCTGCGTCAACTCGGAGGAGGAATGCTCGAGACTTGGGCCGGCGCTCGCCACAGGCCACTTCTCCTCTCCTCTGCACAGTCCCATGGCCCATGGGCCGCGCAAACAACTGTGGCGACCCTTGATCCTGCCCATCAAACCCCAAAAAGGATGGGCCCTGTCGGCAAACTCCTCCGTTTCAGGTCCCAGGCTAGATATACTCCCATCTACCGCCCTCCATGTCCCCTACCCAGACTCTCTTATACTACACAAACATCTCCATTCACCCACACGCCCACTGCGATCTACCCAGAGCGGCAAACATTGTGTTGTGTTGACAAAGACTTACAAAAGCTCTTTGTCCCCCTCCTTACTGATTAGCCTTTTTTCCCACACCACCACCCTCCATCACCGCCCAAGCACGGCTGACTGTATTTCTCTTGAGTGAATTTATTTCTCGAAATACGCTCCTGCCAAAAACAGTGACCTGTCCCTCCCCGGACCCTCTATATTAGTCGCCATCTGTCCCTCAGACGTCCAGTGACAATGGCAGACTACGACTATCCTCAATCCCCGACCATGTCACAAGACAGACACATGGGCTCAATGGCCGCAGCCCTCAGATCGAGGTTGGAGGACCTCCCTCAATTAAATATGGCAAACCTGGGCACACATTGGAAACGAACGTCTCTCGAATACCCCAACTCCGCGTCTTCATCACGCTCTGCATATTCATTCAGCTCGAGACTATCAGAAGATACCGACGCCACAGACCTGACTGTCACACCGACCGCCCGCTCACGCGCAAGCACATTTGACAACACAGAGAGTCTACCTATGCCCGTTGTGCCGGCAGTGCCATGCAAACCCCCTTTGAGAGTAGTACTGGGAACAGCTTCGGTCGGATCGAACTTGTCACCACTCGCCAAAATCACCACAGTCGAGGACGCCTCGAAGTTCGTCGACTTGTTCCGGTCAAGGGGCTACGCAGACATCGACACCGCCCGAGCGTACCCAGTGGGTCGAGGTGGCACCTGTGAGAAGCTTTTGGGCGAGGATGCACTCCGACTATCCAAATGGGCCAATGTTTCGACCAAAGTCTCGAGTTTCATGCCTGGATCCCACCGGGCCAAGAACATTGCCCTGAGCATTGACAGATCTCTGGAAGCCCTGAACACCGACACTGTAGACGTCATGTATCTGCACGCCCCCGACCGAGCCACCGCATTCAAGGAGACATGCGAGGCCATGGACAAGGCTTACCACGAAGGCAAGTTTGAACGCTTTGGTCTTTCCAACTACTCGGTCGAGGAAGTCGAGGAGATTGTACGCATCTGCGAGGAGAACGGCTATGTAAAGCCTTCCGTCTACCAAGGACAGTACAACCCCATCTGCCGAGGAGGCGAGGAACGATTGTTTGCGGTGCTTCGCGAACACAACATCGCATTCTACGCTTACAGTCCCTCGGCGTGCGGCTTTTTCTCCAACAAGGTCTCACGGGCATCGACGAGAGACAGGAACAGCCGCTGGAACATCGCCTCGCCTCTGGGCGCCAAATATGCCGGCGACTATTTCCAGGATCCTCTATTCGCGGCCGCCGAGATTGTTCGTCAACAGGCCAGAAAATTCGGTATCAGTGGTCACGCTGCCGCCCTCCGATGGACGACCTGGCATTCGCAACTCGGTGCCGAGTACGGTGACGCTGTCATCGTCGGCGCATCCAAGCTTTCTCAACTCAAAGAAAACATGGATATCCTCGAGCAAGGGCCTCTTCCCGAGCCTCTTGTCGAGACCCTCAACAGTGTCTGGGAAGACGTCCGGGCCCTCGAAAAGGGCCCCCGCTTTTCCTTTGTCTAAATGTATCACGACTTTTTGCAGGCTACGAAACGGACATGGCACAATGAACGGAATACACGGAGAAATGGGGGGCTTTCTACGGCGTTGCTTTCTCACGGAACACAAAAATTCCCCAGTCGTGGGGGTCTTTTTTTCTTCTCACGGAAAGAATTTTATCCTTCTATCACGATCCCTCAAGTGCTGAGTTGGATCTATTGTCTTTTTTTGGCAAACGTTCCAAAACCGAACGTCTTCTTTTTTTGATTGGATTGTTACTGTATGTGTCATGATACCCAATGCGGCTGTATGTTATTCTGAGAAACAGCATGGAAATGTCTCTCTACCGGTCTCTGGAAGACGCAGGTTGTCAACTATGGGTCGAGCTTACAGGCTCGTACACCATGTGAGACCCAGAATGCTCTGGGAAAGAGGCGTATCAAGTTGAGAGATCGCCCACTTCTAGGTAGCAAAATGGAAACATCTATTGGACTATGCAATTCACAATCGTTCCTTCATCCAAATATGGTCGTCTTTGTAATTCTCTTCACCCCCGGTCTTGTTCTGGTGCAAGTGCTTACATGCGCGGCTCGCAGGACGATGGGGGGTGGGAGAGGAAGTACCAGTTGGATTTGCATTCATTCCTCGCCCGATTTCTGTGGAAGAAGAATGATACTGGTCGAAACTTCTCTCTAGTCTCTGCGGCTGACCTCTAACCAGTCCGAAACGCCAGCGATGGATCCTCCATCATGCACGGCATGTCGACGAGTCGATGTGCAGTTGTGCAACGAAGGATCCCGCCCATAGGCTCTTCGATCGCCCCTCCATGGTAACGACGATGATTGGGGCTGTTTTCGGTGAGCAAATCAGTCCTGTCGGGTGTGGGCTTTCCATCATCCACACTCTGTGATGCGCTCACCTGCCGTGCGCGATACTCCTTGCACAGACCACGAAGCACCAGCTGGGAGCAAACCGTGCTGGCCCAGGACAAGAGGACACCCACTTGCCCAAGGGAGGAAGTGAGATTATGCCCTACTGGGGCTGATACGTGCCAGGCTTCCTCCTCTCCGCCTGTGGCAATATGGACAATCGCCCTAGAGAAAGGGGGGCTCGGCCATTGCCAGCCAGGTCAACAAATTGTCAACCACCAAGCTCGTAGACGAAAGAGGCAACCGATCTTACAGCATACTGTGAGGGGGTTGATTTCTTCCATGGCTCGGTTTCGAACCGGATCCCTTCTCCCTGCCTGGCTCAAAGCCGGTGAAAGAAGGCCATCGAAAATTTTTTTCCCAAGCGCTTGTCAACGTGTCGAGGCGGATCGCGGGGCAACAACCGCTAGAGAAAGTCTCCCTGCGGTCCAGTAGCAGCGTGTGGAAGCCCTCCTTCTAGTAGAATCCTTCGTATCGAACAAGGAAGTGATTTGCATCCTGCAATTGCCCGGTTCACGCACACACACACACACTCTCTCTCTCTCTCTCTCACATTGGCGACCAAGCATTGCATCGAAGTCATGGTGCCAGACGTCCGAACTTACCCCCCTCGCAATGGGTTATGATCAGGGCTCAGGCCTCCCGACAGAGCGAAGGAATCTGCTCGTGTGACGAAGCATCTCCAGACACCATTTGGCATCCCCCTCCGCAAAATCCCTCGATCACTCGATCAGAACTGTGACTTGTAAGCGAATGAGGCAAATAATGACGTGGAGAGCAGGACGTTTGACTGGTCAGCCGACTCGACAGGCCCTTTACCAGAACACGCAACCTCGGGGTACGACTTGGGATGCCCTGGATGCCCTCTCGCTCCCCCAGTGTTATTCGTCAGGAAAGGTCCCGACCCTTCTCGTGGCCCAAGGAGCCCGAGGGCTGCTCTTTGGGACACCCTGCCGACCGAGTATCCAGCAGCTTACCTCAACGACCAAGGAACCCGGGAACCATCGAATCGACTCCGCCCCCATCCACGTGGGTACCTCGTTTGTGCCTTGTCCTCCTGGGGAGCGACTTGTCTGCATTGGGCCAGGAAAGGCCTTGCCCGGCATTTTGGAACGACTTCTGGCCTAGTTCCTCCCTTGCATACTGCCAAGTCGTTCCGGGAGTCGCTGGGAAGTTTCAGTCTCCCTCTTCGGGACCGCAAGGGAGCTGGCCAAAGCCAGAAGTTCGGGTAATCGCAATGCTCCTTCACCACTTACGAGGGCATATGTGGAGAATAGGGCTGAGCCCTTCGCTTACAAAGTTGGGCGATGGTGCCTCCGAATCCCAGAGGGCGCAACAGTGTATGCGGTACCTGTCCTTCTCCTCGTAAGAGCAGTTAAACTCTCGGTGGCTGATCGGAGCATTCAGCTGCTAGAGCGGGAAGACCGAACAGGACGCCACAAAACCACACACTGGGCGTGGTTTTCGCTAACCTGCTCCCCTTTTCAGCCTTTTGCCAAACGTGTAGCGCTCAAAAACTTCCCGACTCTGGTGGACGGCTCGCTTCAGGGGGTGACGGGGATCTCGCGTCTTCTCTCCCCTTGATTGGGTTTGTGCCTCTATCTCTGGATCCCTCCTGCGTCCAGAGGCCGTCTTTCTTGCATGAATTGTCTCGCAAACACGAGGCAGCCTCAAAAAAAGATCCCGCTTCCTGTTGAAGAGACGGACAAATGGGGTAAATTACAGTAGAAGATCAACGAGGGCTGACTGAACTATTGCCCCTCGCATCTCTTGTCGCTATCGCTATCGATACCGCTATCGATACGACTATCGATAGGCGAGGAGACGTGGGCGCCCGGTGGGAACTTGGGCTTATCGATCGCTGTCGTGATCCCCGTGGCGCCGCCCCCAATATCCCATCATCCAAACAAAAAACATGTGGTCGCTCTATTGGGGAACCACTGACGACCTGTCGGTTGCCCCTTTTTCCTGACCTGTTCATGGATGACCGCTTCTACTCCGCAAGATTTCTGAGACACCTCATGTCGCATCTAAAATCTTAGAGATACCAAGAAGCTAACTAGCAGAAGGACCGAATTTTTTGTTTGTTCATTCTCCATGCTGACGGGCCTTGATGTAGGAACCCGTGCTAGGAATCTCACCCATCGAGGGGCAGAGGGCGCCAACTGGCACAGTACTCTGCCTGAGAATCACAGCTCCATGGAGCTTATGATGACACGTACTCAATCCTTCAGGCTGAGGTAAGAATCAATCTTCTCCACCCCGCTTTGGGAGCGAAGAGTATGGCTGTTCGCTATGGGTCTATGGGCCTCTGAGCAGAGAAAGGACCACCATTGGGAGTGCCCCCCCCCGTGCGCGTATGGTCACCAGCATACGAGGCACCTGCTGCATCACCGCTGCGTGTCTCATTCACACACCATCTCGCCTGCGCAAACTGGGTGTAAAATGGGAAAATGTGGAAAATTGCACTCACTCGTCTGCCGAATCCAACCGCAATTTGGCCACTGATCCTCTTGAGAGGAGGCTCTGGGCGTCGCAGGTGAGGGCTGCGTACGACCTTCTCGCTTTCTGGCTGGGTCGTATTCGTTCTGCGCCACCGAGTTTTCCTTGAATGGGTTGGTTCAACATCGCCCCCGAAGTATTGATGTGGATATCAGGCATTTCCTAAATCGGTATACGTGCTATACCCGCCAACGCAGAAGTCTCAAATTCACATCGCGGCGATTTGGTTACTATTGTCCCTGGATTACTCAGGATAACCCCGAGAGAAGGGTCTGCTGTTCTGGGACGACCACGGTTACAGCAACAGCCTGTTCGCTTGCTCCCCTGCGACGCCCCCATGTCCTCAGCACGGCGAATCTAAGCCCAGCGCACACGTCGAGCTGCGGCTGCATCTTACGCGGTGGACAGCACAAAGTGAGTCATGTCGAACTGCGGCTTAAACTCTCTGGCGTCTGCCCGCCCTATCGCAAACAGTGATGCCCGGCGGTCGCTGCTGCTCGACCTTCACGCTGTTGCAGATCCTTGCGCAAGCGTGATGAAGACACTGCCGCAGCTAGCACAGCTCCCTCGCTAGACGTCCAGCTAGGCATGATCAACATCTCGCCGCTCATCTTGGAGGCAGAGGCAGAAGCAGCGACCATGCTTGAAACTTGGGCTGGATGAGAATATTCGTCCTGTGACCATTCCGGGCGCTTAGTGGCGATGACATGGTGTTTTGGATCTTGCGAAAGCAAAAGCCGCAAGCCGCATCGAAAAACTTCAGCACCGCCCGTCGACTTGCCTCACTGGTGGACTCAGAGCGAAGGGGCCCAGTTAGGCAGCGCCTTGTCGATGTGGGCGTGTCCACCATCTGATGTAAGGTGCTCTGGGCATCGCGGCAGTCGAGGTCCCAGACTCACTGTCCCTCCTGTGCCCCCAATCGTCCGTCTAGACAAATCTCGTTCGTCTGACACTTGACATTCGACACTGACATTCTGGTGACAGAGAATGACGGGAAAAGGGGGGCCCAGAGGACGACAGGCTCATGTCGGAAGGTCTTGCCTGGTCTACAACTCGGGGAGAGCAACGTAAGTACAGCTTTGGCTTGTGTCACTCCGAGGCTCTAGACCGCCGACAACGTCTCCTATCATATCTAAGTGAAGGTTATGAGGCTGGAGTCTTGTTTTCCCACCCGGTTTGTGCCCATGTCTTGCTAGGCAGGAGGCTCGTGTGTGCGTCTCCGTGTCGCCATTTCGCCATATCCCCTCAGTCCGCCTCGCTGGTGGTCAAAACCGAGATCATGCTCTCTGTCTGGACTGCGAACACAGGTTCGCTTCGTTGGAGTTCCAGCCTTTCTGATGCGGTGATGCGTTCATAATCTGACCACAGTTGTCCGCCGGCCTCGTTTCATAAAAGGCCAGAAGGTAGGGGGAGTATCCCGCCACTGTGTCTGCTGTCCCGGGGTCGCATATTCTGCGAGGGATTGTTCAATCAAGTGGGCGGAGTCGCGCCAGATTTTCCAACCACCACCACTACCCCGTTTCAGTCTGAGTCCGAACAGAGTGCTCTGAGGGATCCAGGTCTCATCTCCAACGTATTGTGGAAGCCCAGGTCGAGATTGACCAGACGCTGCTGTCTGCCGCCCAAAGCCCGGGCCAGACGCAAGACCTCGAGGTTTGGAAAGGGGCTCCTTTCAGCTTTAAAATCCAACCAGAACCCCCTCCCTCCCCTCAATAGTGGTGGCTGCTGGCAACGATGCTCCAGATCACAGGCAGGCAAAAGAGGCTTGTTATACGGCAAAAGCGGTGTCACCGGGTCGAAGATTGTCCAGAGGGATGTCGACCTGCAGGCAGCATACCAACTTACTCACCTCTTCACTTTCCTCCTCGTGGTATCTGGCTGAAACTGGCCTCGTCGTCCCTCCGCTGCGTCCCCGTGTTACGGAACTCATGCCACTGATGCCACTCAGGGTCTCTCTGTGCGACTGCAAGCCCCCAGTCCTCTCTCCCTGCCTCCCTTTGTCACGTTGCACCGTGCGTATGACAGACCAACCTCCTCCATTCTGGGGAAGCTGCACAAATTGCACAGGGCCCGGACCGGCATCGAGCGGGCGGGGATCCAGGCCTTGGGCATGGTGAAGGTCACACAAAAGACGCAGGGACACGAAAGTTGAAGTCTGGACTGAGGGGGAGGAGGGGGTCTGCCGTGCGACGACGCAGCAGGGCTTGTCAAGACGCGTTCGAAATATGTTGGGAGATTCCACCGCGGACGGCCAACCTCGCCCGTCGGTGTCGAGAGGTCATGCTGTGCTGTGTGTGACACGCTCGTCCACGTCTTTCCTGACCGGTTTGTGGCACCACATCCCTGCCCACCTCGACATCTTCTGCCCAGCACCTGTTTCACAGTGTGCACATTGCAGCAACTGGGAGAGCTCTCCTATGGTATCCCAATGCCACTTCACTCGATTGAAAGGCTGGAAAAGAGGGGGTGAAGACCAGCCCAGCCCAGCCCAGCCCACGCTGTGGTATGTATCACAAAGCGCAACCCTCCCTCCCCGCCATGGCAAGGAATGCATCAACCTCTGGGGCATGCAGGCAGGCAGGCAGGCGGATATTTGGGCCTTTATGGAATCCTCACCCGGAGAAATCTCTCTGGCACTGGCTTTGCTGCAAAGGTAAGGAAGGGTAAGGCTCCAGCTCTAACCCCTTTCCAAACAACGTATTTTTTGGCCTCAGACCACGCTACCGCGACCTATGCCCGTGCCCGTGCCCGTGCGGCCTTCATCTCCAATCAAGCCAGACCAGACCGGTCGGGTGCTGCAATGGAACCTGCGCTCTCCCGTACAGACGAGCGGGCGTGCGCCAAGCCGTTCTGGACGTGTCAACACGCATGTGCTGGACGCCAGGCGTGATTCAGATTGTGGGCATGGGCGTGGGCGTGGCCACGGCTGAAAGACTACATGGGCGTGTGAGCCAGGGGTCTCTTGTCTTCGGGAATGGTGGTCTCGATTCGGCGGAAGGCAAGACTTCAAACCTCCTGTGCCATCCATCGAGGGGGTCGGCGATCGGGGCTGATCGATCGGTTGGTCGGTCGATCCGAGATTCGAGGTCCCTCAACCTGGAGTTAAGGGCCATTTGGCATCGGGCTCCTCACGGTGCGATCCAGCGGGAGGAGAGACAGAGGAGATGGGAATGGAAATGTCAGAGCGAAGAGAGGAAAACGCACACTCCATCAAGAGAGGAAGGTTCGGAAGGGGCCAACATTATGAATCCGTACTTGGTATCCATCCATCTTTGAGCGAGGCGAATTGGTAGCAAGGCTGGTAGGTAGGGTTATGTGTTATATTTCTTGACCTATTGGAGGAGAATGAGCGACAAAACGTCCCAGTCACGGAACCCCCAAGCCTTCCAACGGTCCGACTCTCTTCATCTCTCTCGAGGGAAAAAACCTTTCTCCCCGGCCTTGCGGCCCTCGACACCATCACCGCTCGTCACATCTCAATTACAACAACAACAACAGCAACATCCATCACCTTGCGGCTCCTTTTTGGGAGTCCTCGGATGACCTCCTTTGCCTCCCCCCAATCCCCAAAGAACAATCAGGCTTTCCTCGCCAAAATGCTGCCATTGGCCGCGTCGACCAGACCGGTGAATTGCCTGTAGGTCTGGTTGGTCGTGAGGACGACCGACTGGCCGCCCGCGGTGACGACGACCTCGACGCCCTGGAAGTCGGCTGTCAGCTCGGCGGCGTTGATCATGAGCTTGCCGCTCGAGTCCAGCGCGTAGAACTCCCGGATGGGCTGCTGGTGGTTGAGCAGGGGGATCTCGGCGTTTTCGCCGTGCCCGGTCTGGTTGTTGGTGAGTCGAAGGCGGACCATTTTGTTTTCGTCAGAACCGTTGTTCGGGGTCGTGGACTTCTTGTTGTGATATATGAATGAAAGACTCTCTTGAAGGCTCAAAGCACAGGGGTTTGTGAAGAAGGCTGTGTGTGAGAGAGAGAGAGACACTCCTGCCTGGGTTCCCTCCCTGCCCTTTTTATAGACATTGTCTGAGGTCCATCAGGCTCAGCTGATGAGCCAAGGCCTCGTGAAAAACTGGCGACGGGGCTAACCTGCAGCTGAGGGTCTTGGAGATGCTCGATTCGTCCTGCAGGTTACAGCTTGTCGACCAGGGGCCCAGAGTCCGGATAGCCATTCAGAGGCAGGCATGGGCTTTTCGAGCAGGCGAGCACGGACGGACAGGGCGGCGCTGACGCCCTGGCAATGTGGTTCGATCTACAGGCAAAACGAGGAGATGGGTTGCGCAATGCGCCAAGGTCGCGAGATGCATCGCATTGCTGGGAGGCCTGTGCTGATGAGACGGTGAAGACGCTGCCAACAAGAGCGTCGTCCTAGCTCTTTCTTCTGCCCGCACCACGCGCGAGGATTTCTTTCCCTCACGCTCCCCCGGAGGAGGAAATCCCTGCGGTGATGCTGCTAATGGTTGATACTTACTTGTGCAGGAAGAATCAGGTAGCCACTGGCACGCCACGGGCAGCCAAAAGCCTCATGTGATGGCCTGTGAAACATGCATGAGCTGAGGGGGCTGGGGCTCGTTTTCGTGCTCACCAGAATGCGAGCAACATGATGATGATGATGATGATGATGATTGATGATGGCGTGCCAGGGCAGGGCCAAACAGGGTCGACGATCTGATCGCCTTTTTGTTTACTTGCTCTCAAAGTCCCACCTGACCCGTCGCTTCGTACAGACTGACCATTTACAACGGTCTCACGGAATAGAGTCCGCTGATGGTTGGTGGTTAGGCCACTCGTTCTAGACTTTGCCCAGCTTCAACCACCACCTCCACAGCATCTCCCTCCCCCGCCTTTTCAGCTCCGAGTCGCTAGCCAAGGAGTGATCAACCGTGCAATGGTTGGCTGGATTGTCTTAACTTTCGTGCAGCAAAGGGCGGCAACAAAGAGACGGAAGGGCCCGGAGAATACGAGGCGGAAAGATGCTCATGGTGAAAGTATTGGACACAAACATCATGAGAACGGGGAGCTGAGACTACAGTGACCAACCAGCAGCGGCATCGAATGAGCAACGATCCTGGACGCTCTCAGCCTGAAGCATCCAGGGTAGGGTGGCTTGCCCTTCTTGCTACGGTGAGACCACAGTACTGTGTAGGCCCGCGAATGCCCTCTACTGAGGCTGCCGCGATTCAGCAACCGTGTCATATGATGTCTTGGGATCGGCCTCGGCATCAATAATATGCAAGCATCAGCTTCTGAACAAGTACACAATAGGTTTTGTGGCTGACTCAGCCCCTGGTGCTTGAGGGACTTCCAGACAAGAAGGCGGTAAGTCGATCAGAGAAGCTTGAATATCGATCGTCCAACGAGTTCCTCGTTAGAGAGTGTCCGCAGGTTCATTTGGACAAAGAGCCAAATCAGGCCACACATCACCCGATTGACAAACCTCAAGCGGACCATGAGGAGTGTATTATGATATGACCCACGGTCCGAGACTGGAAAAGGCTGCGGCATTCAATATCTTGAGTCTTGTGTCTACAAGGATATCGTCGGCGAGCTTGACTGAATGGAGCCGAATTGTCCAGACGTGATTCACTATAGTGTGCGGCCTACACACCCTTGCTCAACGATCGCGCCTGGGTCGGCCAAGATGGGCATAATATCCAAGAAGACAGGAGAATGGACGCCTGAGCCACAGAGCAGTGGCCTTACGAGATGAGGCTGAAAGAAAAATCTGTATATTGACCAGTTGTCTCGGTCCCTATCCATCTGATGTCAAGCATGAATAGTGTACACACGCAGGCATTCCTGTAAAGACCGTTTCCCCACAAAATCACAACAGCATCCTTTCAGCAGTGCCCACCGTCTTTCTCTGATCAACACCACAAGTCAAAAGCACGTGAAAGCTTCTTGTCCGTCCCTCCCAGCATCATGCTACCATTCAAGAATGACCGTGGCCGTTGGTCGAGGGAGACGGTTTCATATAAAGGTAGTTCTCTGGGTCTGGCGTCTCCTTCATCCCGTTGCGGATCACATCGGCAGGGAGCTTCATTTCGTCGGAAGTAGCCGGATTGACTGACGACTGCCTTGGACGAGCCTCGCCCAGATCTTTGACGATGTACGCGCATTTCATAAGGTGAGTCCCGAGAAGATTCCAAACCCCAGTCGCTCCAGGGAAGAGTTGTGCCAGTTCTCCATTCTTGTAGGAATCTTGAAGAACTTGGTGGCAGCGGTACCAAAGCGCTTCTTCGTGCTCGGTATTGCGCTCGGTAGGGGTGTCACGATCCAGGCAGGAGACGCTGACTTGAGGCAGAATGAAGGGAGGAGTCAGCAACCTCGCCTGAGTTGCTAGGGCGGCAGTGTTGTGGATCGACTCTGGTTCAATCCAGTGGAAGGCTGCCATCATTTGTGCGAGGTCGCAGAGACGCCAGATGGGCACAGCCACGTATGCACCTCCGGCTGTGCGAGAACGGAGCTAACATTCCCCAAAAACAACTTGAACTGATTTTTGTCCTGCATTGATATGATCTTGCAGCTGGCTCTTCATCAAAGCAGAGATTCTTCCCACTCGAGAGACCAGGCTTGTCATGGAGGCTGGAGCGTGGTTGAAGTCTACCATGGGGTTTGCGGACCCTGTCGGTGAGTCTGGCAATGGATTGATGCGTACAATAATGGTCGAACATTGCTCCCACTGAAGATCGGGTACAGGGCCGGGGTTTGGCGACTTGTCGGTGACATAAAGCACCCAGGAATTACCCTCTTTGATCAGGACTGGCTCGGAGGCAGTTGGTTCAGAGGGGTATTCTTGGGTGGAGGCAGTGGAAGGTCGGGTCGACGGCTGGGAGTGGGACGATGCATGAGAGGATGCCATGGTCAAGAAGATTGATGCTGGAGCAGAAAGCTTGAAATGGTACGAACACAGACAGGAAATGGATAATGCTTGATGTAAGATGTGCTGTAGCCTAAGATGTGGTGAAGTTGGGTAGAGAGCGTGGAGAGATACGAGAGGGCAACAATATATGGCCACATCCTACCTGGGAGGCGCCTGCAAATGTTGCCATCATGCTGTGATGCAGGCGTTCTTTGAGGCAATGGCAACTGGAACAAAAAAAGGAAGAGTAAGGAAGGAAAAGGGAGGAGAGGATGAGAGGAAAGAAGAGAAGGTGGATGATCCTGCCAACGAGGCTTGGGACCGGCGAGGCTTTTATTTAGGGGGCTTACCTAGGTAGTGAGGCCAGTGAGGCCAGTGAGGTGTTTCGGGGGACCTTCCCTGTGCGATCAGGGCCTCACTAGCCACTTCCCCGCCAAACCAACAAGGCTCACTAGGCCTCACCAGCCCCTCAGGCACCAGCTGCCCGCCATTGGCCGATCCCCCGACCGCCGCAAGCGCAGTGAATAGCAAAGAAGATTCAAGAAGTTTTTGTGCGATTGAACGTCCTGCGGCTCTCACCGTGCATTTCTCCCTCCTTGCTCGACTTTTCCCCTGTGACACTCACTGGTTTCTCGGATTCTGCGACACCCTCATAGTCTTGTCTAGTTCTCGTTCTCGTACCTCACACCATGGCGGAGGCAAAGAGTGGTAAGCCTTACCAAGTCCAAGTACCACTGTCCCGTGCGCATCGCAATAGCCTGACCGACTTCTCACCGCGCAGGAAGACCTCGGGTCTACTTTGACATCACAATTGGAGGAAGACCACAAGGCCGGATAGTCTTTGAACTTGTGAGTGAGCCGCAACTCCCTATTCGAGGGCAACCTGAACTGACACCAAGAACAGTACAGTGATGGTACGAGTGCCTTTACCCTCCGCAGCTTGCTCCCTCCCACTGAGACCTCCTTTAGTGGTACCGAAAACGGCAGAGAATTTCCGTGCTCTATGCACGGGTGAAAAGGGCATGGGAAAGCAAGGCAAACCGCTACACTACAAAGGTTCGAATACGCGGTACATTGATGGATTAGCCCAAGGCTAACTCTGTGGACTAGGGTCAATCTTCCACAGAGTCATCAAGGCATTCATGATCCAGGGCGGCGACTTTACGAGGTTCAACGGAACTGGAGGCGAGTCCATTTATGGCGAGAAGTTCGAGGATGAGAACTTCGACCTGAAGCATGACCGCCCTTTTCTCCTGTCTATGGCCAACTCCGGCCCTGGTAAGACATCGAATGCATATGGATAGGCTTCACCGAGTCCCGAACTAAACCTCGTCAGGTACCAACGGTTCGCAATTCTTCATCACGACTGTTCCCACTCCTCACCTAGACGGCAAGCATGTTGTGTTTGGCGAAGTCATCAACGGCAAGAACATCGTGCGAACCATCGAAAATCTTCCCTTGCAGTCAGACAAGCCAGTTGGTGGGGACGTGGTGGTAGCCGATTGTGGTCAGCTCGAGGGTGATGGCTATAGTACAGCCACTCAGAAAGTGGCGGATCCGACTGGCGACCCATATGAGGACTACCCAGACGACCAAGGTGAAGGCTTGAAAGGGGAGGACTACTACAAAATCGCATTGGACCTGAAGGAATTCGGCAACAAGGCCTTCAAAGCTGGCGACGTCGAGACAGGCATCGAGAAGTATCAGAAGGCCCTCAGATACCTGAACGAGTATCCCGCAGCCAACGACAACGACCCCAAGGATCTTCAGAGCAATATGGACGCCTTGCGATTCACACTTCACAGCAACTCAGCCCTTCTCGCCAATAAAGCCAAACGATATGATGAGGCTCAGAAGTGGGCTGGATTTGCCATTGATTCTATCCCGAAAGACGCCAAGGAGACGGACAAGGCCAAAGTGTACTTCCGACGCGCACAAGCGCGTGTGGCGCTGAAGGACTTGGAGGAAGCACTCAAAGACTATGAGCAGGCCGCGACACTTGCCCCCGAGGACGCTGCGATCAAGTCCGAGCTGGCCAGGACGAAGAAGACCCTTGCTGACAGCATCAAGAGGGAGAAGGAAAGCTACAAGAGATTCTTCACCTCTTAAAGAGAGGGGCTATGTCGTGGGTTGGTTGCATCCTTTCGAGGTGTGGACAAAAGGGTCTCGGACGTGGGTGCTGCACGGTTTGAGGCATCATCGGCAGGCAGGCGTGGCTCCTACGAGTAGACCTCGTGTTCTCGGTGGGTTGTCCTTTTCAGCCCGGGGAAAATGCATGAGCTGAAGGCGCGGTTGAAAATGAGTTTGAATATTCCCCTCGAGCGAACAAGTGCTTTCAATGAGCTTCCCGCGTTATGACGCAGCTAGTCAAGGTAGACCCAGACCAATGATATACCAGGCGACATGCAGACTCCCAAAATGACCCGATTCCCCACGAAACATGACGTTACTCCTTGCTCTGAGCCTTCTATCCAAAGAAACATAGAGTGGCTCAACACGTACAGGCCCCATGACCGAACATGAATCTTTGCGCATCAATCGAGATGTCCTGCGCACTCAAGGCTGACTCCTGCCTTGCGTATTCCCCTGCGCCAGATTCCCCGTGCTCCTCCCGACCTTCATCTCCTCCCGCCACGTCGTCCTCTCCTCCCTGGTCACGCCGGGGCCGCTGTACACACTCCCGTACAAGCCACTAGCCCAGCTCTTTCCCTGTTTCGCCCTGTCGCTCTCCTCGCCGGCGCGCTTGCTCTTCGCCGCGGCGGCCGTATAGCGTCGGCGATACCACTTGCCGTACGCCAGCAGATAGTACAGCCAGAAGCTGAGGAAGGCGAACTTGTCGTGCTCCAGGTCCTCCGGGTACTCGGCGCCCAGGTCGACCGCGGCAGCGATGCCGGCCATGATGGCGACCTCGTGCGCGTTGACCAGCGTCCAGCTCGCGGCGTATCGGACCCGCCTTTGGCCCTGGAGGAACATCATCCACGGCACCACGAACAGGTAATGCGTGTACGAATGGCACAGTTGGTGCCACCAATCCTTCCTGATAATCTTACTCTCGTCTATCTCGCCGTCGCTCCACAGGTGCCCGTCTCGGTCTTTGTTGAGGAAGATGGTTTGGAAAACGTGGTCTTCGAAGGGCACCTTGTCCGGAAACTGCGGCTGATAGTTGCTGGCATCAAAACACATCTCCAGCTTTGACCGGTCCTGGTCATACATCTTGATGTAGTACATCGGGCGGAAATTTGTGGCCGCGAAGTCACAGCGGGATGACTGGTCCTGGCCGCCGAGGGTTCTTACGGCGAGAGATTCGGAGTAGAAGTTTTGGTAGTACTTTTTCATATAGGCCGAGTCGGTGTGCGTGATGGTGATGTCGTCGGAAAACTTGGCAGAGCCGAGGACTTTGCGTTCGCGCCAGGACGAAGTGGATGAGAGGAGGCGCTTAGCGGTATCGGCAAGGCAGCAAAGGACGAGTTCGTCGTAGTGCTCCTCAAACGTAGGAGCATCCCGGTCGTCGCCAATGGGGTTGTGGTGGTCAGGCGCCGGCGTGCGCTGTTTCAAAGAAACCACCACGCCACTGGACCTTGAGCGGTGGAGGATAGCCGCCAGCTCAGTCGAAAGGCGGACCGTTACGCCGCGCGAGATAAGATCTTTGCGCCAGGTTTCATAGAATTCGCTGAAGTTGGGAAAGACGACCATCGGAGGATGATTGGTCGCGATGCTGGTTGGGTCATAAGGATACCACATGCCGTAGGTAGGGCTTGTGCACAATCTCTCAAGCATAATCGAGGGAACATTGGGGGCTTCATTGCCTGTCCCTAGAAACAGTGCCACCATCGGTAAGGCGACAGTGTTGGTGAACTCCTCTGAGAAAAACCACAGCTTGAAGAAGAGCTTCATCGGAATCAATGCGAAGAAGATCTCGAACCAGCGCATGACTTTCAGGGCAAAATGGAGGCGTTTGATCTCCCTCTGATGCCGAGCCAACAGGTCGGTTGGGAAGACGTTGGTCCAGAAGGTCTTGTCCTTGCCAAATGAAACTTGGAGATTGACCGGGTCAGCGTGATATCCCTGTCGTGCGAACATGGTCAACGTGTGGTGGAAGATGTAGCTCCCGCCCTGAACTCCTTGGTTGAACCAGCTGGCTCCATGGCGATCCTTGTCGAGGGGACAGGAGAAGGCTTGACCGCCGCAATAGTCGACGGCGTCGATGAGGGTTATATCGTATTTGTCAGGATGTTGGGAGAGATGGTGGGCAGTGGACATTCTGTGCGAGGTAATCACAGTTATTACCTAGCCATGATGAAGGATTTGAGGTGAGAAACGTTACCCAGCAGCACCGGCGCCAACAATGAGAACCTTCTTGCGGCCAGCGTGATGCTGGGAATTGGAGGGCTTCTGTGCCATGGAGGAGGTCGCAGTCGAGCTTTGTTGCTCGACGTCGTGGTGGAACGGAGTGCTGTCCATCAAAAAGAGATATCCAGAGAGAGGAAGACCATTGGACCTGGGCAGAGAGCTGTTGCATGGTCATAAAGAGGTGTGTTGATGGTGGTGGACAGTGCAAGGTGCGTGGTGCATGATCCGCACATTTGAGACTTGCGACGTCATGACTTTCAGGAACCAGCAGCTCAGCAGCGCAGCGCAGCTTCATCTCTCACTGGCATCTCTTGTCAATCGCTTCCGTCTCGGTCTCCTCCCTCTTCCGCCTACGCCTCATCTTAGATCCCCCGGCCTTCGCTAATCGGCATGATCCGACTTGCTTTCTCTGGTCGTGAACATCTCTATTGCGGAGTGCTCATTTCCTGGTGGCTGGCTTGCAGACATCTCGAACGCACTCACCGCACTCACCCTTCGCCCTCCGCCAGATCTCCTACACTCCCGTCTTCCACGGTCTCGAACCCCTCTCTCGAAGCATTGTGGCCATTCACGTCCAAGTACATCTTCGGAGCGGCCCTTGACTCCATCTCCGTGCACTAGAGAAGGTGGTGATGGCTGCCCACAGCCCTATGCAGGGGATCAAAAGCTCGATTTTTCAGAAACTATGCCGAACATCTCGCCCCAGCCTCCGCCGGAACACCATCAAGTTACCTTCCCCCATACTCAGTTTATTGATGGAGGCGACTGCGCATATGGTACTCCGTATAGCACAGTCATTCACCGTGAGTTCAGGTTCTTGTCGGCCTGCGCCAAAAATTTCTACCAAGGGGTCACACAGGGGAGAATTCACAAGTATAAATGGGTGAGTCGTGCTTTTTCAAGTTCAAGATGGTCTGAATCACGTATGCACACAGTGGAATAGCTGTGAATGTATTTTCATGCATATGTCCACGGAGCATCTGGCCATTCATCTGTACTGCGATAGTCGATCCATGTTCGAGCTAGTTGGCCTTCAGAGCTGCCTTCACACGGCAATCATACACAACCTCGCCACTTTGACCCTACGTCTCAAAAAGACAGGAATAGTACCTTAACACTAACCTCTTGCCCCTTACTTCGCCATGACACCCCCCTACCATTTTCCCTTCAGAAAATGGCACTGAGTGCCTTCCTCCACCACGGCCAAGTCGCGACCCTGGCCCTGTACGCGTTGATGGTCTCCCAATCGTGCTCGCGGCGGCCCGTATCCAAATCGATCTGGTCCAAGCGAAGGAAGCCGTGGCGTTTCCAGAGGTAACCGCAGGCCCAGAAGAAGAGCACTACAGGGAGGGCCAGGTAGGCCTTGAAGAAGTCCTCGGCAGTTGCCAGTTTGGTTGTAAAGGGTGGGGCGATGGCGACGAAGAACTGCGCCGCGAGCGCGATGAAGACGAGGAACAAGCCCAGCCATGATCCCCACACGCCGCCAATGGCCTTGAACGGAATCTCGTCTAGGGTGCGTCCAGCGTGAAGCCATGCTGCTCGGAACCGGATATGTGCCTGCCCCGGAATGTATCAGCAAAAGTGCATTACGGAGAACATGAGATGGTTGGTTTCTAAGGGACTTACCACACAGATGGAACCCCAGGTGAAAAGAGCAGCAAGGCCAGACAGCGCGAGCAGCCAATCGAAGACAATACTACCGGACGACGCCAGCACAATGTAAGCCAAAGCACCAAAGGCCAGATTGAGTGCCACAGAGGGCAATGGGCGGCCCGATCGATCGATGTAGCTGAAGACCTTGGGTGCATATCCCTGCTGAGCGAGGGCGGTCAAGGTGCGCGAACCGCCATAGACGCTGGACACACCAATCGACACGACCGAGACGAGGATGACCACGTTCATGAAACTGTCATAGCCGATGAGGCCGGCATCGAGCGGCGCAAGCACGAAAGGCGAGGTGCCGTCCGCATACGGATTTGCCGCATTGAGGAGACGGTTGTCCGTGGAGCTGACCAGGAGGCCGACGAAAGTGAGGCCGAGAATGTAGAATCTTTCGAGAGCATTAGCAGGGCAGTTGCTGGGGGGGGGAGTATTTTCTCTCACAGAGTGATACGCCAGAAGACCTGTTTGATGGCACTCGGAAGGGACTTGCCAGGATTCCTGGACTCAGCGGCAGCAAGGCCCACGAGCTCGGTGCCCGCGAATGCAAAGGCCGCCGTCACGAAAACGGAGCAAAAGCCACGGAAACCATTCTGAAAGGCACCAGGATCGTACCACAGCCGGGCTCCCCAGTACTTATCATAGATGCCGCTCGAAGGTCCACCACCGCAGATGAGAACGATAGCGACGACCATGAAGATGACGGTCGCCAGGAGTTTGAACAAGGAGGCCCAGAACTCTTCTTCGGCGTATCCCAGAGTCCCAAAGACGTTGACAAAGATGATGAAGACCCAGAATATGGTGATCCAGACGGCCACACTTATGTCTTTGTTCCAATACTGGACGGTGAAGGAACAGACGGTCAATTCGAGCGGTAGGACGATGACCCATTGGAAGACCTGCTCTGTGTGAGTGGACAACAATTACTGTCAATCCTCGACATGAAAACGTACGTAATTCCACCCCATCGCAAAGCCCCAAGAAGGGTCAATCTTTCTAATCGTCAGCATGGTGGACTTGGCTTCAGACTTGCCGGGGATCATGACATACGAAGCGAACCGAGTACGTGTAGAAACCTCCGCTGATGGGGTACATGACGGCCAGTTCTCCGAGGGCATAGACAACATTGAAGATCATGATTCCGGTGATGAGGAAGCAGATGAGGAGAGCAGCCGGGCCGCCTCGAGTCAACGCTCCTCCAGAGCCCACAAAGAAACCAGCACCGATCGACCCTCCAATGGCGATCATGTTCAGGTGGCGCGACTTCATGGAGCGATCAAGCTCCTCCGCGCCCGTGCCCCAGTCACCTATACCACATTGTCAATGACACGTTCTAATCGACAGTACTGTCCCCGTCAAGGGACAGAGGAAGAGGAATCTTACGTCTCCGGAAACTGGAGAGGTTGAGGCCATTGCGGGTAAGGAAGTCCTTTTCCCGGAGGTTCTCAGGCACGTATCCATCTCCTGGAGTGTGTCTGGTGAAAGGCACAGCTTTTTCTGAGTCGGTGGGCGACTCCTGAGCCAGAGGGTATTCCTTCGGCGCGTCGAGGCTCATTTTTGCCAATTGAACATCAGCAGAATGGGAAAGACAAGGAGAGACCCGAAGGCAAGGTCACTTGTGTTCAGGAAACTTGCTCGAGAGGCAAATCGAGGAACGCTTTGAACAGCGCAACAACCGTGCAAGAGAGGAGGGAGGACGAAGAAGGAGAGGGTCCTGTTCGCACTTTTTAATACCACCACCCATCTTCCGAGCTGTCTCTGGAGGGGCACAATAGGCTCTCAAGGAAGCTCAATCTGCTATCTCTTGGTATGCCATCCCTCCTCCTCCCATGCTCGAGCTCTCACCAACCATCCCAGGTGGACATGTTATCATGCTGTGTGGCGGCTTGGCCCGATCAACAAAGGTCACGTCACTTTACTGATAGAGGAAGGCAATCGAGCAGATGCCGCGAGGCCAAGAGGTTACGACCAAGAGATACTACGACTCGGCGCGGAGGCGATGCCGCGGGTGTGCAAGGAGGCGGCCCCTTTGTCGCAGCGGGAGCGGAGAATCGATACAGAAAGATCACCCCAAGATTCACGAAGTGTCCTTGGCCGCCGTGGCACGGCGAATCCGCAGCGCGCGCCGAGGTCTTGGTCGTTCTGGGCGGAGGCAGGGCCCAAGCACGGCGGTGGAATAATCAATCTCAACTGAAGCCCGAGAGGAGAAGCAGCAGCCGGTCCAATGGCTGTTGGGTGTGGCTCGTGACGTTCGGCTGCCATACCTGTTTCTGCAGTGTTGGCTGCTGTCATGGTTTTGTCAACCCGCGAACTCTATTAGCAAAACCTCGCGAGCTTCACGGTGTATGCACGGCTATCGAGGGCTATTCAATGATATGTTCGTTCTGTCGCGACGCAAGAGGGTGTGCTGTGCTTCCTCGAGCGCCCGGGAAGCTTTGGTCCAGCTTTGGTTGACTTTGCCGGAATGCTACATCATACATCGGACTTTGGCAGGAAAGCATACCCTGCATCCAGCCATGTCCGACGCCGTCCTGCATTAATGAGCAGGACGACCAGTTTGAAGTCAATTCGATCCCGTGGACAGTGCACGTGGAGCCCTACGGAGTCCCCTGCACGAGACCAGACTACCCACCATAGTTTGTTGAGTCTATGTAGTCAATGGACGAGACTCCTACCCGTGATCGAGGTGTCCATAGAATGAATGCCGAAGTACCTTTATCACCCATTGTTTCCCCCAGCCTCGCGATATCATCATTTTTCCCCCACGCAGCTAGTCATTCCCACTAAACCCAAGTATATGACCGAGTCGAGTTCCCGTACGAGGAAAATGGCCTCCCCCGAGCTGTAACCTTCGTCAGCGTCTGTCGATGGGTAGGTGCCCTACCTACATACCTACTTGTACCTTGCATTGTGGATACCTAGGTGTGTTGAACGAGGGGGGAGCCCAGCCCCCTCGAGCTTTGAAGGAAAATGAATGCATGGTGCCATGGAATGGACCAACGGCGTCGGACGCGGAGAGGACACGGTTCTACGTATGGCATGTGACGTGTGGCATGTGGCGGAGCGTATCAAGCACGAGGCCGCAAGGAATAGGATACGCGATACGCGATATGAGGTATGGAGTATGAGGTATGAGGGTGGGGGATCTGCTACATAGCAACACATTGAAGCCATCACACGGAAAGTATAGACCTCCCTGTACCGAGTACGCCGACAAGAAACACACGATGGAGGAGTGAGAGGGAGCAAACATAAGATCACATTATTAGTTCACCTGTTTTGGAAACCAACTCAACTAGATAGAACAAGGATTGCTTTTTGTTGCTTTGGCGTCGTCGTCGTCGTCGGCCTTGTAGCTATTGTTGTGGTCGACCGTTCTCGGCCGTGACTCTCTTTCAATCTGTAGACCACCCCTCCATCGAGCTCTTCTCCCTCACCGACCTTATCAATCCACTCTTCAAGCCACGTGGATCTCCCAGTGTGCAGGCAAACGGAACACGCCATCCTGCTTCTGCGCCTCCGCTTGGCCTAGCGCTAGTCCCTCGACCTTCCACTTCGCGGCGTTCCACTCGAGGTCCTTGAGTTTCAGGTCTTCGCCGTAGTGGGCGCTGACCTTCTGCGTAAGCGCCTCGTACTCCTTGGCCGACTTGAAGAAGCCGCCGGCCCGCTGGAGCGCCAGCTTGAGCAGTCTGAGGTGTCTGCGCACGATCTCGAGCTCCTCCTCGCGATTCTGGAAGGCGCGCACATGCTTGTGGTCGCCGTTGACTTTGCTCTGTGAGCTCGTCCCGTTGGTCGTGGCGGACTTCTTCAAGCTGATGCCGATGTCGAGCTCGTAGTCATCATCGTCGCCCGTGTCGGCCGCATCAGCATCAACCAATTGCTTGAGCGCTGTGAGGTGAACATCCGCAGCTTTCCTGAGGTACAGGAGAGCGCTCTGCTCCGACGCCTTCTTGGTGGCCGGTTCCTGCTTCGCGGCTTCGGCCAGTAGGTGGTTTGCGTAGCCGGTGTAGAGCTCCGCCAGCAGATTCCAGCACGAGTATAGTCGTGGGTTCCTCGAGCCATGCACACGCTTGATGTTATAGACAATGTCCTCGCACAGGCGCAGGGCAGGCTTATAGTTGCCGGCACTAAATTCCGCTTGAACAAGGCGGAAGCCCAGGTCGAGGATGGTATCCTGTGGCCAGGAACTCTGGCCCTCACGGGATGTCCAAAGCGTGTTGAGAAGCCAAGAGAGACGGGAATAGTCCTTGTGTTCGCCAATCAAGCTGATGAGTTCGTTGAGTTCGGAGAGCTGCGCTCGGGCGATGTTGATGTTGTTGTTCTTGCAGATGTCGAAAACCTCGGCCAGGATCTGCTGGGAGAGCGCGAGCATCTCACTCTGCACCTTGGGGCTGCTACTCTTGTGCGCGAATTCGCCCCTTCCGGCTGTCATAAGGCATAGCTGGAACCCAAGGCGGATCTCAGTAGGGTCATCAAGGCCTTCGTGCGCCATGAGGAATTTGAATGTGCAGGTGGCAAGGTCAAGGGCTTCTTGATCCTTGTTCTGCTTCAACAAGAGGCGGAGTTGGTCAACTGCGGCGTAGCTGGCGGCGACGACGAAACTCTTGAAGTGGACATTTGGATGCTCAGCGGCGTATTTGGTAATGACATTGACGAATGCTTTCAGGGCCGCTCGCGAGACGGCCTTGGAGACCGAGACTTCCGTGGCAGCGAAGAAATCAATCAGCTGCGTTTCGATGATAGTGAAGTCTTCAAAGCGTTTGTTTCGGACCAGAATATGACGCAGACGAGCCGCATGGACGAAGACCGCCTGCAGCTTGGCTTTGGCCTTGATAGACCTGACGAAACGCTCGTAGAACAAGTGCTCCTGTTCAATTCGGTTAATGTCTGAGTAATGTATCGCAGAGGGGGATGGAGATTTAAAAGGTCAAGAAACACTAGAGGTCAAGTAGTGGGGAGAACTTACGGCCACCAGCTCAGCGATATTGTGAGCAATACTGAGGGTATGATCACTGCGGACGTGATACTCAAAAGCAGCAATGAAAGCGAAGCAAGCTCGCCCGATTGTCGCACCGTGAAACGCGGAGGTCTTTGGCGCTGACCGATAAATGGCCTGGAGTTTGAGATCTCGGACGATCTCCAGGGCATGACGGCGGAGGTCGTAGCTGATGAAGATCGTGGCGAGGAAATCAGCCACATACACCAGTTCTTCCGTTGTGCGGACGTTTAGGACGATGTCCAAGATCAGGGACCGGAGTTCCTTGATGATGAGATCAGTCTTCTGTTGCTTGTGGTAGATGGCAATCAGTTGTTGGAGTTGCTTGAGCGTCTTCGTCTGCGTGTATTCATGCGCTCTGCGGCTTGATATGTACTTTTCGAACAAGAGCAACTCGGCCTTCTCCACGGTCTCTTTGCTCAATGTCGTGGACTTCGTAGACGTAATTTGCTTGATGTAAAGCTCCTTGATCATACTCTTGGATCGCTCGATTGTCTGGACGGACACCACTTCGGAATGCTGCGACACGGTTTCAAAGTAACGGATGGATTCAAACCTGCGAATAGATGTCAGCGTCTATCGATAGACCCAGGAAGAAAATACAAGGGACCCCTCCGAGGGCAAACTTTCTGAAGAAGTGGACGACTCACCAATACTCTTGACTCTTTGAACACGCCTCAGCCAATGCGCTTGTGGTGATAATCGAGATCACAGACTTTTCTCCGTAATACTTGAAGCAAGCTTCACGAACCTCTCTCAAGATCTTGACGTGTTGGTCGACATCCAGCTTGGTCTCTTCCATGGAGGTGTAATACTTCTCCAGCAGGCGCTGGACTACCGCGGCATCGGCGAAATGTTCGTACTGAGTGCCAAACTTGATGAATGTCGCCGCGATGGACTTGAAATGGATCAACGCTTCTGTAAATCGCCGGCTCTCATAGTAATGCTCCGCAACAATTATGAGAGCACGGAGTGCATCTTTTTGGCTGATCAATTCACCTTTGTTGACAGCATTGACGATTTCAAGGTAGTACTCCACCCAGTACCTATGCACGAGATGGTGGGTTCGACAAGTGTCTGCAAGGTTATAGAGCAGAGTGATTGTCTTCTTGTCGCTCTTGCCGTAGAAGTTGCGGTAGTCGATCAACAATTCCTGATAGAAGCTGATGATGCGGTCGTGCAGGCCGTGGCGCTGCAGGAACGCAATATACATATCAGAGTACTTGGCCACGGCGAGATTGTCAATGCTGTGTGTCTTGTGATGAGCGCGGTAGAGCCTCAGGTAAATCTGCTCGCTCTGATCCAGGACCTGGTGTTGTTCGTAGCATTCCGCCAAGCGCACAGCAAGCATGACACTCTCAGTGGAGAATTTGGCGGGGAGAGTTATGCTCTCCAGAGCGTCATTGAATAGTCCCGCCCAGCCTTTTTTCATTGTGCTTTCAAGGACTGTTATGGCTTGCGCATACCGGCTTTGTTCGATGTAAATCGCCGTCAGTGATTTGGACAATTCGAAGGTGGAGTGGGTGACCTCTGAAGTGGTTGTGATGGTATGTTCGAAAACCTTCAAGCTTGCAGTTAGCACCATCATTTGTGAAATGGCAGCGGACTTTCGGAATATGTCCTTGCAGGTCTTTCAGACCGGTTAAGACGACTTACCTCACGTATAGTAACTTCAGTGGATTCACTGACTGTCGTGGTTGAAGATTTGATAATCTCCATGGACGTGGCAGTGATTTGCTCTTCGATTTCTGAAATGAAGGTGGTTTCGCTGACGTTCTTGTAGTAGGAGAAGCATTTCTGATAAACGGACAAGGCCACGGTGTTGAGCTTGACTACCTTCATAATCACAGCGATCTCTTTCAGGAGTCGGACGATAGACTCGTACATTGAGAATTCGCTGTGCTCAAACTCTTTCCAGGCGAAGAGAAGGACAGAGGATGCTTCGTCGACGCGGTTGCGGGAGTGCAAGAAGCGAGCATAGGCCAGCATCAACTCTAGCTTCTTCTGGTGCCACTCCAAGGTCCTGACACTGGCGCAGTGCTCTGTCAGTTTCCACCAGAGTTCAATGTATAGTTCTTCAGCCTTTTCATAGTCCTCGCGTTTGATCAACTCGGTGGCACGGGCAAATATGCCTTCGACCAACGCGAGGGTGAGGGACTCTGCGGTTTCTTCTTGGTAGCCAGCAAACAACTGTGATCCTCAATTAGTTTGTGGCCGGATAGACATATTATGGAGTAATTGTGCCGTCCATGTAGCAATCAACGCTTTAAGGAAAGGAGTGACTTACGGATCCCTCAAAGGTGTCAATGAGCTCCTTCTCCTTACGCTTGCGCAGGGTGACATCCAGACTGCGAGATACCTTCTCGCCATTCTCTTGGACGGTCTGATCATCGATGGCAGTCGAGCCCGTTTTCTGCTTGAATTCTTCGGTCTTCTCAGTCTCGCCGATAAAGATATAAAGCTCGCTCAGCTGTCTGTAACATGCAGACACCTCCCTTGAGCTCGCACCATAGCGGTAGGTGTAGGCGGAGACGAGGATTCGCAGAGTTTCTTCACGATAAGTTGTGATCTGACTCCGGCTTTTTGTCACCAAGCTTTCTGTCACTCGCAACAAGCAGAGACAGAGTTGGACAACGAGGTCGTGATGTGAGCCCAGTATCTTTGCGGCAACTTTGATCGATGTCATGTACCAGGACGCCGCATCGTGGAGTCGAAATAGGGTTGTCTCATAGATTTTTGCAACAACAATGGCCGCCTGTAGCACGCAGGCGTGGTCTTGCCCAAACAGGTTCACGCGAACACGATAGGCAAGCGCGTGGAGCTCGGTCGCCTCACTTGGTGATGTCTGTGCGCGCCAGCAAGCCTCCTCAAGGAGTGCCAAAGTCACAGTCGAAGGGAAGATGTTGGCAAAATCTTTAGGAACCTCCAAATCTCCGCCACGCTTCAGCAGCGAAGATTGCTTGAAATGGACAATCCAGTATCGCACGGTATACTCCAGCAATTGGCGTGAGTGAGAAGGACGGTGAATCCTGCTGAAGTCCAAATAGTCCAGCGTCGGCTCCTGATCCTCTCTAAGAGAGGTCTTTGCATGGATCAGAATGCGAGTCAGCATATCTCTGTGTCGATCCTTGAGCAGCGAATAGTCCTTCGACTTTTCAGCGACTGCAATCAAGGCTGTTTTGATTGCCGCGTGCCTGATGGTTAACATGCCTTCGCCTCTGATAGTGAAGGGGGCCACAGATGCCGTCAGGTCGCGTAGGTCGACGCTCTTCTCGTCCATCTCGAGACGGCTTGGCTGGGCCTGGAGTAAGAGTTCGAGTTCTGAGAGCAGGAGCGGCCTCTCTGCAGCTAAAGTAACGGAAAGCAAGCTTTTCGCTCGTGGGTCGATCCGAAGAATTGACATTAGTCTTTCCACTAGATCCGGCACAGTCTTCGGACTGTTGACGAGGGCTTGCAGAGCTTCGTCAAACGTAGAGTGGACTTTCTGGTGTCTGATGTATTGTGTAGCGAGCCATGCCCACAGAATTGAGCCATCAGCGGCGGCCGCCAGCTTGTCAATGGCAGATTCCTGAGCGCCATCTTCAATGGCGGCAAACGATTTGAAATCACCAAGTTCTCGGCGTACAATCGTACGAATGTCATCAATCATAGTTTCTGTCGTGAGTTTGACATATTCCGATTTCGAGTGGGTGGTTTCAAGCGGCTGTGAGAAGCGGATCAATCGCAGACCAGGTATCTTGACAGCCAAGTCATGGAGCCTGTTGGCTATCGCATGGGCATGGTGTCTCTGCCCAGTAATTTCATCAAGACCGTCAACAACGAGGACAAGGGTGTTTGTCTCATCCTCATCAATGGCCGACAGCACTTTTTCGAGGACGGCCCATAGGATCTCCTCATTCTTGTGCAACGCGTTGGAGTCCTTGAACTCGTGGTACGCTTCGGTCAAGGCTTTGTACAGGTGGATATCTCCAATCCTCTGAGACAAAATCTGCCACAAGAGAGTTTTCAACAGCGCGAAGGAATTCGCCTGAGCAGGAATGTTGCTGTTGAAGAAGAAGCTTAGAGGGAAAACAAGCTTACGGCCAATAGGTCGTTGAAGTCGATCGACCGTCCAGTTCGCCAGGGTCGTCTTGCCTGTGCCCGTCTTACCCTCGACAACAAGCGAGCTTTCCCCGCTGCGCATGAAGTTTGTCAAGTGGGATTGGAACCATGTGCAGGTGAATTGCTCTGGTCTGCTGGCGATGTTAATGTTGTTACTGGCCAAGAACGCCAGAACGGTATCTTGCGGAGCCAGCCACGCCTGCAGGGCTTCCAGGATATGGGTTTCTTTCAAGCCACTCGCGGTCAGGCTGTAGTTCCACATGTCCTGAGAGCATTGGGAAACTCGAGAGCGGAAACTCTCAATAGACGTGCTAAAGGTTGAAAAGATGTCGAGATTGGTCGACGAGTTGTTTCCATGGACGATCTGCCAGAACGTGATGGCCACCCCGGTCACGATAGACAAGAGCTCGGAGAAGGCTTTGGAGAGATTATCGGAAATGAGTCTGGACGAGGTAATGATGTCGACGCGTTTCAAAAGCGGCGACAATTCGAGGCCGAACTGGTAGAAGAGGTTGAAGACCGTCTCCAGTGCTGGAGCATTGTCGCTTCCAAGCTAAAGAAGCGTTAGCGGATTCGAGCTTCAATTTGTAGGGAGAGGCAGTCACAGTGATAGAAAAGGATTTGTGCTTCTGCGAAGGTGTCAAGGGCTTGCATTGAAAGTGGTAAAGACACAAGACAATGAGCTTGAGAGGAAGCGATGGGCTAATTGACTGGTGAATGGTAAGGGTGTAAGAATGGAAAACAACGTACCTCCAACAGAAGAAGACACTGGCCAAAAACCAGATTCGTAGCTGCGTTGATGTCGGACTCAAAGGTCGAAATTGCGATATTAAATCTGTGGACTTGTTCCGCGAAGTGTTGTGCAGCGATTAGCACACGATCCCAAGAACCGCCTTTGTGGGGGAGTCTGATCAATCTTTCGTCCCGTATCCATTCAAGAAGTCCAGTAATGGAAGTGTCAAATGCGTAGTCGCTGAAGTTAGAGCCAAGGACACGGTAGGCGTGGTTGCGGGAAGTGGCTAGCTGCTCCTTGACTTGCTCCAGGCCGCCGAAGGACGACGTGCGATCCGTGCTGGCTCGTGGTCGCTGCATGAAAACGGAGGGCATTGGCTTAGCTGACCGGACTGTGATGTCCGGGATATCTGGAGGAGCCAGTGCCGAATATGTGCCTCCATTGACGCCGTTGGTGCCGTTGACGCCGTTGGAAATAGAAGAGGTTGATGTATACTCGAAGGCTTTTGTCGACGAGCTACTGACGTGTCGAAAGGAAGAGGAAGTCATATTAGATTGTTTCTCGGCCTTGATAGCCGAAGAATCCTGTCCTGTAGAGAGAGCTATGGTTAGCAAACACCTTTCCGGCCGGGGAGCGCAGCTTTATACCGAACGGTTGCCGCAACAGACCAAGCATCTTGACAGTGCACCCTGGAAAAGTCAAAGGGTGTCACTGAACCCGCTCCTACTGTCCTGATGATGAAAACTGAGAGGCGGGGAACGCGCGCCATTTGTGCGCTGAGCTATATACTCCAGCATGTGAGAGAGCCACATTCGATCCTGGAAGGTTTCCACTTGTTGGGGTGTGTCATTGGGTGCAGCATACGTATATCCTCAGCACCCCCTTACTGGGTTGTGCTCTCGCGAGACCCAGTCGACAATAGATGGCGGGGGATGTCGGGTCCGCCGCCAGGAGCAAGTGCCCATCACATCCATGAGATCGTCTTCAGCTCTGCCTCCAAGGCGGAATCATTGGTCACCACACCAGGGAGTTGCTGAAAGCTATCGATGATGACCTTCGTCCCTGAGCACCTTTCTGGAAAGATGGTGTCGCTAGCACTCAGGAACTGATGCGTACCCACCGACCACTCCCCTTTGCACCACTCTCATTCTCCGCCGATATGCAAGCCACCTCCCATTTCGGACAGGCCGGTCGAGCGTAGCCCAGCGTTTGAAACATCATCGCCCTCTTGCAGCTCATCAAAGAGTATTCGCGCAGCGTGCTGGAGCGAGATACGTAAAGAAGCTGGAAGGATTATACTAGCTGCATGCTGAAGCTAGACATATTCGCTTAGCGAAAAACACCTACCAAACCCTTTCGGGGTCAAAATCCTCTCGCAGTGAGGTAGGGTCGTTCTGCCCGGGCTTCAATAGGCATGGAATAGCGAACATGTGCCTTGTCGCAATGGTAGTAGGTTCAGTCGTTGTCTTTCTCGAGACAGATGCGGTCTGACGAGACCAGGTCCACGACCACACTGGTTCCTTCAACATCCGAAAAGGTAATGCGGGTTGGCCATGGCCTATTCGCCGAGGGTACGGGTGCGGTCTAGATTGCGCCATCGCTAACCGTCGAGGACATGGGAAATGGCTGAGGACTGCAAGCCGTTCCGCTTCTGCACAATTTTAGTCAATTGTGGACTCGGTACGTATACTTCCCCTCACCTGAAAGAAGTCTGAGATGTCACCAAATCGGTGGGCTGCTGCATGTGTTGTCCAACCTGATGGGCACGGAACGATGGTCAAAGCTCCTCCTTTCCGAGGGCGATCGTTAAACGAGCGAGAGAGAATCGTTTCGGCAGTCATGTTCTTTGTCAGATGCAGATGGTGATGAAAGTCTTGCAAATCGATGTGGATGGGCCTCGGACGCAGCTCGCCAGACAAAGGAGAGAAGGGTTGAGAGTGAGTTTTTTCAGCGACCGGATAGACCCACTAGCTGGAGGGGTTAGCTAGGCTACTGGCGGCCTACCGGCGGGCTACTGGTAGGCTGTTAGGTGGAAGGCAGTAGGCTAGGGGTGCCGGGCCCCGGAGCCGGGGGGGTTGCAAGCCCCCTCAAGCACCCCTTAAGGCCCGCCAATCGCATCGGTAACTCGGCTGTGCCCCCCGGTAAGTTCCTTAGGGAAACGGTCATGCCGATCCATGGCTCCCCGCATCCAGAAGCGTCATCACTATGCCAAGTCTGGAGGGCCAGCGCAGGCCAATGCATGCAGCCTCGTCGTATCTGGAAAGGCCGCTCTCCATTCAGTACGTAAAGAGTCCACGGGATTCATCCTCCCACTTTTATTAGGTCTCCTCTGCCGCTGCTTCTTTTGAGCAAGATCGTACTTTCGACAAGCGAACTGGGGCTTGACTGGGCCAACCTATTTGTTCCGTACTTGACGTGTCGTCTCCATCTCGGAGCCTATACCTCTGGGCACCCCGGAGCAAGCCCAGCTCTTGACAAAAAGCACCTTGGGCGAGTCACCAATAGCAGTGGCTGGAACAGGCCCTCGTCCTTGAAGCCACCCCATGCTGAGAGGTGGTGTGTTACACTCCTTCTCAAGGACATGAGCCATCTGCCTCATTTACATGTGAAAGTTTTGTCCATTGGCGGCTTTTCAAAGGTACACATCTGGCATACGAGGGCCTTCTGGGCCATATATAGCTCGAAAAAATTGCGCAATGCGGAGAAAGCAGGCGAAGCGATGGTCCCCGATCGCCCTAAGCAGAGAAGAGGGCTCAGAACACCGGCAAGTACTCGATCGGGCTTTGATGGGTCTTTGGTGCCCGCTGATCCTTGGACTCGGTGCTGGTGGAACAATGATTGGTGCTCGAGTCTCTTTGAAAGGTCCATTCTTCAAGAGATCATCCATAAAGGGATGCAGGAGGAGAGAAGGGCAAAGGTGATGTTGGCCCATGCAAAAGCTGCAAGTGAATCGAAGTTGATCGAAAAGCCCATGCACACGGCTTGCTCATCTGCATGGCTCAAAAGCTCTGTTCTTTTCTGGACAACGCGGGGTTTCCGAAGTACGCCTGTACGGAAAGTTTGCGAGGACCATGCACTCAGGGAGGAATGTTGCGGAGATGTCTTCACATGCCACCAAGACTCTTGAACATGGGGACGTGGTAGAGTCGAGAGCAGGTATGTAAGCCATCCGTGAAAAGCTGATCTCCAATGAAGGCTCCCGCTTGTCCTCATCACAACCTTCCATACAAAGAAACTTTCCTTGACACTCTCTTGTCTAGAGGCCGGCGTCACGAATGCAGAGGAGATGGTGATCGAGTTGGGTCTGCTGTGACATTCAAACACTCCACCTCAACTCTTTGGCGTTCCACTCAGAGCTCAGACCTGATATTTGCAGCTCTTTGGCGGTTCGTTCAACGAGTGGGGTATGGTCTTCGCAATGGACCCATTGAGAACTTCAGGGTGGAAAACTCTTCCCAGCCGTGTAAGGCCAGTTGCATATCTGTGAGATGCTTGCTGCAGTTTGCCTCATTGCGTATGATCTTCGCCGCCTCTTGAGAGTAGTGAAATATTCTCGCGTGTGGTGAAAACATCGAGGCTCACTCCCTTTGGAACATCTCGTAGCAGTGCTGAACATCTAACCTTGACAGTGCGACATGTTTCTCGCCGAAAAAAAGAGGTCTGTGCAGAGTGGTAAAGCGCACTCTATCACCTGCAGACACCATTCCACACGGCTGCCACGGAAGTGCTGGTCCAGTTGATGGCTCTCGATCTGGATCTCCACGATATTCGAGGATGGGAATCCGGTTCAGAGGATCCAAATGCTAAATTCCTCGTCTCCAAGGCCTGCCAACGAGGCAGTGATGACTTGACCGTAATTCTGGACTACGTGGCCTCCAGTCCCGCATATGAAGGTCACTTCCAGGGAGAATTCTGCAGAATGTTGGGCAAGTTAATACTGCTTTCGTCTGTGCCAAATGGCAATCGGCGATCAACAAGCGAATGTATGCAGACCGGAAACGCAATCAATGGAAGGCCAGATTCGTCCGGTAAAAAGGTTTCACAGGGCGAGCTTGTGGTGCCTGGGTGCTGATCTCGAATGTCTCCGTCAAGGATATGAGGCGAATGTTACGAACTCATACCACTGCCGTAGCCAACCGATAGAGTAGCTTCCCAGTGGCAGATGCAAGAGATGCTCCAGAGGATTCAAACTCTCACAGCTCTTCAATTAGCTTTGTGCCTGTTCTGCCCGTGGTAAGCAGTACTCGGTGGACTGCTGTAGCGGCGATATGTCGATCATCGCCAGGAATTTGAGGAACAGTGGCTTTTGTTATGGGCCGGGGGTCTGTGTTGGCAATCTTGATAAGGATGGGCATGACGTGTTTGCAATGCCAGCATTCCTTCAAAGGCACACCTTGGGAAACGAGGTTCGCTTGGTGGTCCTCGCGGTGCTGACGATCGTGGTCCACCTCACATGCCATCCAGCAACTTAATTATCCACTGCCGGCCGGAAGGACGCCGTACTGTGCGTGCCGGGAAGCACTGAGCTGGTGCCACCGGTGAATTCATCCAGCTTGTCTGCCTCGTGCAGTGTGTTGGCCACCGCCAAATAGACCTTGGGCCATTGCTGTCTCTTCTACCCTCGGGCTAGTGGATGAAATCAGGTAGCTTGATACGTAGGTCTTAACGACACCGAGGTGTTCTAGGGCATTTCCTAGCTCGGAAAGACATGTGCGCTGTCGATGTATTGGTGTCCGTCAGGCGGTCAGACCAAGGGATTCGAGGAGAGGACATTGCCATGGTGTCATCAGACTGTCTCGATGTACGCGACTGTCGACGCCTAAATGCTGCGGGCGCTTCGAGGCAGCACAAGAGAACAAGCATGTATGATCAATGACAGCTAGCCATGCAGCACATGGAGAAATCAGATTACCGGTCAGTATGCTCCTTGTCGCAGCGTATAAACTGATCCCTCCACAAAACCAATTCTTGTCAAAGCTGTCGCAACAGGACGATCAAACACAAGCTCCAAACTGTCCAGTTTGGCCCCACCGGGTTGTTGGGACCATAGGGTGAGGGCCAGCCAATTTGTTCCATTGTAGTTCAAGATCCCCTGTGGCACTGGATAACTTGTTTGCGGACCGATGTGATTGACATGCTTCCCGTACTGAAAACCATTGACAAAGAGTTGGGTTCTGTAGGGCTCGGCAGGCGTCGTGGTATTTCCGAATGTGAATGACACCGGAAGGTCCCATCCGTCAGGGATACTCAAGTCGAAAGAGGTACTGAAAAAGCCGATTCCAGGGTCTGAAATCCCAATCAACGGACTGCGACTTTCCCACGACAGACTTGGTGGATTTGGCAAATGCCAGCCCTGTCGCTCGGCATACATTGATCCCTCATTCAATGGTCCCCGGCTGCGATCCACATAGTCTTCACCACCTAGGTTACCAGTCAGCTTCCAGCTGATGGCACTGTCATCATAGCCAGCGAGCTCGTAGTCCAAGATCCCGCGTGGTGTCTTCATCTGGTCTGAACCAACATATCCATTCTCCTCCAGTCCCATATGGTCAATGAGGATGGTCAGAACATAGTTGCTTCCTGGCTGGAGGGTGGAGAGAAGGTATGTTGCGTTGGTGTTGTTTTCTGTACTCACACCAACATACGATCCCAGGAAGCTCTGATTGAGCCAGAGAGAGTGGCCGAAGGCCCAACCACCCTGGGTATTGAGGGAGAGGTTGGTGCTTGATCTTTGAGCAGTGAAGTGACCACGATAGATCAGAGAGCCGCCGTGATAACCATAGTCCGACGCTTAAAGGGAAGTGGGAGTGGTGAGGTTCCGCACTGTATTATTGGTTGAAGCAAGGTTCGCGATCGTCCAGCCGGAGTCATCGTAACCTGGCTGGATTTCTGGGAGACTATCAATGTACTTCCACTCCAGGCTCTGGATATCTGGAAGGGTTATATTTGGATCTTCGTAGTCGAATGCTGCCGACCAGTCGCCTCGGCTATTCGCTTTGTATTGAACGGGTACACCATTAACGAAAAGTGACTTTGCGGTTGTCGGCACTCCAATCACTTCAATGGAGGTGGTATCATTAAAGTCAGCCCTCAGATGCAACTCGTCACGATTGAGATGTATTTCTCTCGCGAGGTAGCCAGTTTTAACGATCACGGAACTGGCGTTGGTATATGCTGACGCAAATCTGTTCCTAGATCCGATGGTAAAGAGATCAAGGACCCAGTAGTCGTAGGCCGAGTTTTTACCTGTAAGTGTTAGCGGGCTTCGGAAGCATTCAGGCAAACGTACCAAGAAGGAAGACCTCCAGCTGTCCAATCTGCACCACGCGGCGGGTTGAAGAAGCATCCCAAGCAACAATAACACCAGACCCAGTCTGGCTGGTCGTGACCGTCGAAGAATCACCTTCAATCACGGAAGGCACCGATGACGACGTCACACATAGTTCATGATGCTCGCCTTCGCCTCCATATAGAATAAGCACTGTCCTTCCGCCGAGGTCCTTCCATGTGAATATCTCTGCTGTGGAGTAGAGCAGATTTACTCCAGCCAGGTCGTAGTCAACCACATGCACTTTAGAATCACGGCCACCAAGCGTCAATGTCCCGCCGAGTTGAGGGACTGTCAAGTTTCCTGAGCGTGTCGGCACAGAGAGCTTGTACAAGGTGGCACTGAGATCGGAATAGTTATAATGTCGAACGATGTAGAATGTAGTTTCGCTCTCGTTTCCGCCCACTGAGGTGACTGTGAGATCGGACGTGTTGGTGAAGACCGAGGTAGTATTGAGTTGCAGCGGTTCGGCAATGAGATATGCTGGTGAGGCCTTGACGAAGTTGGATATTAATTTAGTTTCGCTGTATTTCTGTCGATCGACCTGGCGATTTTCCGATATTGCGGCCGCATAGTCATAAGACGTGTAGCCCCCATCATGACCTAGATTACCCCAGTTCGTCCCTCCGTAGATCTGCTTGGAAGTAAGTCCAAGCGCCCCTTTGCGTTTCGTGTGCCTACATTACTCACCATATATATGTTGAAGATCTTGGCACCCGATGCAATAATGTTTTTGTAAAAGACTCGAACAAATTCATAGTTCACGAGTATCTCGCAATTGTCGAAGCCCGGCCCTCCCCAAGGATCGAAGGAACCCCCTTGGAACTGAGAAAACCGTTCAGCACACGCGCACCACGTCGCAGCGTTCGGGTGAATTACCTCGTCAATGCTATATGGGGTTGTAGGACTCTCATTCAGATGCGTCTGCCAATAGGTCGTTGGCAGGGCACCGTCGGGCCACGCCCTAGGATGTGACTTTTCTGTTAGAACTCCTTCGGGAGCGTCTAAAAGGTCAGCTTACGCAGTCGAACCCAAGCCTGTCGGCTATTAGCCACGGAAAACTTTGACACGAGGGAAGGCCTTACGGGTAGCCATCATGCCCATATATATCCACTGCTCCAACTCCTGTGCCAGGAGCATTGTGCCCACTTGGCCTTGCATCGTTGCTGATCATGGGAACCACAATGCCTGCCTGTCGAGCCTGATCCATGACATCTTGCATATACTGGCCGTCAGGAAAGTCCACGCCACAGCAACCTTGGCTGTATTCATTCTCAGGCTGATAGAGGATGACTGGTCCACCGTTCGTTATCTGGGCGGCAGCAATGGAGCTTGCGACGTTTCGAACATAACTGAAGCCGATGTGAGTCTTCACTCTATTGACAGGGGAAATGTTTCACTTTTCCGTTGATGCGAGATAACCTGGGTCTGTTGTTCTAAGTCTATCCGGCAGTCTCGCAAGCCAGCCAGGGAACCCTCCACCAGATGCCTCTGCATTGATGTAAGGACCAGGTCGAGCAATGAGATAAACACCTGCGGCGCTGGCAGCTTCATAAAACGGCTCGAGAGCGAAGACTCCTTCAGCCGAAAAGTTTCCGGGTTTGCCTTCCAGGACCGCCCAGTCCAGATAGAAAGAAACGCAATTGAACCCAAGAGCCTTGACTTTCTGAAAGACGTCTAACCATAGAGACGGCACAGGAAGTCTGCCAAAGATCGGGGTGTCAGCAGGGCGTTTGATGGCAAAATGATCTTTGGTCCTACCGAAATGGATGGAATTCGCCGCTGAATATCATGATTCTCTGGCCATGGATAAAAAGCGACGTTTCATCCCAAGTTACCTGGAACGAGTCAGCACCATGGTAACGGCGCATCTTGCCAGTATGAATCGTACGATGTCTTGCAAAAGTTGTCGTTTCTCTGGGTCCGGATGCTCAATAATTTTGAGCCCGCCGAAATTTTGGCCTGGGAGAGCAAGGGCCGCAACCCACGCTGCCAAGCAGGCAAACACCGAGACAATAGTGAGTCTCATGATGCTTGCTGGATTTACAAAGGCGGTATCGGCGTCGATTGAACTCAAGACTAGGCCTGTCCATGTTGCGACCTCTCTTTTTATGCTGGATTGCCAATCGTCATCTGTCCCACCATCTTCTCACATGTAACCACCGTCTCCGCTGCTCGACAATGAGCTTGATGACGATGTCAAGTGCGGGGAGAGGCCTCTATACCCTGTTGCCCATGTTTTGGAACCTGCGATTTTGAGATAGGCTGGGACGATCAAGCGAAACCCGAGTCACGAATAAAGGGCCAGAAGGAGCTCAAAATGAAATCATGGAGACGCAAGAGGAAGTAGACTGGGCCGGGAAGAGATGATCATTCATGGAGTACAAGGATTGCTTCGGTGGAATGAGCAGCGAGTTATCAAAATGAGTAAATGGCCGGTGGGCGAGGCACTCCGGGGAACGGCTCCAGCAGGTGCAACTACTTTCTCGCAGTCTCCAATATTTCGAAGATCCTGAGCATTGCCCGATGATGGATCTCGCAGAATGAAGTTCCTCACTTGATGAAGGACGACGTTGACGGCCCCAAGTTGCTTAGCTAAGCCTGTTGTTCCTGTCACGTGCACGCCTCGCTATTTTATTTCCCCGGAACCGATGGTAACCTCGTCTCCCCCCTTTCTCTGGTGTGAAAAAGGTAAGAGAGATGCTCTGCTCCCCTGGACCTTAATGCACTCGGTTTTGGTCGATGTATCTTCAGATTAGGGTGGTAGTCTCAACTACCAATTCGATGAACTAGTCGCTTCGAGGCTGGCTCAAGGTCCTCATTTTCCAGCCAACCAATCCAACCACCAGCAACATTGCAGCTGTAGAGCTGATTTCAGGAGTTTCTAGCCCTCTCTGCTCAGACATCGATCTCACGTATTCTGGACTAACAGAGGATCAAAATATCGTCTCATACCCTGTCTGTGATTGGCAGCAATGCCAAATCAATCCCCATGAGCCTGTGGATTCGGATATCCACGCGATCCGTCTCGCCGAGGGCCAGTGCTCCTGTTCAACTTTAACGTCCATACTCTCCAGACTCAATTGGAAGTTGTCGTCTTGACAGTTCACGACGATGCAGATTTGGTGTCCAAGATCGCGGCATCGGACTCCGGCCCATCTCCACGGGGGTGGTTCGATGCTGACGTCCTTCAAAGCCTGCCATCGCCAAAGGTTGTTGATCCAGGAAGGTCTTGCTGAGTCTAACGAGCGACTTGGGGACCTCTGGACGCTGGAAATTTATGGTTGAGCTTTATTTGCGCGACTTATTCTTACGTGTTGATAGAGTCACGGGTCTAAATCGACATACTTTACGATGCACCACCTGGTGCTCTTCGGCTGAGACGGTAGACTATCGACAATGGAGTTGTCATGAATTGTTTCTCGGGAGGAGTCCGTCCATTTCAGTCCTATGACCTTGTATTCGGATGGAACAGAAACAAAAAGCGGAAAGCGGATACTCGGCTGGTTCCCGAAGAGTCAAGACCTGGCATGATCGACGACGAGGTCGATGCGCTCTCAGCCGGCCATTCCTGCAGCTATCGGTAAGCACGGGATCACATTATGCGGAGAAAGCCAATGGGGGCTACCAATCTAGCTCCAGGAGGTCCTGGCCCAGCTCCAATGTCACGCAGTCGGACATGTACCGAGGGATCATCCAAAGTGTAGAAAAAGCTTCATAAGTAATACGTGCTACCACATGGGCATGACGGGCTAACAACACGCCCCCCTCCTTTTGGAGCCAAGATCAATGAACATCAACCGAGACGACACGATGATGGCAGTACAGGAATTTTTTGGTAGATTTGTTACCAGCGTTGAGAACCTCCGGCCACTCAGCTACACCCCTCCGAACGTCGGCTTTTTCTGCATTGCCGCAGCTACATTGATTGCTTTACTACTCCGCTCTTTGCTGCGAAAGCGAGATTTCGCGACATTTGACGAACATGTCGGAAGCCCTCCATCAATGGAGAGCCAAATCCGCGCGGGATTCAAGAAGGTTAGAGATTGGTGCCACACGAGTATCTCTGTTTTGTCTAGGCACTGACACTTCCTCTGACAGTTCAAACAACCCTTCATGATCAAAATGAATATAGGGCCAATGTTGATGCTGCAGACGGAGCATATCGATGAGATCAAAAATACACAAGCCTTCAGCTTCGCCGACTTCTTTGGACGAGTACGTCGTTCCACACGACCTGAATCAAGACATTGTCTTCTCACGCCGTCCAGATCTTCTTCAGTTCGTATCCTGGCTTTGAAGCTTTCGGCCGATTTGTCGAAGACAATGTGTTCTCGAATGTCGTGCGGGTGAAATTGACCCAAGCACTCGGTAGAATCCCTGGCCGAGTTTTACGCCGAGATGTGTTGACTGATATCCGCCAGCAATGTTCACAGAAGATCTCTCCCAAGAAACGGCATTTTCGCTGCCAGCAGTCTTTCCGCAATCAGGGGGTAAGTGAGCCTTGCACTCCAGAATGATCGCTTGGAAACTAACAGCAAGGCAGAGTGGACCGAAAGCAACCTTTACCCAGACTGTCTGGCATTAGTGACGAGACTTTCATCCCTGGTCTTCGTCGGACGCGAGTTTGATAGACTTGACGACTGGCACCGAGTCTCGAACCTGTACGGTTATCATTCTACCGAAGCAGCGAGGACTTTGAGACAGTGGCACCCTCTCCTACGGCCTATTGTGCATTGGTTTCTGCCCGAGACAACCTTCATCCGCAAGCTCCTGAAAGAAGCACGCGAAATCATCGAACCAGAGGTGGAGAAGAGAAAGATCGATCGACGAAAACGTCTCGCGGAAGGAAAACAGCCCCGCAAGTCTCTCGACACGGTGGACTGGTTTGTCGAATGTGCAGAAGGGCGCCCGTTCGACATCACCGTGGGTGAATTGACCCTAGCTGGCGTTGCAATTCACACAACTACATTTACCCTTGTCAACGTATTGCTGGATATATGCACGCAGCCGGACGTCATAGAGCCTTTGAGAAAGGAGATCAAGGATGTGTTGGCTGAGGACGGAGGCCTCAGGAGACAGTCTCTCCACAAGCTTAAGCTGATGGACAGCTTGTTGAAAGAAAGCCAAAGGGTCAACTCGATCAGTTCTGGTAAGTGGTTCCATCTCCCAGATCCGGTTTCACGACGACAGAACGCTGACGCAACGACAGTTGGTATGGGCCGAATGACCACGGACCTGGTCAAGCTGCACAACGGGAAGAAAATACAGAAAGGAACGCTCGTCGGCGTCGCGCCTCTCCCCATGTACGACCCGGTGATTTTCGACCATCCCGAACAGTTTGACGCCTTTCGATTCGCCACCAAGCGCCAGAAGGCCGGTCAGGAAAACAAATGGCAATTCACCACGACATCTCCCGAGCACATAGGTTTTGGCCATGGCCTGCATGCTTGTCCCGGACGCTTTTTCGCCGGCAACGAGCTCAAAATCGCTCTTGTGCATCTGCTGTTGAAGTACGATTGGAAATTGCCAGCAGGGGAGACACGGCCAGGACTTGTCGACCCGCCGGGTGAGTTCTTCAGGGTTCTGGGCGGACAACCTAGGCTGCTGTTCAAATCTGTTGCAACCGACGTCAATTTTTGAGCTTGATCATCCTATTTGTCAGAGAGAAGTTCGAAGCAGCGCCTGATTACATCGGCATATAACGAAATCCTTGGCAGTGAGACGTAATCTATATAGCCATCATGCCCTGTTCTTTTTTGATGACCGTGCTCAGCCTTCTCGAACCTCATATCACGGACTTCCATGTTCAAAGCAGTCTGTTCCGAAACAACATAAAACACCCTAAGAAAGCGCAGAATTGTTGAATACGGACGGTCTAATGTAAGACCAGGCAGGTGATTGAGGCGCGGCAAAGTGCTCAAGCAAACATGAGAATGAGAACCAGGTACGAAAGGATTTCGAAGAACGTGTACCCAGAGCACCTTCCAACACATAAATATACAGGCAAAGCTTCCCATGGCATGGTTTTCAAGTTGCTTCAGATTCTATCCACCGCCAGCTCTTTAACCCCCTTGAAATGGAGCCTGTTCTCTTGTTCAAAACTTGGGCAGCATTCTCTTGAAGATCTCGGTATCATAGGTGAAGATCCTCTCCGCAAGCCCATCATTGCTCATGAATCCACCAGCGCTACTTATCTTGAACATCAGCCAGATAACCCATTCCTTCACGTACTGGGCCAGCCAGCTCCCTCCCGCCTGTCTTAGCTTCCTATTGCGGTTCGTAAAGTCTTGGATCATGGCGAGCCGCTCTTTGCGATGCCCTTCCCAGATCCCGAGAGCTTGTTGAAGAATTTGGGGCTCCATCTTCGAGCCTGAAAGAGATGCGAGGACGTGAGCGAAGCATTCTGCGTCCTCGAACGCCAGTGATGCGCCGAGACCGCCAGTGGGGATCATGGCATGAGCGGCATCGCCCATGACGAGGACGCGGCCACTTTTTGAGGACCATTGTGGTAGTTGTGGAGAAATGTAGAACCTGCGAAGACGGCAATATCAGCCAATTTGAGATCAAGAAGAAACCCAGGACAGGCAATACGTACGGCCAGACAAACATCGTATCGTTGGGTGATACATTGCACACCAAGTCGACGAGTTCGCACCAGCCTTGCTCTTTGGAAAACCGCTCTTTAAGAAGAGCTCGCACTGCAAATTTGTCTTCGGAAAGCCTCTCCCACTCCTCTCGGCTTTTCTCCTCTTTAAAGTCCATGGTGGAAAAGACCCCCAGCTCTTCCCCAGATACGTCCGACGGCATGATAGCGATGAATCCAGTATGACCGATAAAATGCGACGGAAGCTCAATTTTCTTCGCGGCCGCTCGTACCTGGTCTCGTCGCAAGATGGCAGTGACGCCCATAATACCAGCATACACAGAGCGCGAATTCGCGACGACGTGTTTCCTGACAGCCGAGTGCAGCCCATCGACTCCAGCAACAAAGTCGGCGTGGGCAGTTTGGCCATTGGCAAACGTCATTGTGACTTTGCCTTTGCTTTCTTCTTCGTGGACTTTGAGCAGCTTCATGTTGTGTTGAATCTTGATGCCTTTTGCCTTGCATTCTTCCACCAAGACCTCTTGTACGAAGCGTCGATGAATCCTCATGGCGCCAAACCCGTACCTCTCCTTGTCTCCCACATTGAAGGCTGCCACGACAGCCCCGGCAGCATTACGGAAATATAGTTTCTCGTATGTGTTTCCGATTGCTTCAAGTTTCTCAAAGACGCCGATATTTTTCATCACGCATAAGGCGTTTGGTGCTAGAGAAATGTGTTGCCCTTCCTCATAGCCCTCACCACGTAATTCGTAGACCGTGCAGGTGACGCCCGGAACATTTAGAAGCTCAAGGGCAAGTGCTGGTCCGCCGAGACCGGCACCAATGATGGCAACCTCGATGGTCATTGTCAGACGGTGTTGTGGTTGTCGGGCTTCAAGTGACACTCTTCGATTTGCCGCTCGTAATCAATCGATATGCTTCCAATAGATATAGTTCTAGTTTATGTCAAGTCTTCCGATTAGACCGGTTTGGAGGGCGAAATAGGTCACAATAAGGTGTCCTTGCGACGGAATCTTCGCTCGCATCCCGACAGCCGTTGCACTTGGATGATGTAGTGAGCTCGTTGCCACATTTTGGGGCCAGACCCGAAAGCTTTGGGCTGGTTCCCTTTTTGCCTCAGTAGACATGGCAGGCTCGGGAAGCTCCCGAGCCTGGTTTTCGTGCAAGTGGAGGAGCATTCTGGACGAGTGTTGTGTGCCGTCTGAACCTTCCACGATCGGAAGAATTGGAGATCAAAAGATGATGCTTCCTGTCGAGTCTGGGTAGTCATAATTTCAGTACTTCCAGTGGTTTTCTGCAGCAGTCGTGTTTTGTACTTGAATCGGGTAGAACTGGATTGGGTTGAAGTTGGTCCAGGATCCGAGCCCTAGTATTTATACTACCTATTCCTCACTCTCTCTGGAACCCCATTGGTCTGGTTTGCCCTCGCGCTTCATTCGCGTTTCTATCAGCATTCTATAACGGCTTTAGGGCCATGACCGAGTCAACAATGAGAGGTCATCATAGTTCGCGGATGACGTTGGCTGGAATTTCGTGTGCATTGGCTGTATAATGCAAAATTTCTGTGCATTCTCTCCAGGGTATGAATGAACTGTCCGCCCACAACTGGTAGTACGTGGTGTCTAGACGGGCTGCCTGCGTCATTTAATGCACCCCTTAAGTTGGGGCAATTGCGGGAAAGAGGGGGAATGGGGTTACGGGGCTTGTGCGGGTGACGCGTGAGAGGCTCTCGAATTCTAGCTCCTCGGGCGGGTGATCTGGGTGATGGCACTGGCCAGCGAGACATTCATAAACTACCGACGCCACCAACCGAGAATGGCCGGCGTCGTCAGATAGAATTCTTTCCCATCTAACCACGAGCAAGAACATCAACTACTCGGTGATCAAGCTGAATACACGGCACTCCATTTCTCTCGAAGCGGCTCTCGTTCTCAACACCCATCAAAGCGGAAAATCAAACCAAGAATGTCACCTGCCAGGCATGAGGCAAGTGTCTGTTGTACCCTGTCGTCAGGTCAGACGGCCCATAAGCTTCTAACACGATCCGTGTTCAGGTTGGTAAAACTACTCGAGGAAATGCTGGAGGCCGAAAACGCACACGGACACCGCTTGCATGTGATATCTGTCGCGAACGGAAAGTCCGTTGTAATGGGACCAAGCCAATCTGCGGAAGATGTCAGGCGCGCGGCTTGACCACAAGTCAGTGTGTCTATAGCACAACGATAAATCCCAGCAGAAACGACAGTCAGAGAGAGTAAGTAAAGTTTCCAGATTCCAGCAGTCTTCCGAAGCGACTTATGAGGCATGGCAGATATATCAATGTCCTTCACAACCGTATCCGTGAGTTGGAGGCCTCGCATCATGCTCCTGATCAAGCAGGCGATGTACTTCATCATCCTCCGACGCCAGATCGCAACACATCATTGTCAACCACTTTGCAAGTCGTTTCGGAAAACACTCTGGAGTCTACCTCGTATCCGGTCTTTCAGAGTCCCAACTTTCAAGTCGATCATAATATCAATTTCAAACAGTCCGAGCCAGATTCTAGCATGCAGAATCCAATTACGCGAGCATCAGCCATTGAAACGCCCAATCCGGTGCCCTCAAGCGGAGCTTCAATGTCCTTCGAAGAGTCTCACCGAGAACCTGCAGCCAGAACACCTTCTGCCTTACTCTGTGGTGGCGATAGCGCCGCAAACCCATCGAATCCAATACGCAGCCCGCCTACAGCTGACAGTGAAGGTCAATTCAATGCCATGGGTGTGATGTGCTCGATGGAAACTCAACAACAGAGCCCTAGCCAGACGTTTTACGGTCGGTCATCTGTTGCCTCGTTGTTGAACCAAATTCCATTGGATTCAACAAGCGTCGAGGCTTCACGGCGCCGAGACGATATCAGTCAACGAGATCATGGATCCCAGCGCCGTACGCCTTACGCTCCGAAGACATCTACCTTGAGTTCTATGAAAAGAATGCGTTGGCTTTCTCTACCTCCTCGCAATGTGGCCGATGATCTTTTGGGTCACTATTGGTCTGGCGTGCACCTTTACTATCCTTGGATTCACACGCAAAGCTTTCTGAAGGCTTACGAAGCAGTCTGGTCTCCCGGCGGGTCGGAATCGCAAAGTGATCATCGACCGCGAGTCGGACTTGGAGGATCGGACTGCCCAGACACAGTGTTTAGCCTTGCATTGAATGCCATCTTTGCCTTAGGGTGCAAATTCTCAGAATCCCTCTCGGACCAACCAGAGGATCCAGCATCAGAGTTTATGGAAAACGCATTCAACTTGCTGCACGTCGAGCTCCTGGACGAGCCTAGCCTCGCCCTTGTCCAGGCATTGGTGCTCACTGCGTTCTACTTACAGAGCACTCAGCAGGTCATGAAATGCTGGAGTATGGCAGGTCTGGCCTGCAGGATGGCTCAAGGAATTGGCCTGCACCTCGGTCATCATGACTCTGAGTACACCGTCCTTGAGCTTGAGATGAGACGAAGGGCATGGCACGGCTGTATGCTACTCGACAGGTAAGCGGCCTTCTTCTCTTGACGAGATCGAGCTCATCCACCCAAAGAATTGTAAGCATGACTTTCGGGCGGTTCCCCGTGCTGGTCGGAGTCCCGCAAGTTCCTTTATTTTCCGCGATTGATGATGAATATCTGAGAGATACATCAGAATCTTGCTTTCAGCCAGACGGAAAGTTTTCTCGAATCAATTTTGCAGTCGAGAACGTCAAGTTGGGTTGGATACTAGGGGATATCCTGCAACAACTCTACGGCACGCAGCTCGAAGGTAACTGGAGCAAGAAAGAAACACAGGAAAAAGATCACCCGGAGCAAACGCCAAAGTTCGATACTCTAGTGTTGCTAGAATCTACTTTATCACAGTTCGAAGCAAACCTTCCCCGGGAACTACAGTGGAGAGACCATGACTTGTCGGGACTGGATGTCCAGCTCGAAAGACCAATTTTGCGTCAGAAATACGTGCTTCGTGCGAGGTGAGTACTAAGTTCCCTGGCTGAAATGTGCTATCATCTTAATTTAAGTCATCCTAGGTTGTTACACGCCAGACTCATGCTCTATCGGCCCTCGTTCTGCAAGTTCTGTGCTTCTACCTCAAATGACACTCACTTCGAGCAAGAGGCACGAAGCATTAGCAGTAAAGGCAAAGATATTGGAGCCGTATTTGCATTTCATTCCGCTCTTGCCTGTGTCCACACAGCTAGCGAATTGGTCGAGCTCTTATTCCATGCGATTGCCGAAGACCTTTTCGGGGCCTAGTGGTATGCATTATATTGTGAGCAATTACGAACAATGATAGGGACTCTCATGCAAAGACTGACAATAGCGATACAGACCTTGTGTCTTGCAACATCATTTTGATCATGGCCGAAACATCCGAGAGATTGCATAACGAGATCAGCGAGGCCAAGTTCACGGCACTATGGAGATTATGTCGCCAGACGCTGGAGGTTATCAATCTCAAATATCCCATGACGAGTCAGTGTGCTGTCGCTTTGGAGACCATCCGGCAACGCTCGATCAAGATTCGTCAATGTAAGTTCAGTCATCTCCGAGAGCTATACAAAGCTTATTCTGCACGGTGACTTACCCGCCCTTCCAGCTACCTCTTCTAAATGCAGACGTCAAGACGAAGGCATAGGACTCGAGGCCAACAGCTATTCGCAAGTCCATAGAAACCAGCCACATCGACCATCAAACGATCCCGAAAGAGACTTGAGTCTTGGTTGGACCATTAGCCCAACCCAGGATGCTTTTGCGAGTTTAAACGAACTTGACATGGAACAGATCAATGGCGAAGCTGGAGGGATGACCCCGATGTTTGAAAGTCTGCAGAATTCTTTTGGGAGCGCTATCATCCCGGGAGACATGTGGGAGGCTCTGGACATGGCAAGTATCAACGGCTTTGTGCCATGCGTATAGATCACCGGAACAGACAACTTGGACAAGCTGTAATGATGACGGTTAGGAGGGTCAAGTCTATGTACCTCCAAGAACACTCTCGCCACCTGGACTCATCACCGGTCGAAGATCTTGCCGGGGTTCATCAACCAAAACGGATCCAGGCTTTTCTTGATTGCTCTCATCACATTTAATGGTCCCGGTCCAAGCTCTTCCTTCAGGAAACTTTTCTTCCCTAGACCAATTCCATGTTCCCCCTACATTTAGTGGTCATTAGCCGAATGCAATTGCCTTCTCAGGAATGCTTGGTCTTTCTCTTACCGTGCAGGTCCCTTCCATGCCAATTGCGAGATGAACCATATCGCGAACACATTTCTCAACCTTGGCCCGCTCTTCCGGCTTTGTGCCATCATATAGAATCGTTTCGTGGAAGTTGCCATCCCCTATGTGACCGAGCATGCTTCCAAATAGTCCGAGAGCATCCATCTCTTTCTTGCAAACCTCTGGAAGGAATATCAGCAATGCTTCTAGCGTCTAGGGCATATTTTAACTTACCAACCAACTCAGCCACGCGAGAAAGGGGCACGGCAACATCAGTGGCCCAACTCTCTCCACCGGACTCCCTGAGGCTTAACATGCTCCAGAGAGCTTGTTTTCTTGCCGACCACAGCTGCTTCTGTTGCTCTTCGCCTTGGGCGAACTCGAAGTCGCTCCCTCCGTGCGATTTAACCACTTTTGCCACCTCAGCAATATTGTCTTGGACCGAGTTCTTCGTCCCGGCAAATTTGAAGAAAAGCGTCGGAGACTCCTCCCAGACTCGAAGCGTACTGCCCACCCGATTGATCACGCCCATCTGTACGTCGTCCAAGATTTCTATGGCCCCCACCGGTATTCCTTTGCGGATGACCTCGATTGCGGTTTCGGCGGCTTTACGCATCGATGGAAATGTGACCACTCCGACCCCTGTCTCCTCCGGAATGGGCGCGAGCTTCAGGGTAATCTCAGTCACGATACCCAATGTGCCCTCTGATCCTACAAACAGACCAGTGAGATTGTATCCAGCAGATGTCTTCCTATATTCATGGTGTTAGACACAAATACCCAACAACGAAAGCATTACTGGCTAAGTTTAGTCACCTAGGTCGTCGTCTCGTCTTAATAACCTGGCCATCCGCAAGCACAACCGTCAAGTTAACCACCCAGTCCTTCATGGTGCCATATCTCACGGCATTTGTCCCACTGCAATTTGTCCCTACCATTCCCCCAATCATGGCTGTTGGGCCTGGGTCAATCGGAAAGAACAAGCCGTGGGCTTTGAGCTTCTCATTGAGGTCCATCCACGAGACCGACGGTTGAACAACCACATCCATACTGAAGGAACATCTGTTAGCCTGAAGTTGCAAGATTTCAGATTATGAAATGACCATACTCCGCTGAATGCAGTTCCAATATCGCCCCCATTTGGACGAAATCAAAACTCACCCCTCCGTAAGGAGCAGAAAAATTACCTTCAACGCTGGAACCACCAGAATAAGGAACTGCGTAGGCCTCGTCAAGTATAGTCCTTCATACTGCTTGAGTCTTGGTGGAGCTGGGCTTACTGATTGGAATCTTGTATTTGAGACAAATTTTTACCATCTCGGAACACTCTTCGGTGCTACGAGGGTAGACGACGGCGACTGGCAATGTCTCGATATTGTGGCTGGACCATTCGGAATAGCCATGGGCCAGGAGGACCTCGTCTTCGACGCTTACACTATCCTCTCCCATTGTGGTTTTGATCTCACGTATGGCCTAGGAGTAATAGGAATATTAGATCTTGGACCACCACTCTTGCACTCTTTGCAAAAGAAAGCAATCACGTTCGGGCATCAAACTCGCCTTGTCCATCTGAGCTTTGGTCGCATAGCTGGGTTCAACAGTCGTGCGATGCTCTTGGTCAGGCTTATTGCCTTGCCAAAGGGTAAATCCTCCCACTCCAAAGCCCAAAACGCCCAGGGTCAAACCTCCTATATTGAAGTGTGAGACTTGTTGGGACGGGACGCCAGATATAGCTGGCCTTGTACTTAATAGGCGCCTGGATAAATGTGTCGCATCCTGACTGAAACTCCATCTTGCGCCATCCTGACCATTTCATCTGATCAGGGACCTTCTCGCGAGTGACTGGTGGAGGTGGAGGGAGGCCCTGAACCTCGATAAATGAAGCATGATGTTGATGATGGACCAGGTGGTTGACAGCTAGGCAGGGCAGATTATCAACTGTCATTCCCTGGAGTTCTCACGGGTGTAAGATTTTCCCGGTCTGGCGTTTAGTCCATTGAATGCCTCTTTGCTCACAGTGGAGACAGTAAAGATCTCGACAAGGCTGGGCTCGTTTCGGAAGCTGGAAACACCCAATCACTTGGCCTCTCGGTCCACTACCGAACGCTTCAGCTGTCAGCCAGTCAAAGCATTCTGTCGGCAACGTCCCGACAACCTTGTTCGATAATCCAACATCCCGAACTGTTGCACTAAGCATCGAGATCAGCGTCACAAGCTTTGCGTCCGCGATCTAGCCGTGTTATCCACGCACCCCGTTATGCCCCTATGACCCCAGGTTTCTACGCGGGTTAGCCATCCCACCAGTCTTCTGGCATCTAAGACGATCCCGGCTCACAGCCACGCGGCTGTCATTTACGTCGAGAAAACCCGGCTCCCTCTCTCGGCACTTGCAACGCGGGAGTGCGTACAGACGTATCAGGCTCCCCCAGATTCTGCGAAATGCTCCATCACGCTAGTAAATATGGAAGTATGCGGAGCAAACGCTGTACGAACGTCTATTATTGCTAGGAGGACGAGGGGTCGCTCGCTTGGGAACACAGTTCAACGAGCTTCACTTCTTGCGATCTTCCTGTAACTATTTCCCTCTGAGTCCAGTTCCAGATCGCCTCGTGCGCTGTCGGCAGCCGAACCGAGTCTGATGTGGACAATTGGCGTCGTATTCGGTTCCCCATAAGTAGAGCGACCCTTGCTCTCCTTGTTGAAAATCTTACCTAGCTATGTGATTACACTCTGAGATACTGGTATCAAAATGGCCGAACTCAAAGCAGTCTGTCGATACCAGCATCGAGCGCGTCGGGTCCATTCCGCTTGATCCTGCGTTGGAAATCCATGAGTTTGATGAGCATACCGGTTACGTCGTCGACGCCGAAAAGGCGAATCAGCATGGGTTGAAGCTGGCCGGCGACGGGCATACCATCCTTGTCCCTCAACCTAGCAGTGATACCTATGACCCTTTGAATTGGGGTTCCTTTAAGAAGCACTTCATTCTTCTTGTCGTCTCAATGTGTGCCTTTCTCCCAGAAGCGGCGAGCACCACAGGAGCGGTCGGCGTGCTCCCTCAGGCTGCGTACGTGGATACGACTCTTCAATGATGTGACTTAGCTCGCTAAGGCTTGGCTAGGATCTGGCGCCTCTCTGAGAACGAAATCAACCATGCAACTTCGGGCAATGTATTCATGATCGGTGCCGGTGGACTGTTTGCTGTGACTCTATCTGCCTACTTCGATCGCCTGCCGGTTCTCTTCTGGTCTCTATTCTTCACCCTGCTGTCGATCATATGGTGTGCCGTGGCAACCTCATTTGACTCGTACATGGCCGGTCGGATCCTAAACGGCTTTTTCGCCGTCGGAGGCGAAGCGGGAGCTACAATGTGGATCAACGACATGTTCTTCTTTCACGACAAAGTGTAAGTCGTTCGGCCCTGCACTCTCGAAAAACCGAGACAACTAGCCACTATATAGCCGGAAAGTTAGGATTTACGTCTGCTTTATCCTGAACGCCGTGTTCATCGGCCCGCTACTCTCGGCTTTCATGCTCACCACTCAGTCGTGGCGTACCACTTTCTGGCGTGAAACGGGCGAAGTCGCGCTCTGCTTCTGTCTGGTGCTCCTATTCTTCGACGAGTCCTACTATGACCGGCGACTGCGGCCGGACCAGCAACCACAAAGGAAGACTCGGCTACACCGCCTCGTGGGAGTTCAGCAGTTCCAATCGCGACATACTCGCAATACGTTGAAGGAGGCCATTATGCGTCCAATCAAGGCCGCCACGAAGCTGACTGTGTTGATTTCTTTTCTCTATACCTTCTGCACCTTTGCCTGGTTCGTGGGAATCAGTGTTACAAGGTCCATCTTTTTGACCCCTCTCTACCACTTCGGCCTCCTCCAGATAGGATATATGTTCTTTCTGCCCATCCTTGGCAATACCCTTGGCTACGTCCTCGGAGTTTTTTTGCACGACTGGGTTGCGAAGGCATATATCAAACGCCATCAGGGGCGTTTTGAGCCAGAAGCTCTCCTCTGGAGTATTTGAATAGCTACCCCTTTCATGGTTTCTGGCCTGGTCCTCCTTGGCTTTGCCCCGGAAGATCACTATCACTGCATGGTGACTGCGGTGGCTTGGGCCCTGTTCAATGCTGGAATTGTCATCCTATCGGTAGCATTAACCGCCTACAACTCGACCAATGGCAGAAATGACTCACGGACAGGTTTACAGGCATCGAAGACAGTGGCTGGCGTGGTTGCGCGCACTTTGAAGAACGGGCTTCGGCAAAGGTCCACGCTATTGGCGGCAGAATGGTTGCCAAGCTGGAATTCAGCCTGACAGGGAGTCGAAATGTGGAAGCGAGTCGGAAGCCGCTCGCAGCAGCTTGGATTGGTGGCCGAGTTCAGCGCGAGAAAAGCTAACAGGGAATTGATTGGCCTCGTCACGGAGACTTCCCCTTGACCGACCAGCCTAGGCCATCACTTCGAATCGATTTGCCATATGCAGTGAGGCAGGGCTCTTCAAGCTTTTTCAGCCGCACGGCGAGTGAGTGCTTCCTACAGATCGCCGCCAATGCCCTTCCTCCCTCCACGCTGCAGCTAATATTCGTATCTATCACCCCTGTTGCATCAAGCGGATTAACTGGTTTCATGTAATGCGTTCTTAGCACCTAATTCGAACACGAACAGTCCTCCACGTGCCCCTTCATCAACAACATTACGATCAGGCTGGAACCCCACACCAACTATTCTCACTCGCCCACTGGCAAAATTCATCGAGCCTGAACGTCACAGCAACAAGAGGCAAAGAATCAGTGGGAGAGGCCAAGGATGCCATCCTGATCTTGAAGCTGCGGCTCCATTCCCCTGTGTCGCGGTCACGGATACCGTCGTTAGCAGCGTCGTCGGATTTGGCTTTGAAGAAGATCCCGGGGTGATCGAAGCGGCTGTCGTGGTCAAGCCGCGATTAGAAGTGTCACTAGCCGTTCTCACATCACCCACCTCCGCACATGGATGTCTTGTCAAACTGTTCCCTCCGAGGGAGGAATAGAATGCTGGACTCGTGGAAGAGTAAAAGTCCAAACAGCCATTCCAATACCCATCATATACACTTGGTGCATAGGTGCCACTGTTGTAACAAAGACAGCTTGCTTCATCACGCCACGGGAGATCCGTAAACGACGTTGTCGACAATGCGCAAGAGGCGAGCATGATGTCAAATGATACACAGGCTGCCGAGCTGGGAGGTTTGGATGTGATGGTCCCTTGTGCTGCTGTGGTCGACGGTGCAATGGAGGACAAGGCTATGGTCCCGGTCCCCGTCGCTCCAGCAACAACATCGCCCGCTTCCTGACAGGGAGCGGTAGATAGAGTAGGTCCTCCTACGGATGAGTAGAGCGAAGGGCTGGCTGTTGACAGATATGCGAGACAAGTGTCAAGAGCCATATCGTACACGGAGGGCTGCCAGGAACCGCTTGAATAGCAGAGACAGCTCGCTTCGATGGAGAAGGGAAGGTCCGCAAAATTGGTGGTAGAAGCTGTGCAGACGTCGACCATTGCAAGCCATGAGTCGCAGGAAGTAATATCAGCGCTCACTTGCCGTTTCATGATTGGAAGAGGATCTTTCTCCGGCTGTGTCAGGCTGCCATCCATCACCTTGCAGAGACCAGCAGGCAGGCTGAGCAACAACCAGCCTGGGCCGTGTTGGAGAAACATGGTGGCAGAAGATCGGGCAAATCGAGTAAGCCCTTTGTTTTGGGTAGGCTTCCGTGGAGGCAGACAACTGAGGCTGAGGACCAGACTTGAGACCAAAGGTGAACGACGATGAATTTATGAACCTCGGGTTGAGAATGTCGCCAAGTGACCGACACGAGGACCAACACGGAAATTGAGATAGTGTCGCTGCATCCTTCGTATTGGGAAATGCACCTGACCTTCCGGCTAGCTATCTCCATATTTGACCAACAACAGGGCGTACACTAGCATCCCTGCCCTGACGGGCTCGTATCGAATGTAATCACATGACTCCTTGCGCCTACGGCCCCAAGAAAGGGTATAAATTAGCGATCCAAGAGACTGCCATGAAAATGCTGAAAGCCGGTTCTGCCACAGCCTTACCGCAACGAACATAGCAGAAAGCCGCAAGCCATGTCCTCAATACCTGTCCATGTTGGATATTGGCAAGATCATACTCAAAGCTCCGCTCTGGGCAAGACTGTGACGCTCGATGTGCGTTGGAGTGGCTATTTGATTGCAGCACTGTCAACTTTCATCGCCATTGTGGGATCTGCCACGTGGGTTACAACCGCATTTATCGTCCATCAGCTGCATGCCCGAGGCCGCGGTAATGATGGTGTGTACTTTCAGCATCAGATCATATACCGCAATCAGGGTACAGCTCTAGGAGCCCTGCAGGACGTGTGGTGCGTATGTTGGAGCTGGCGGACCAAGGCCCGTGGAGCTGGTCGGCGAGTCAGTCGGCTGAAGGCACGAACATTCTGGCGATCTGTTCCACCACTTGTAGTGTTCCTTGCTTTCACAGCCGCCGGCATATTTGTAGGAGAGGTTGCAGCACCGGACTATGTCAGCAACAATGTCATCATCAAGCCTGGGAGGTGCGGCTTCTGGGCTTTCGACACGACTTCTCAAGATGGCCTTTTCGCCGAATCCTACAAATCGGTCAATGACACCCTTGCGGCTCGTCAATACGCAAGGACTTGCTACGGCCCAGTGACCAATACACTCCGAGACTGTGGATGGTATCCGGTGCAGCAAATAGTTTACAACAGCTCCATGGTAAATTGCCCGTTTCTCAACGATCCGAACGGCGACACCTTGTGCCTCCCAGATGGCAACGAGGCGTTGCAGATGGACACGGGCTATTTGGACAGCAGCCAGACCTTTGGAATCAACACACCCTTGTCAGAACGAATCTTGCTCCGGAAGGTTGTGACGTGCTCTCCGATCAGAACAGATGCGTATCTGGATACCACCAGCACCGACCCATCTGGATACACGTACTGGCAGTTTGACCTGGGAAGCATCAGGGACGTAACGACTTACACATACCTCTACGACACGCACACTGTTTCCGATCTTGTCTCATACACTTTGTTGTGAGTACGAAAGTTATGCATCAAACTTCTCAAGCACAGTCTAACATGCGTAGACCCGTGATTGCATTTGACGGAAACCAGGCATGGGAGCCCGTTGTCGCCCTCGACATTCCCAACGCAGATATCAGTGCTTTTTTCCTCGCCCAAAACACCGTTAGCTACAGCAGCCCGGTGCATGACATATGGTTTGCTGCGACCAACTTCTCCAATGGGTCTGATCCGGCCGTTTCTCTCGGTACTTACGGGCCAGAAAAGAGGGTGAGCGTGATGGCGTGTACGGACCAGCACCAGATCTGCAATCCCAAATCATCCCCACATACCTGTTCGATTCTCGGCAGTATCAGTGACGTCGATGCAAGCATCCCCCTGCTAGGCCTTAATCAATACCAGATAGCCACAGCGCAGAGGTTCATTCGCGTTTTGCCGTGGACGACGACCTATCAAATTGCTTGGGATCTAGGAAGCAAGGCATTACTTGCTTCCGACCTGGTCAGGGTCATCATTAGTCCAGGTTTGCCTGATGACCAATGGCAGCTCGAAGCAAAGGGGTGGTTCGAGGCGTCTATGGCGAAACTCCAAGACTATGTCATTCAGTTCGCGGTGAATGAGGCAGATCTCGGGCCATATGGTTTTGTCGTTGCCCCGGATCCGAAGGGGGATTCCACGCAGAAAGCTCTCGCTCAATCCTGCTCGAACCAAAGGATCAGAAACCTAGGACAATTCCGGTCCTTTTCATTCTTGGGTTTGATGGTCATTGTCTGTGTTGGGTCGGCCTTGCTCGTCCTCTCTTGGAGTCTGGAGTTTGTGGTTCAAAAGGTTCGTGCCTCTCGAACATCCAGGAAGCACGATGACCGTGAAATCGGGCGGATTGCGGACCACAAGCTGCAATTACACCGTATGGCTCTGGTTGGTGCTGGGTACCGAGATGTCTGGGAGCACACCTGGGACAGCGTTCCTGTTGCGAAGCCCGATACCGAATTGCCAGCCCCAAGCCGGGTGAGTTCCGGCAGGGATGCCGACTACCACTATAGCCCTCCCATTGACGTCGAATCTTTGACGGCCAAAACCTCAAACTCGCCGAGCGCTTTTCCTGCGCCTGCCACAGACGGGCAACCTCCCACAGACGGGCACCTCCCACAGACGGGCAACCTCCCACAGACGGGCAACCTCCCACAGATGGGCAACCTCCCACAGACGGGCAACCTGCCATAGACGGGCGACCTGCCACAGAACCGTAAACTGCCTTCCTTTCCAGGTAGATAACCGCCGAATGACCGCAGGCGTGACACTCAGGCTGATCAGAACTTTCGCTCTGATCACTGGGCACTGGAGTGTTCGGGGAGAATGAGAGAAAAGCGCCGAATCTGTAGGTTAATTTCACGAGTTGGATTTCAGAACGAAAGAGAAACATTTTCACTTAAATTAGACGTTTGTTTCAAGAACAGTTATCAAAGCTCACTGGGAAGCCTCTCCAGTCGTGACTGGGATTGGCAGGCTCCGTTGCCGAGCACTTGAAGTTGGCGGGTTTCAATGGGATCGAATTCTTGTAGCACAAGCCGGATCAAAAGATAAAAGATTGGGTGCCTTATTCGGCTCTCGTTAACGCAGCTGACTGTTTCAGGAGCTCTCGGTCAGAAAAGGAAAGATCTTACCATCATCTCAGGAGTTGTTAGCTGGCAGTTCAGCGACACTTCCAACTCTAGCTAGGACGAGCTTCACATTTGAAGCGTAGTCTCCATTGAAGACTGAGAGTAGGACACACAGCGCCCAGCTTGTCATCGGCGCTGTGACAGGGAGCGTTGAATCCTCACTCCGTCACGTATGCCTCAGTAGGCTTCACGGGAGAGAGAGAGAGAAAGGATGGTCCAGAGGGAGGAAGGGTGCTAAGGCAAAAGCGGCGCGCCTAGTCTTTGACTATCCCCGAAACGGCAAA